TACATGCACAAGACCATATGTGATTAATAAAAATTGCCAATATTTGAACTTGTGAAAATGGTAAAATTAAAAACTGAATGTACTTGTTGCTCAGCAACCTATCACATCGATGGATTATTAGTGAAGTCAAAATCTATGAACAATAAACCTTAGTGTAGTAGTCCATCTCATGTATGTGTACATGTCAACCAAGAAAGTATATATATGTATATAAAAAGTATATATATATATATATATATATATGTACGTATGTATGTATGTATATATATATATATAGTTTTGCTATATAAGTATCAGGTTCTTTCCATAGTAAATTTTATTTATTAATAACTTTTTGTTATTGAATATTACATTTTATTACCGTTAAGTTATAATTTGAAAAATCCAAATGCCACAGCCTTTTGTCTCTAAAATGCAAGTAAAATACAAAATTACCTATAAATGTTTCAATTCAGAAATCAGGGCAGAAAAAAATAAGATCCCAAAGATATGTTTTTACTTTCCTACCTATACTAGATAAGGAAAGTATTGCAATCGGGTCAAATTTCCGACAGATCTATACGTTTCACAGCCCCCTGAGTCCGAAAAACACATTTTTAGCCATTGGTAAGTCTGTCTGTGCCAAGATTTTCTCGGGAATTACTGAACCGAGTTTGTTGCTTCTTTTTTTATTTTGTAGGATTTTGATTACTGATGCCTGTGACAGAAATTCGTTGCTCCATGTACAATAACTTGCACGCAATAAATGAAAAACATGTTTTTCTATAGACTGTAGCACGAAAAAGGCTCTAATAATTTTGATGAAACTTTTCTATGATGTTCTAATCATTGTCCTTCTAATTTTCGTATATGGACTAAATTCCCGAAAAAAAGTTAAAATGTTATGGGGCCTAACTCCCTAAGTATATATTATACGGTAAAATTTATAATAAAACTTTTGAAAGGTATTTAAATTAACAACAAAACAAATAAAAAATCATCGCAATCGAACCAGTATTAGCGATGATACAGCTTATTCTATTTTTTACACATTTTTTTAACTTATTACTTTCCTACCTATACTAGGTAAGGAAAGTATTTCCTCTAATTTTAACAGAAATTATTGTTTGACAACACTAAGCTATGGCAAAAAGTTTTTGATCAGCAATGTTAGTGAGTATTGAAATTTTTACACTGATCTACCTCAAGTCGGTTTCATTGCTTTAGTTTATCAAATAAATCGTACTCAAATCTTTTGTATGATCAATTTTCAGGAAAATAAATTTAGTTCCATTCTTTTTTGTTTGTTCATGAACATATGTAAAGATATAAAAACTTTTTTGAAATGGGTAGGAAAGTCGTGTGAGTGGAAACACCAGATTTTTTTTCTTAAAATTCATTTACTTAGATATGTAATGTATAGTAAAGAGAAAGTATTGAGATCATGAAAATTTTCTAATTCAAGTTTTCCATTGAAATACACGTTTTGAGGTTCCCTGAGTCCAAATAACGAAGTCTGACAAAATGTGTGTGTGCAGATGAACAGTCTAGCTCAATAATGAAGTTCTACGAAACTGAAATTGCATATTTAAGGTTTCTATATGGTAGAAATGTTACACCAACTTCTTTATCAAAGTCGGCTAACCGGAATTGCCACTTTATACCATTGGTTTTGCAATTTTCTCGAAAACGGCTTCAACAATTTTTATTAAATTCATCATATCAGTGTAACTTAAGAATTTTTTAATATAATATAGGTTTTATTTTCATTGATATTCTCTAACAGAGCTAAAATGCCTATTTTTCTTTCAGTAGAGTACCTTTAATTTTTTATACTTGAAATAATTTACCATTTCACATTGCATCCGCGATCTTATTAAAGAACCGAAGAAACCCGAGCTTGGCTGAAAAGTCAGAATAAGCTACACATGCTTAATAAAATACAGGCTCCAATAATATTATATTATTATACATATTCATGTACGGTTTTCATAAATGCTAATGTTGGGATTATTTTATATTATAGATTAAAGCAATATGAATAAAAATGTGAATATAAAAAAAAAAAAAACCAATACCACTACAAACCATGAAGTGTCATGGGTTCACTACTATTTAGGGAAAGTTCTGTTCCTCAACAGTTGTGCAAGGCGATTTGACTGAGATCACGCTTAACACTCAGGTTTGCCCCCCCCCTTAATTAATTATTTAATTAAGAGTACCCACTTTATAGAGGCTGGGTAGGCCCAAGGAGGATCTCTCGACCGCAGGGTTACTCCACAGATAAGCCTGGATTCAAATTTGGAACCTTGGTGCCCTACCACTCAGCTGCCCTACTCCCTAAAATGTGTATATATACTAATGAAAAAGAACAAAAATGATCTTTATATGTGGTACAAGTGAGCAGGATAGCTCAGTGAGTGAGCCACTTCCAGAGCTCAAGATCCTAGATTCGAATACGGCTGATGACAATTAATTTTTGATCAGCTGTGGGTCAAACCTTCTTGGGCTAACCCTGCCTCTATAAAGAGGATACTCAATTAAATAAGGGGGAAAACCTGAGCGTGGTATTGGCCTTGTAACAGTACTTCGTCACATTGTACAGAACCAACTTCCTTCAGTAATTCATAAAAATATTTTATGATAATGAATTATTTATTATGACAGTCAAGGCTAACGGTTAGTAACAAAAAACAACAACATAATCCATAAGATGGTTGTGAAAAAGAAAAAGCTGTGGTAATTAATTGTTTTGAATATTTTGAACAGTCTATAATTTTTACTTTCATCTGAAAATACCTATTTCTGCTGAAAAAACTGTGATAAGTGAAAGTTGTGTGATGCGCATGCTGCACCAGACATTTTCCAGTCCTGATGAAGCCTGGCAAAACTTTGACAGGTTATTTTATTTTTTCCCTGCATTTTGGAGACATAATGCTGTGTGGTTGGATTCTCCCAATTAAAACCTAACATATATTTTATATCTCTTTTTTACTCGTTTATATTAATGCATTAAATTATTTTTAGTAATAAAAATAAATTAAACATTCTCAATGATACAGAATACCGCTGGATGCGGACAACTTATTTCAGTTAGACACTAATAAGTAATAAACGTTTTCAACCCGCCTACTTGATAGATTAAAAACATTTATACAGAATCTAGACATCAACCAATTATCGTAAGCTGACATGATAATATGGAGGAAAGTCGTAGGTATAAACATGAAAATTAAAAAAATATTTATTTAAAAAATCTATTTCTTAAAAATTATCTTATCGGCTAAAGTTAGTACAATTTTTTTTTTTTCTTTTTAATATTTACAGGGGAGGGCCCTTTTAAAATCTGACTAGGGCACCGCTCTAGATACACTTCCCCGATTGTTTAATTTTTAAAAAACTTTTAAAAAAATAAAAGAAAAAAATATATAACAAACCATAAATACATATATTTGTACTTCTTTGACAGTTCTATACAATAAATACATGTTTTTTTAAACTAACGAAAGGACTCTAAAAAGAAGAGGCTGCGGTAGATGTTTTAAGAAAGCACATGCACTATTATTGTTTATTAAGTTTCTGCCGTTAATACCTAATCTTATTCAGGGCTATCCAGTGTAACGGTATTGACAATCTCTACTTAAAAGAAAAACAAATTAGCTCCTGATTTTGAAACTGCTAATGGAAACATTTACCGAGCTTTTTTTTTTTGCTTTTTTTTTCAACTTCTTTTTGATTGTACAACAGAAACTAAATTCCATACAATGATTCCAGATTAATATTAATTTAGTCAATTTTAAAGTTGTCTAATAGGAATGTATACATGGTTTAATGAGCGGCACAAGGTATAAAACATATCCATATAATTAACACTATTAACATATTACTAACTTTATACACTTATTTTTCTCTCTGTGGTCTTAAAAATATATATATAAGTTTATTTATATATATATATATTTACAAACACCTAAATATTCTACCATTTCACAACAGATATATATAATATACAAATGTAAAATAAATAACATGTCAAAAAGTAACAAAATCTCTCACGACCGAGAAAGTCATTAAGAATACTTTTTACAACTTATAATTTAATAAACCAATCAATATCTACAATCGACTACAATTTCATAAATAAATATTGATACAATAGATACACATGCACGCGTGCGGAAATATCATAAATCACTCTTCTGGTGTATGTATATATATATATATGCATAATATACAAAGAAGTCGATTGAAGGTTTCAGGATTGGGGCTTGTGTGACCAATGATCATAGAATTATTGTTATTATCAAGAACTCTCCCACAATTATTTTATTTTTTATTAAATTTTTTTTTTATATAAAAAATATATCAAATAACCTGAGGTATCAAATCTATAAGGAGTACAACTCCCCATCTCTCGTATTCAACCATTGCTCACACAGCCTTCTCCCACAGAAGAGACTCAAACTGTTACTTACATAATATATTTACAAATTGTATTGCACACAGTCCTTTCCAAGTTCCTCTTATTGTTATAGATTCATATTGCTTATAGTTTTCGACATCGAAATATCGGCGATACATTGCCATAAATTTAAAAAAAAAAATTTCATGATTCATGTTTAGCTACAAACAGATCTCATTTTTAAATCAAAGGAAGACCGAGGAGAAAAAAAAAGAGGAGCACACTTGGATAAACTATCGACGAAAACTCTTTAGGACTGTAGGCCATTGTAATTTTAATTAACTTTACAAATTTATAATACATAAATTCACAATTTGTTTACTTACAAAATAAATAAATTGATATACATACAAAGAGTCAAACAAAAACTGAACATTTAAAAAAAAAATATTTACAAACTTTAATTCATCCATAATTATTTCACATTTCACTTCAATATATATATACACATTAATAAAAAGAATGAGAAAATACCGTAGTAAAGAAAAACATAAGGTATTTCATAACCAGATGGAATATTTCAACAAGTCAGTTAAATAAAAAAAAAAACCAATTATTGTTTTGATTGGTAGCGCATTAGCATTACCTAGCCAGGACGGAGTACCTGTTGTACGGCCTGTAAGGGGGCCGCGACAGGGAATTATCAGATCTTGAAGTCGTGACTAGGCCGGGTCTTATCCCTTCTACTTTTCCCAGGAACCATGCACGACTTCGCTCCTCTGTCGGCGGGCTTACATTCTCTCTTGCCCACCTTTCGTGCCACCTCTGAACGCGTTCCAACATTCGCCGGCTTACTCTGTTATGACTCTGAAAGAAAAAAAAGATGTAAATTAATACAATGAGCAATTTGGAAAATTTTCATTGAAAAATTACATATAAAATATAATATTTAAGTTAATTTACTATTTTCTCTTGCTCCTCTTTATTTTTTATAAAAATATATGTATTTGTTATAATAAATACTTGGATTATCATTTTTTTTTTTTCAATATATCAGAATTATTAAAATGTTTTAAATATCAGAAGAAACTTATGGTTGTTTTTTTCCCACTAGTATTGCAGATTAACAAGCCTGCTCTATCTTTGGCTATTTCTTTCCAATTATCTGCACGTAGCTCTATTGCATCTTTTTTTATTTAATCTGTATATCTGTTTGTTGGCCTTCCACATGATCTATTGTCTTCTATTGAGGCATTCATTGTTCATTCATTAGAGGCTTCCAGATGGATTGCAACGAGCTACATGCCCCATCCATCTTAACCTCCATGCCTTCATATCATGGGATATTGATTGATCAGTTTCTGTAACCAGTTCTTTATTGGTCTTTCTTCTCCAAATGTTAGTACTCTGATACCAGATCGATCTGGTTATCGTGTCGATTTTTCTCTTTCAACACTTTTTTCTAGGGTGCTGGTTAGTGTCCAGGTCCCACAACCATATATTAGAACTGGTTTTATTATAGCATTTTACACCCTTCATTTGATATTTCTCGAGATTATTAGAGATTTCGATATCTTTGAAAGGGAGAAGAAAACTCTGTTTGCATTAGTTACACGATGGTCTGTTTCTGACAGTTGGTTGTTCATTAAGGTTATTGTGGAGACGAGGAATTAGAATTTTTACACTCTCGGGAATGATTTTCCTACTACGCAGATCCTATTATTGATGAAATTTATAGTATTTTTTTTTTTTATATGAGTACACATTTCTTTTTAATATTCTTCATTTGTTTTATATATATATTTTTCTGTACAAAGCTTTTTTATTAAAGGGATATTGTATAAAGGATTAAGTTATTTTTAAATTTTATTCTACATGAGTATTTCTTTAATGCTATACTTTTAATGTTTTCCACTATTCTAAAACGATTATAAAAACACTTTGATAAATTAAGAGGAAAAAGGAACTCATTAGGATCATTCTACGAATTCTGATCTCTAAGGACTCCAACCTTACAGCATTCTGATTGACCTTTTTTAGATTGAAATAAAAAAGTAATTACTATGTAGTGTACTAAATCCAATGGAAATATTGACAGCTACTTGAAAAAACAAAATAGAATAGGCGAATTGAAACTATAGTATTGCATACAAATTTAGTTATCTTTTACTTATTTATTAAACAAACATAATTCACTAAAATCAAATAACCATATGTTTTACTTACAAGTCTTGCTCTGGTGAGGGCTTTGGATTTATATAGTAATCTATCCTTATATGAGAATATAACCATGTCCTCGTCTTGAAGTAAACATTTTCCATCATGATCGGCAAGCTTGTTGTTTTCACCACTGTGAACATTAATAAATGTAAATTTCTCAATTTGTTTTTTAATATTTAGAAAAAGCTAAACTAGAAGCAAGTGTCTTCTTATTTTAACACTAGTCACTAAAATTGCTAAACAATAATTGGAGAATTCATGCAATCAGTGCAAAATTAAATTTTAAAAACTTATTCAACATTTACGGTGCTTAATATGGCCTTAGAATTATTATTTTAATACAGTTATTTGTCTTTTAAAACATTTTGCTAAGGTTACTATGAATTTTTTGTATTATGTTCACTACTTTTGTCTTAAGTAAAATTGAAGTAGGGAAAGAATCAGGAAAGCATCGAACGAAAATCTCTTTTCATGCATAATTACTAATTTCTCTCCCCCAATATTCTACAAATTTAGGGTTGCCACATTTCAAGTAGGGTAAGTGCAACAACAGGGCAAGTATGGCCACAGCTGGTTTTTGTCCTAAATACGATTATGAAATTTTAATTTTAATTTTTTTTTATAGAAAATCATTTAAAAAAATCTAACAGCAGGATATTGTAGATAACACTAAATACTGCGTTCGAAGTTGTATTTTCATATTCCTAATAATTATCTCAGAGTAACAGTTTAAAAATTAAATTAAAAAAAAAAAAAAAAAAACCTGGTCACAGTTACCCCACTACACCTTAATAATAACCAATCATCAATTAACTTTGATATAAGGAAGTGATACCCAAGTTATTGCAGTGAAAGTTTTAAACTTGGTAGTAAAACGAATAATAGTTTAGCAGATTAGATCCAATCTATTGTTCAATCAAGATTCATGCAAGTTAAGTATCATATATGTTTTTAGTCCGTGGCATAGATCTCATTTTATAAAATTATTAACCTCCACCTAAAACTTTGTGAATAGCTTTATCTTATCGTAACCTACAAATTTTTATCAACAAAAATTCTCAGAAGTAGGGTGTTTTCTCATTAAATTTGTATTATTTTAATATTAATTAATATTATTTTAATGAAGAGTTAAAAACTCATAAATATCTATTTTCTGTGGGCGGGGTGGCCGAATGGGCTAAGGCGTGTGCACTGCACCGCCTGTGCCCGGCAACCTGACATATCAATCAAATGATATAAAAATAGCCACGAGTTCGCATCCCGGTACCGAGGGAGTCTTTTAAATCCCCGCCCACACCCCCTGGCCCGGGAAAACCATGTATAGCCTAATGGAGAGGAAGGGAAGGACCCAAAAAAAAAACCTACTTTTTTTTTACATACCTATTCCTTTAAAATTGAATCACAAGATAATTCGATCATAAAATTGTTATAAAAACTGCAAAGGCAGGAACAAGGTTAGGGATGTTTACAACTGTTTCAATACATTGATGGGTATTACTTACCATTAAAAGTACTGAATGGTGGAAACGTGCTAATTGTTTCAAGTGATTAATAAAAAAAATCTACAGTGCTATTTTACCTCTAATTTAATTGTTGATAATTATCTAAATGTTAAGAAATATATATGTTTCTCCCAAACAGTTTAAGATAAAAAAATGAATAAAATAATGGCAGAATCAGTGAAAAACAAGCGAAGAAAAGAAAAAGACACATGTTGAGAAAAGATAATACACAAAATTTTTTCACCCCCCCCCCCAATAAAAACTAACAATGCATGAGCCGAACATTTATTTAGAAACTATTTATCAATATTTAACTTGCCTATAGAAATAATTCATTAAGTGTTATATTAAAGCTTGTACGGGTTTAGTAACTAATATAAACGATGAAGGATAAACAAAACATCTAATGTCGTATTGATATATTCGCTTTACACTAAACTATGAACTGAATGAGTCATTTGCTTCTTTCAAGACTTATTAAAAACATATTAATATTACGCCTGCATTACATTCATTCCAAAGAGCTTCTATACTGGTATCATATTATAGATTGTTTCTGCCTAGTCACAAGTTCTAATCACACAAACATCTTTATTAAATGTACATTATTCGTTTGACCTATTTGTTTTGGTTTAGATTAGAGATCCTTCTTTGCCTAATTTTTTGAGGGTCCGACAAAATTTTGGTGAGAGCTTTACATGTTTAAGATTATATTTTAGATAACACATCAATTTTAATCTAAAATAATGATGTATTAATGAAATAAGTTTACTTCTAAGACTTTCTAATTAGCATTTAGTTTATCTAATTTCAATAATTAATAGGGCACAGGTATTACTGATTATTGTGCATTTATAATTATAAACGACCAGTTGCTGTGTCAGGAGTTTCAGTTCTAGACTAGGACAACATAACCATTCAGTCTGCTTCGAACAAAAAAAGAAGAAAAGAAACTACCTTGGATTCGGGGAACATCAAGAATAATTCACAACTAATTTATTAAGAGGATGAATGGAAATAAATAAATACTTTGTTCAAGACACTAGAATAGGTTAGGTTTGGATAAATCGAAGATTATATCAAGCCTGGACTCAACAATCGGCCTTTTAAAGAGGTAACACAGAGGAAACATAAATAATTATCTTTCTAAGAGGGGACGATTTGATTAGCTTCTACTTAATGAGGGATGGGTGATTTATATATAAATAAATAAAAAATTATATTCCGTGAATTAATAGCAAGCTTACTACCATTAAAATAAACAAACCTATTTGTCTTTTCTTTTTCCTTAAGCCTTTGTTTCTCTTTGTTTTTCCTTTCCCAATCCTTCACATTCCTCTTGAGAAAAACGGCTTTTCCCCATCTCTCCCTGTCCTCAGCACTGAGAACCTAAAAATCATTGTCAAATTAATCATAATGTTATTTGGTGGTTTGTTTCTTCAATTTTTTTTTTAATATATTATTTTTATAAATTGTGATAGTGCATTATGTGAAGACTGCTATAATTGATCAAATAGTTTTGAAACTAAGGAAGTTCGATTTTGCAAATTTTATTCGAAAAAAGATTGACTGCTACGTTAACTGAACGTTCGTTGTTAAAAAAAAAAAAAAGTTACGATCCCATGAAACGTTAATGCCAATATAGATTCATACAAGCTTGGGACAGTTGAGTCACACCTCAATTTTTCAGGTTTCATCAAGTTTTATTAACTAATATCCTTATTCTTCAATGTTTTCTTCTTCTATTAGTGAATATTCGAAGTCGGAACACGTTGAATTCAATCTTCATGGTAATCTTATATTGATATAAACTTTCTTAATTGATTAACAATCAATATATCTTGCTGGGTTAAAACCACAGCATGAATTGGAAATCAAATTAAAATAAATAAAACTGAACATTGAGGATAAAATATGTTTTATTCAATTACGCTCTTTGCACACTTGTTATTATGTGTTGACTTTTCTTCAATAACTCTTTTTCAGAATTATTATTATTATTTTTTTTATAACCATCAAAAACATTTCTTGCCTCATCAGCAAATTACTCTTCTTTATAATGGCTTCTTTAAAATAATTTTATTTCATCTAAAACGTAAATATCATTGGTTTATCAATAAAAGAACTTAGAAAAAGTCAACAACTCATACAAACGTAGTAGAAGATTGACAATCAATTAGACATTATTGAGCAACATTTTCTCGATAGCATATCGCTTATAAGCTTTAAAAAACAAACTTTTAATTGTTTATGATAAACTAACTAATTTGTTTTATTCTTTATTCCCTAATGCACTGGCCTTTTACGTTGAAATAATGGAAATATTTGACAACATTAGAGGAGAGATGGGTATAAAGCCAGATAAGATAAAAAATACAGAATATAAAAGAAAATTATTTTATACAACCAGGCACCATTTGGTTTCGATCAGAAAGTAAATTATAGACAGGAGTAACTTTGTCGGATCCATCATCATTTGTTGTAATGGTTAACAATATCCCTATATATTTGTTTTATTAATTTGTAATTTAAAAATTAGTCTAATGTACTATTTTCAAGATTCAAATAAATGTTATATATTTTACTGGTTTATTAAAAAAAAAAAATATCTGATTTTATAAGAACTCGATTACCTAATTAGAATATTGCATAAGATACATTTACCGAGATTTAAATGTTAGAAAGCATCAATTAAAGTAAAATGCTTCCTATAATTAAGACAGCTAACAGTTGGTTTAGTTTTGTGCTCTATGACTAAAGCCAAGTAAAAATTTAAGATCTCATCTAATTTAAAAATTTCCATCTAGTAAAACATATTATCTATCAAAGATTCCCTATAGATCGACAAAGAGAAAAAATATATATAGTCAAAAATTAGATTTGATACTTTAGGTAGATACAAGCACCCTTTAAGTCAGAAACTTCTCAAAACTTCTTGTTTCTTGGATTATATAAAAAAAAATTTAATACACGAGTCTTAATATTGTTTAATGTGTTGTGTTATGAAGAAATATGATGAAAATTAATTATTAATTTTTTTTAATGCTATTTTCAATAAAGGTGTGGAAGATTAAAAAAAAAAGTTACATACTTTATTCCAAGACATAATGATCACTTATGTTAGAATAAAATTATAGTTGCAAGAAAGAGTTAAAGTTGTTAAGCACAAATGATTGATTAGTTCTATTATATTTTTTCTCTGGCAAAACGCCCGGGCCTTCTTGACCTATTGTGCACCTTAGAATGCATCATCATGCTACTTAATTCCTTAAATCGCAGTGAGTTGACAACATCGCAATCTGCCAGCGTTAACAAAGTGACAAAACATCGCAAGCCTGACAAGCGGTAGAGCCTGTTTCCTCAGTATGACAGGATCTGATATATCTCGACTCGCAGATAATCACCATTCGAAAAATATAAAAATCTTCCTTCAGCAACCTCATTTACATCGTTAAATAATAAATAAAAAAATAATATATTGTTGAACAAAATATGCATTTACTGTCAATTGCAATGATTTTTAATTTCTTGCTAGGAGAATTAATAAATTTTTTCAAGGAAAACCAAAATGGGAACTATGTTCACAATAATGATTTTATCAAAACAACGGAAGATAGTATTATTTAGCAAAAACAATTGACAGGTCATCAGGGCATTAGCATTAATACATTACTAAAATAGAATAAAAAATTACTATATTTTATTATATAATTATAGTATTATTATGTAATTATAACGTAAATGTATATTTATATATATACAGAAAATTTACAGATTCTGGAAGGAGCTTAGACCATAAAAAAACACATTAAAATTGGATTATGTACAAATTATTCAACACCAGAACATATTATATTGGAAATATGAAATCTTAATAAAGATCAAATGATTTATGGAAATAAATTTTATATTGTATTCTGTAAAAACCCTTGTGTTTTGGAACAAGGTTTGGAAAGACGGTCTGAAAAAAATTAATCTACCGGAACATTCTATGGAGAAGGGACAGCAAATCAAATCGATATGAATCAACAGCATAAGCATATAAGTTTCTTAAAATTATCGCAGGAGTTTAACTGTACATTTCAATATACTTTGAGCATAAAATGTTCATATGTACAAAGATACGTTAATTTAAGTAGTTCAAACAAATTTCAGTCATATTATACTTAAAAAATAAATAAATAATAAAGCTGTTCATTCATATTTTTCAAATTTGTGCAATACAATTCATAATCCTTATAACGTTGTAATGGAACATCACACTTTTCAGGGGATCTGAACGTATTTTAGATTATAAATTTTTTTTTCTTTATGATCAAATATTGATAATGCAATTATAGAAATTGAAATCACATATAAGTCAACTACTTAAATAAATCTTACTTAACGATTAACGTAACAGATAATATCACAGAACATCATTTCTCAAGACAAAATAAATATAGCTAATAACTACATCCTGATATAGATTTAGTTTCAAAACTATTTTCCTATAATAATAATAAAATAAAACACAAATAGGCACAGCACTGACGGTATAAACAATCATGCATTTAAGAGTAAAAATATCAAATTACAGGGCCATCATCATGCTGGCTCCATTTTCCTTCTTCGGCCGGTTTCGTATCCTCTTCTTCGCCTTCGGTATCCATCAATTCAATGGTAACTTTACAATCCTTTTTATGCTGTAATAAAAGAAAAAAAAAGAATTAGTTAAATTAAATAAACAGAAATTGTCGCTAGGCACATGCGCATTAAAATGTTTTACTTTCAAGTTGTTGATGCAATAAATTTTTAACTTGTAATTTAAAAAATATTAATGAATAAAAATAAATATATGTCCTCAAAATAATTTTAGCAGTAAATTTGGCAACTTATTTTTTTTTTTTATAAATAAATAAATTTAGACATTTACTTACTATATAAATTTTATAAAAGTTGTCAAGAGCAGAATCGGGTAATGAGGAAAGGGCTTGCTTGTGGTATACAGCTTCTTCTTGAGCCCTCAATTCTGCAGTAGACAATTTGCCGCCGGCACCACCCTGGCCTTTCATCTTCTGAAACGTGTCCCACATCTCGCAGCAAACGTCTTCAGTAACTAATGATTGTACCTAGTGAGAAAATTTGGTTGTAATAAAACAAATATATCAGATAGAAAAGAGCAAGAAAGTCAATCAGAAAATATTAAAAATGAAAAATTGATACAATAATAACTAACCTGCCTCACTGCGTATGATACTATCCTGTCGAGAGTGAATCCAATGTACGCGTGGATGCCGAACATGTTACGAAGGGTATCTTCGTAAGTGCTTGGGTCCATCGAGCAATCCAACACAGATTTTACCATTTCTAACATTGTACCTAAAACAAAGTTATACATTTCTTGTAAATATTTAAAGTCTACATATTTTACATATAAAATGTATTTTATTTTTTGATAATAACATATGATGTTTAAAGCATACATGTCAATCGAAGTGTGAATTGAACAAAAAACAGAAGGTTTAATTTATTTCATCACGACTGTCTAATATCAAAGCCTATACAACAAATTATAGAATCTTCCCATGATGGCACAATATATTAGAATTAATCAAATCACCTGCCCTAAGTTGGACCACAAATGTGGTTAAAAATAACAAACAATTTCTGTCATGAATAGTGACTTTTCTTATCCTAAGGTAATTCCAATGACTTGTAAGGATGTTTGGGGATTCTTCCTAAATGTAATTCTCAGCTGAAATAACTTCTAGATCGAACAAAGGTTGCTCAGTTGAAGGATTCGATAACAGAGGCAGGTGTTCCTGATTTTTCATTTTCTTATTGAAATTTCTAATGTGTGATTAAAATCCTTGGCACTGAGGACTTTTGAAACGACTCACGGTTCAGAGATCTTTGATGGGTATTAAAGTTAAGTGGGGAACTATTCCACTTGAACTCTAGAGAAGGAGTATAGAAGAAGATTGCAGCCATTTTATTGCTTGCTTCTTCTTAAAAATAGTGTAAGTGAAAGTAGAATTTAAAAGATCGCAGGTCATTTACAACAATGTTTAATGCGGTCGATTCCTTGTTTTTCTCTTGATCTCTGGTTTAAAACTCTTAATTCCAAAAATGCGATCCCTCAAAAGAATTTGCTGGGAGTCCACCATGAAACCAATCCCCTTTTGGACACCCCTTGTAAGTAGAACTATAAATTCCTTATTTTGGGTAACGTTACACAAATAGGGAAAAAATGATTGGTCAATCTATAATAGCTGAGGCTTATCGTACAAGGTATATGAGTGGATGTTAATAGTCCGTGGTAAACCCCTTTTTATCAAATTATTAACATCCAGCTGAAACTTCGTAAATATGTTTCAGAGGACACCTAGATTGAAAACGCTCCAATTCCGAGAATTTTCATAAATTAAATATTTGCAGGTTAAGATTATATCAAGCTATTTACGAAGTTTCAGCTGAATGTTAATAGTTTGATAAATAGAGGTCTGTTCCCCGGACTATAAAAATCTTTCTCAATAAATTTAAATGTCCTTGTTTCCAAATATTGATTTTTATAAGATGTTGATATTTTAATGAATAACTTATTTTATTTATTTTATTACATCTGTTTATTTTAGTGCTTCTGTTACTTTTTATTTTAATATTAAAACAGTAAACTCTGACAAACTGTATGAGGCCATTACACTAATATTCTGCTTTATTTAAGTATTATTATATATTGTAAAAAGGAGTCCTAGAAGGTGGCTCAAAATGACGAAGGATCGAGAGCTTCATATTACCATTTGAAATGAGGAATGCTCAAGGGGAAAATATCAATGCGGATTCCACAAAGGAAAACCATTCTGATCTAGCGTTCCAATATATTATCAGTAAGTGAACCTTATCTAGTAATGAAATAATGTAGTGCATGAACGTTATCCAGTAATGAGAGAAACTGAACAAAAACTATCTCCTCAGATCATTTAGCCAAGAAAATAGATAGAAGAACTAGGTAAAACTGACAAGAATAACCTTTGAAAACTTGGACATCGAAGGCATCTCTAACTCGAGCTATAAATTACACATTTACTCATGATATATTTACATGACAGAAACAATTCTCAATAACTTGAAACAGAAGAGAAAACCATAATATTTCGAAAAACAGAAATCTACACATTAAAATAACATGGTAATCTATCTCCACAGACTGATAGTGATTCAATGATAAATAAATATATATATATATATATATATATATCATATGTACAATACATATGTACCTGGTTATAAGAACCTAGTTCATACAAAACCACCCAGTATTTTAACTTAAAAAAATATATATTAAATCTGAGAAAACAAGTAGTGAGGACAGGCATAGTAACCTCCAACACGAGGAAGTAAAGCGTTTAGACGGACGTATCCACTCGTCCTTCATTTTTGTACTTTATTATAACCCAAGGAACTCAAGGAAAAATTTTGGTCCGAACATTTATCAACTTTTTTTAACATGTGTTTCTCCTGTTTAATTGTTATTAAAAATCATTTCGCAGTAACTGCAAGGAGTATTTATTGTAAATAGAAATAAACCTATTATATGATCTGTTTCTTATATCTTCGTTATAATCCATCGAATGCATATAACATCCCATAAAAGATATATAACTTTTGTCTCAATTTCCAGAAATAAAAAGAAATGGATACAGATTTATAAATACAATTAAAAACGGATTATGTTACATGTGGTGAGAGAGAGGGAGGAGATCAGAAGGAAATTTCATCTTTCCACTCTCTCACTTCAATCAGACGAAATAGCTTTTATCACATCCCTTTTCCTACCATCCTCACTACTAATTTTCTCAGGATTAGCATTGTCATTTGTATCATTAAAATCTGAACACACTTGAATAATATTATCAGTTACAATACATAAATATTTCACATCCACATATGACACTTATTCAACTTCGATAAGTTGTAAATTTTGTAATAATACTACCAGATTATTATAAGTTAATTTAAATTTTTTTAAAAATACTTTGATATAAAGTAATTTATTAAAAAAGTAAAAAAATATCAACAAAAATTAGGATATTGGTCTGGTTTATCAACTTTTATTCAACGAACTAATCTTAGTTCCAATAAACCAATAATTTTACCACACTTAAACTTGTTCAAACTTGCCCTTCTTTCAGAGCTCTCCCGAGGGAAATATTATGGCTCTGATTTTTTTATAACACAGTTCACATTTATTAAAGCGAACTAAGCGGAACAAAAAGTTTAAGTGTGATTTAAAGATAAAACTTTATATTTACCTGTATAAAACAGGCTACTGTAACAGGTCAACAATAATTATTTAGCAGTCTTTATTTGCCAGACATGTTTCGTGACCTCTTCAGGCATACATTAAGCTCCTAAAAAAGATTTCTTTTTAGAATTCGTCCATAGAAGAAAAAAAAAAGTTCACAGTTTTTTAAATACAAACTGATGAATTTTTTTTTTTTTTTTTTCCTTTTTTCTGTAAAATTGTACTGTTTGTTTATGGAACTTTGATGAAACTCCTCAACTATACAAATGATACAATTAACACACTATAAGCAGGAGGTTATTCCAGAATGTTGTAAACATCTGAGGCATTGATCCATTTGCATTTGATTTTTTTTTGTTTAAGAATACATTTATGTGGAATTGTAATGCTATCAGTTTAATTTATAAGAAAAATGCACAGTAAACCTTTTATCAGATTTTTACAGAAAAAAAGGGGATGAGGAGGGAGAGAGGGATATGCATACGTAATCTACACACATTAGAAACGCAAAATATACATAGATTTCTCGTAATTTATTAAAAAATGGAGGGGAGGGGCAATTTATTAAAAATGAGACCGATTACTTCGTTCCTTTCCCAACAATACCAACATTGATTATGTAATATTAAGATTAATGTACTGATGGATTCCCAGAAATTCTTACTTCGGTCATGAGAAGTGGAGAAGAAACTAAATTAAGTATTTGAGTAAGATTTTCTACAGAAAATAAACAAGTTTAAATAAAAAATATATATTTTTTTTTAAATAGTACAATGAGCAAAACATTTTAAAAAATGTTTAACTGTAAAAATTTTACTTCAAAAATGTTTTTAACTGTTGTATACGATATTTGGTAGTTACTTCTTCTTTTCTTTCCAACATATTTATTATTTAAATAATATTTGCTGAAGTATGTGCCTGAAACACTTAGGGATCATAGCGTTTGAAGTCATGTTTGTCAGTCTTTAGAAGACTGTTGTTACCGACTGACCACATAGGTTGGTTCTACTTAAGATAAAATGGGTAGTCATCAATTCAAATTATTAAAAATTTGAAATTTTACCTACCTTCTTATCAACAAAGAAAAAAAATCCTAGATAAACTTTTGTTTAAAATTTGATGTATCTTTTCTTTATTTTAATGGTGTGTTTTTTTTAAATTGGCACATTATTTGATTTGTCTCTAAAGGAAAAAAAAACTATTAGGATCTTTCCTCCTCTCAAATGGGCAACTATAGTCAGTCTGAACAAAATCGGAACAGATAGATATAGTAGTTTTAGCAGACTTCGCAAACATTAAAAAAAAAAGTCAGACTAACTTAAAGCAGGATTAAAAATTAAACATGTTCCATTTGTCTTGTGATCTGATTATGGCAATGGAGATAGAAATTTGTTAAAATATTTGAGTGCAAATTTAACCATCAACTTTATTTATAAAGCATAGAAAAAAAGTTTTATTTAACTCGTTATAACAAAACAAAATGATCATAAGATGAAAATGGAAGGACCAAGATTATAGTGTGTTAACTAAAACTTGGTATTAAGTGATGCCAATTTCAAAAATATTTTTTAAAAATATGTTGCAATAAGTAGCATGCTGCTGAATAGATAAAGAATAAAATAAATAAACATAAACTAAATGAAGTTACTATTATGTTTAATTACAATAATTTTGGAAAATTTAACATTAAAAAAAATAAACTTAAGCTCAATCATGAGAAATACCAAATAATTAGTCCTGTGCTGTTTTGTATTAATTCTGGAATTTAATTACCTTTTTTTTTTATATTCAGATACACACATATAATATCAATTAATATAGAAATAGAAAATCAACTTGATTCTGGGACAGAATCCCTGAAGAATAACAGAAAATTACAGAACAAAAGAAATACATCTGGCCAGAAGTATATACATACACATATATAATTACAAATAAACAACAGATTAAAGATTAAACTGGATAATACCCACTCCTGGCTGATATTTTGGCAATATTATAGGTCTTCTATCTGACTGAAACTGTCAGCCATAGTACTATAACACTTCGGTAACTATTTAAGTAATGATATAACTTTCGATGTGACCTCCTATCCATCTTAAGATTAAAGAAAAGTTCATTCTATAATCGGTACATTCAGGATGAAAGTAATCATCTAGTGAAGTTATCTCACTCGTTTTGAATGATGGTGTGTTTAATAGCAATCTGTTTATTTGAAACCGTTTCTTTCATTGAACAGATACAGTAAACTGTTTCCATTAAAATTATAAATACACAAACCATTTTTTTTTTTTTTTAAGAACTGGTTAGTAGGTATAGGCAACGATAGCGGCAGAAAAACAGACTAACCCTGACCGAACCTGTTTAATTTAATAACTTTTGGCAATGGATATAGACCCATACAGCAGATCTGCTTTCCTTTTTTTACTGTTTTCTTACTTCTTTCAATGTAACACTCGCCATTGCACTGTTGCAATCTATGAACAGTTATATGTTTGACTGTTCATTGATCAGTTCCAGCAACGCCAGAGCACCTTTCGAATTACTATTTATTCTTTTTTTCTCTACCAATAAATTTACTTGTTTTCTTTATAATTAATAGTCTGAGGTTCAGAAATAAAACTTTGTTAGTTTGATTTTTTTTTTTTCCACCAGCTGAAACTATTTTTTTTTAAAACTTAAGTAAAACTATTTTTTTAAGTGTCACTAAATTGTATATCATGTAGGTTTAATGTAATTTAACAATAAAGATAATATTAATTTTGGGAATAAAAAAATATGTTCATTGAAAATCAATTCTTCATTAATAATACAAAAGTTTGTAATAATAAAAACATGCATTAGATCCAAATCGTACAACTTTATTTTTATGTACATTCAACATATCTGTTCTTAGGCAATTTTCGATGAAAGAAACCTATTTTAATTTTAATTTAAGAATAAAATAATATAGACTGAATTGCCCTTGCCTTAATTTAATAAAAAAAATTAAAGTATTGTGACAGGGCAATTTAGCCCAAATAATTGTATTCTTAAATTGATATAAGTTTTCTTCCCTTGAAACTTGCCAAAAGAATGAATGTAAAAAAAAAGATAAAGTAGGACTATTTGGATCTAAGGAATGTTTTTATTATTACAAATTAAGTGAAATCCTAACCAACAATATTGAAATATGTATAGATCAATACAAATGATCTTGAAACATGAAGAGGTAACACACATATTACAAATTTAAATACAAACATTACTCAAAATTTCTCATATATTAAACCTCTAATAAGTACTTAAAAATAATATACAAATTAAGGAAAAGATATATATATTTTTTCTGCTTGTCTTATTTCAGAAAGTTTGAAACAGTTATATCTGTTTAATTTTCAATAAAGTAGCACTAACTGTTTCAAATGCTACTCATTTTATAACCTCCTCCTGTTATCACTTCAAAGTAACCTACCAGTAAGGTTATCACTAATCCTATAACCTCCTGATGTTATCACTTGTTTACATGGATGGCTAGTGAGTACTTTTATTTTAAAAAATAAATTTTTTTATCTATCTGACCTCAACCGACAAGGACTCTACTGCAAGATAGGTTATCTCTAGAGAGAGTGCAAGTCTATTAATCTACCTAACATAGATAAATTGATAAGCAAATATAGTTTTTAATTTAATGAATATTTTTATTCACTTTAATGAAGAACAATATGAAGTGTATTTTGAATACAAAACTAAAGAAAATGGAAATGATAGAAACTAAATGAAATACTTAAATAAGAAACGTTATTAATTTTTGACATACATTGGCCAGGAGCAGGTATTTTAACGTATTAACAGATTATAACAATTTTAATAAATAATAAAAAAAAATTAACAGGAAAGAACAATGAACTTTAATACTAGAAATTAAATATTTCTGTTTGTATCAGAAAAATTATTTTCTTTACTGATTAATAAAAAAAATAATTAATTTGAAATGAAAAAAAAAACAAAAAAAAAAAACAATTTTCATCACCTAATAATAAGTTTTCAAATAAGGATCACAATTAAATAAATATTAATATAAAATAATGTAGTTTTAATATAAAATTTGCGAGAACTAACTTAAACAAGACTGATAAAGGTAAACATCCATCTCAAGCTTTGACCATACATCAATAAAAATCATAAGAAAATATAAGTTCTAAACTATGTATATCCATACTGAAATTATAGAGGGGAAAAAAGCAACAACTTATTTTACACACAATACAAAACAAATCAACAACATTTAAAGCATGAAATGCCAAAATTATAAATGATATTTTATTATTTGACCAAGATTGGAAAATGTTATTTCTGTTTACGCTGCCACAAAAAAGGAAGTAGGAAACAGAAATGATCACTTTGCATAAAAATTATGTTTTATAAAAATAATTCTTTTTTTGTATGATATGATAAAATTTTATAAATTTGATCCTGGAAACTCTCCCTTATAAGGTTGAGGAGTTACATATTCGCTATCAACTAACATTAATTAACACAAAACAGCACATATAAGAAATAAGAAAAGAACATGTAATACTACTTAAGAATAATATTGTTTTCAGTTAAATAAAAAAGTGAAAATAAAGAATATACAAAGAAGATATTGTAAATAAATTAAAAAGAATAAAAGGATAATTTCATTAAAGCAAACAAAAAAATGGCACAGGAAACTAATTAAATGCTCGATGTGGTTACGAGCTGAACACAAGAAGAACCAAGGTTCAGCAGCATGCAACTCGGATAATTTTGGCTTAATTATAATTTGTTTTACAAATATTGACAGCGAAACTGAAAAGCAAGAGTTTAACTCATAATATTCTTTTTAGACTGATGTGAAAAGCTCTTAATAACAAGGAAATAATTTTAATTATAATCCTGAATCTTCTTTAAGAGATTCCGAAGAGATGTTAGAAAGAAAATATGATATTTAAAATGATGATGAAAAAATAACATAAAATGAAAAAGTCCAGCAAATAAAGACTACACACAATAAACAAATATCAATTGGTTAATTTATTACCTGGTTAATACTATATTTTGTAAATTTCTGAAAATAAAAACTTGAATAATAATAAAAAATGCCTGTAAACCATTAAAATAGATAGTGACTATCAATGTTAATATTAAAAAACTTTACTAGGATGATTGGGAAGAGAACATTTAAAGGCATCAACAGAAAATATTCACTATAAATTTTTAATATAATCATTTATTATAAAGGGCATACACCACATAAGAACCAGGAAACTCTAGGAACCATTTTCTCACCTTAATGATAATACCATCGGATAAAAAAGAAAGAAACCTAAACCACTATAACCCATAAAGGTTCTTGGGTTCAGTAATTTGTAGGCAAGTACAATGTTTCAAGGCCAATGTGTGTGCAGGGAGCTGATTGGGCCAGGAACACGCTTAACTGCCAGGTGGTTTTCTCCTTTAATTAAGAGTACCCACTTTATAGGGGCTGGTTAGACCACAAAAGGGTCTGTCGACCCATGGCTGATAAAAAAAAAATTGCTTGTCTTCAGTCAGATTTCAAACCGTAATCTTGGAAGTCTGTGTTTACCCACTGAGCTACCCTGATCTGATCCCATTAGATAAGTATAGAAAAATTGTACACATATATATAAAAGTTATTTTACAATAGACTTAAAATGTATTTTTTCTCTGATACCGCTGGATCTCATTAAAACAGCATCTAGATCTAGAAACAGTTTGACAAGACTTCCATTGAAACTTGAATGAATATGTAACAGATAGGAAAATTTTGGTATATTGGTCTATCTATCATTCTATTGGTAGTATTAGATTTATATGAAAAATTGTTTTATGAAAAAAGTGGAGAATGAAGGAATAAAATTTTGTTTAAAATCAGTTGATGATTAATAGGGACGTTTTTGTCATTATAGAGCTGTAGGAACAGGAGTCTGCAGTTTTCTGGTTTTAGGTGGTATACCCCATATAATGTAATAAGTAAAGAGGCCAGAATTTAAAAATTTATGTAAACAAAATAGCATACAATATGTGTCAATGTAAAAGTAGAAATTGATTAAACTATAAGCATTTGATTCTTAATAATAGGCAGTCGAACCTCTCTAATTTAAGCATTCACTACATTAATATTTATATTAATGATATCTATAATATTAAGCTACAACACGAGATCACCTTACCGAAATAGACCTGGTAACAAACATTAACATATATATATATCAATGCTCTTTTATACTGTTTAGTTTCTGCAAATTGATCTAACATGTTGGAAAATTGTTGGCCAAATCATAGCAGCGCTCCTAGTGTTTAGGAAATGTACTGTTCTTCAAAACATGAAGTATATTCTGCCAATTTTCTATTATGATATTGTAGGTGTTATTCTGTGTTTCTTAAATTCTTTTCATAGTAAAAATGTCGGATAGAACCCATGGCAAAAGTTTTAAAATTGGTCTAATATTTCATAAGTAACACACTGGTTCTATCAAAATAGATATTAATGTAAGTTTAGCTGTGTTAAGGCTATTGCATGATATTTAGGAAATTTTGTAATAACTGCCAATGGCCAATGATGTTAATTCAGTTTGAAATTTTGAACTACTTAAAAGGAGAAATATATATTAACATGTTATATTGGAACTATTTAAAAATAAATGATCAAAAAATGTTTTAATTGCATTAGTGCTACAGTAAATTAGAATACTTGCATATTTTCAGAGGTTCGACTGGACTATGATAAAAATTGTCAACCATAAGAAAGAAAGAATAAGGAAAGAGTGTAAAGAACCTAGAATATCTAATTGTTTAAAAAAAAAAAAATGAGCCTCAAAGTTATTGTCAATTCATTGTGAAAAGTTATTAAGTAACCGTTCATAAAATTAAATCACTATAATTTGAGGTATTTTCTTCTCAATGAAGAAATCGGAACATTACCCAATATGAAGAGTTAAGCTCAATAAAAAATCTACTTAATGACTTTTGGCAATAAACCAACGATACATTTAGCTAAAAACATGTTGGACATACCATAGCAATCACTGCAGTGTTCATTAGGCTTCAACCTCAGGGCGACGGCCGTCGATTCTTTCCTGAATTGACTGTTGGCATTTTCTTCTTCAGCTATTTTTGCAGATCGCTCAGCCATCTTTGCTAATCGTTCACAAAGAATATGATGTAACCTTAGGAAAAGGTACCAATGGTTGTTTCCATAAAATAAGGTGTAATCGTCATCCTAAGAGAAAAAAGAAAAAAACACATGCATCAGTTGATTTTTATAAATACATGAAAAGTTTTATTCTGATCATGACGGAACTGGGTACTGGCATGGAAAAACAAATAATGGAAATTTGAGTTGTCATAAATTAAGAGATAATTTTTTTTTGTCAAAGAAATTTTTAAAAAATGTCAAAGAATTTATAAAAGATTGAACTTAAAAAAAAAAAAAACAAGTATATATTTAACTCATCACTTTAAATAACAAGGTATTTTGGAGATACTGGTGGGAATTGAGCGCTTGGCTTGAGTCCATGTTGGCGTGAAGTATTTCACTGCCAAAAAATGATGATTTAAAACGTCTTTTAACTTAAAAACAAAACAAAAAATGCATTTATAAAAGCTGATTAAATATACTTTAAAGTAAATATTTCTATTCAGGAACGACTGAGAGAGAGAAAATAGAAATATTTCTCTTAGATCGAAGTTTCGAAGCCCTAAACACTATTCTAATCCATATTTTATATTAAAACGTTAATTTCATCGCATCTGGGTATTTTAGTAGGCTTATAGGATTAACCGACTCATAACTTTAGGGGTCACATAGATACCTAACGGTATGAGTGAAGCACTGGCAGATGATTACAAAGCCATGTCTCCGTTCTTGTGAGATAGTTCCATCTATATCACTTTACTCTAATGCTATTTGTCTTTCAAAATATGCATGAGAAAAATTCAGAGAGTTTTGTGTTTTTATTGTTGTAACTTAATATTTATCGACGAATATATATATATATATACACAATTCATTAACGCAAGTTTCAATGGAGGAACTTACAGGCAATTCTGATCTTAAAGCTGAATTTATTTGACATGATGAATATAATTAAAAAAAAAATTACTGTACATATTTAAAAAAATTAATTGACGTTTACTTGATGTTATAAATTTTAAAAAATCGTTATATTTTTTATGATCTATATTGATGAAGTCGCAAGACAATAGATATTAATTAGAGAAATAAAAAAGGGATAGAGATCATTATCAGTATAGTAGATTCGAAAATACTTATTACAACTTAAAAGAAGTGAATTAAAACCCTACACGCAATACTTAATTAATATATTCCTTATAACTTACTGAGTCATTGGGATCCGACTCTACACCGACCATATCTTCATCTTCTTTTTTCTCAATTTTGACTTCGGCTTTATCATCTTTTTTGTTAGTGGGTCCATTAGCTTCTTTTTTAACGTTGTTTGGTGACGTACCTCGGCTATTCGCATCCACTTCAACTTTTTCATCTAATAAAAATAATGACAAAACATAATTTAGACAAAATATATTGTTATATTATAAATTAGTGTAGTAAAATAGTATGGCATAGAGTCTAAAGGTCCTTTTACACAGTCAAGGCTGTTGACCAGTTTCAAGGGTTTTGTCAGGTCACGGAGCCAAATTGATCAAACTCGTAGTGAATTGTTTACTAAACTACAGCAGAGGAGCTCCTTGTTTTCAGAGAACATACTATTCTTTAAAGCATGTTTAATATCCTGCAATTTCTAATGTGTTATTTTCAGAGTGAATTTCTGTTAGGTTATATATTCTTATTTATGTATAGATATCTACTAGGTTGGAGCCACGACCAAGTTTTAAAATTGATTAAATTGGGAAGACAGTCCGTCTTTGTATGACATTATACTGCTCTTCCTTAAACAAATTTTATTGTTGCTCTTGAGGAGGTTTATTACTCTCACATCCTATACATGGAGACAATTAATGGGTATTGAAACACAAAATAAAAATACTGGTATACCTAGCGGAAATATATGTTAAATACAATCCCGACTTTGTTCGAGAACTTAACTGTGTAAAAGGGTCTATTAAGATTGAAAACTGAAGTACTTGAATATAATTTTGGTATAAAAACTCTTGCTCGTGTAAAATGGCATTATAAAAATGTAAATATATATTACAGCTAAAAATTAAAAGAGTAGATTAAATTAAAAATATTTCCTCCACAATGTTTGATGGAATTAATGCAATGAAGATGTAATATGAAAAAGAATTGATTACAGCCAAAATCACCCACCCCTCTCTTCCCAAACAAATTATACTACAGCTAGGATATTAATACATTAAAATACGATTTGTCTTGACTCCTAACAAATAATCAAGAACTAATGATGAATTTGTCCCAACTTTTAAGATAAATTTATTGTGGATTCTCAATATTTAAATACTAATTCTAAATGTTAAGATTATTATTAACATCTTAACGATAACTCACCAGAGTCTAGTTCATCATCTGAAAGATCTTGCCTCCGATGATGAAACATATCTGGCAGATAATGCCGCAGAAGTTGTTTGATCCTCGTTTTGTCAGATTTATGAATAGCTGTTTGTCTTTTGACGTGGTGTATCAAGAGATTAGCTGCATCGTCAAGAGCAGTCTTATCCGGATAGGTCAATACCATATGAGGGCCAGTTTTGTTTTCATCTCGTTCCTGCCTCTGTATAAAAAAAAACAAAAACAAATATTTAACTTCTTGGAAATATAACTATGTTCTCCCCACTCTGCTATATCCAAAAATTAAAACAATATAATTATGACTGAAATTTATTTTGATTTAGAATTTAACGAGTGAGCCTCTTACAAAGAAAATGTTAATTAGATAATTATAAAAAATTTCTGAGAAATTAAAAGACAGCGATTGGTTATTTGTTAGTATTTCGTAACATTAAAAAAAAAAAACTAATAACGAAAAAAGGACAACTTCTGCAAGAAAAAATTAAATTGAAAATAATAACTCTCCTTATTAAGGAGCAAGTTTTATTTAGCTAGTAATTGGATGAAACAACTTCATATATAACGATTCAAATCATTTAACTGTCTCAAATTTAAGCTTTTATCTAAGCATGATTGTATATGCAGATAGGAAGATAAGAGTCATATAGGATTTTGTACAGAAGACTACTATATACGGTAATCAAAATGCGAAAATTCCTATAATATGATAAAAAGTACCTGACATAAATATCATAACAAAATTAATAATAAAAGAAACTAATAAATACCTCATCATATGCTGTTTCTATTTCATTGTAAAGGGGTTTAGATCGCAGAGCTTTGAGATCGTTCTGCTTGAAGTTAATCCCTTGATGATCTAATGATTTTAAGTAATACTTTTCATTCTGATCTCTCCAAACTTTATTAAAACCCTGAAAAAACAAAATAAAATCCCTTCACTATTGATTAAACACCACTTCAACAAGATAAATTTGTTAACAACGATAAATTAGTTTGAGAACTATCGGCTTATTATAACATGTTTACTAATCCAGAAAATTCTAACGAATTCTCTCATAAAAAATTTTTAACTAAGAAAATTTTAATTAATGACTTAAGAAAAGTCATGAGAGACTTGTTATTATGTACAGACATTTTAAAAATGAAAACTGCATACCTATATGTACGTGTGTGTGTGTGTGTGTGTGTGTGTGTGTGTGTGTGTGTGTGTGTGTGTGTATATATATATATATATATATATATATATATATATATATATATATAAAAATGATTTTGTCAGTGTTAATTGAAAATTGATTATTTGTGACATTTATTTTTAAAGTGAACATCCTAATTTATGAAATTTTAATTCAAGAATTATTTGTGAATTTATTAGCATATATTGTGAAGTGCTATAGCGTAACTATATTTTGGTATTAAAAGTCAAACGATGTAAGAGTTACATCTTAAAATAATAATTTAAATTGTAAAATTGTAAATAAAAATATCTAATAAATAGTAAAATTTATTATCGTTATCCTTTTAGCCTTAATACTCATTGCCCTCCAAAAGTGGCATGTTGCAATATTATAAAAAAAAAAAAAGTTATTACTTTTATCAATACCGCTTGTAAAAATAGGGAATATATCCATCCCAGCCTGGTTTATTCCAAAAAGTACATTTTTCATGAAGATAAACCTTCAGCTTAGTTTTCGTGTATTTCGGGCTTTATTTATTACGTACAAAAACTCAGTATGTTATCAAAAAGACATCAATTATTTTTATATATAAAATATATATACTAAGCCACAATGTTCTGAATTCACAACTGATATTCAATTACATAAATAGCAATTAAAATTTATTAAATGTTACTATGACGTTATGCACTAAACTAATAATTTATACACTTCGAGAACAGAAAAGGATTTTTAAAAAATAAATAAATAATAAAAATTGAATAAATATAGCATACCTTCTGGGCTTGCCTCCACTCCAGTTCTTTTGATTTAAGCCTCCTCAAGACAATAGGGACTGCAACACTTGGATTCTTTTTAAGCCCTTCTACAATATCCCCCGACTTGTCACCATAGATTCTGAATGAAATAAAAGATAAAAACAATTAAACATTTAATAATACTAATTTATACTTGAAAGTAAAGTTAAAGAAAGTTGTTGTTCTTTTTTTAGTATTTTATAATTAATACCTCTTGAGAGCCTTCTGATGAATTGTAGCCGAAGTGCCTCCTAACGAGTCATCGAGCCTAAATTTGGCCAGCTCTTCCTGGGTCATTCTCGACATTTTCCTTTGTACTCCATCCAATACTTTTATCGTAGCAGCATTACATTCGATTACAAGATCTAACTGCAAACGGAAAAAAAAAAAATTAATTACATTATTAAAAAAAAATTAAGTACAAAATTAAACAACAACAATCAATTGTGTAAAAACACAACTTTTATTTACCTCAAACCTTTCATCTTCACACCTATAGATATACTCTTCATACTGGGTCTTCCGGGATGTTACGAATGTGGCTTCTTCAGACCAAGTAGGAAATGAAACCCATGTATCGTTTAAAACTTGTCGACAAAGCTGAGTTCTTCCAGAACATCTGGGAGGAGCTGATCCTTTGGGTAAAGCACAGTAACTTGCTCCAATCCTTTTGCATGTTGTAAAATCTACTTAACAACACAAAATTCATTTTGTTAAAATATTATTTACCTTAAATATCTGAACAACATATTTAATGTACACATTATAAATTAATCTTTATCAGAAGTTAAAGCTTAATAAATTATATAATCCCATTGGCTCACATATTTACACTATTATTTTAAACATTAGAGAAAAAAAAATTTAACTTCTAGAAAATAAACTAATTAAACAGAACTTTGAGCTATGAGAATTGAAGATAGCAGAGTGTTTATTATAGCAACATTTATGTCATAAATGAATATTTGAATAATTTCAGTAATCACTGGTGAGAATTTTAAAACAGATTTATTTTGGTAGCACTAATTGTAATATAAACGTCAGTGCAAAATATAAAACTAATGCTAGCTTCAAATTGTAATATAAACGTAAGCACAATATAAAACTAATGCTAGCTTATCTCACTAAATAAATTCTTCATTATCGCTGACACTTCATGAAAAATATCTTCAAATAACCCTTCTTATACCAATAAATTAGTCATATCAGAAGAAATTTATAACAATAGGTAAACATAAACTATCGAATAAAGAAGGTTTTGTTTATTTGTAACCAAGCATCAGTAGCGGCACCAGCGGAAATCGCTGTAAACTTTCTGCAGGTCTATATAAAACAATATCTTTCTACATACTGTTAATCAGAAAGAATTTTTTCCCCTAATTTTAATCAAGTTCCACAACTATCACTGTTTGTATTAGTAGTATGAAGAAGATTTTCGAGCAGATAAAAAAAACTGAAACGACATTCACGCCCTTGACAGAAAAAAATATACCCATTACTGTCATTTTTATAGTTCAGTAATAAACAAAATCAAGCAGTTCTTTAGTAAAATAATACCTTTTTACCCTTTTATTCTTCAGTCATGTAAATTTGTTTGAATGCAAATGTTCAATTACATAATTGCCACTTTTGACTTAAGTATTCACTTTTGACTTAAGTATTCATTTTATATAAATAAGAATTATCATCCCTCAACAAAATGACAAGTAGAGTTAGTTATAGTACTTTCGACAATTTTACTATTTTTTAAAACAAATTTGATAAACACTTACTATGAAAGACATACTTTAAATGAAGAACTAATCTTAATCTTGTAACTATACTATTATAAGTAACGTTCTATTTAAATAAATGTTAAGCTACTTCATGTAATATTTTAAGAGCATGATACGTAAATTACCTGAAATTATCATTGAATAATAAATATATCATTTTCTATACTTACCAATATCACTCGTCGTTGATTCACTAGGAGCTAGGTGCAAAGGTGGAGCAATTGCTGGGGGATCGGAAAGGGTAGGCGAAGCCGGACTCGCAAGAACATCACCAGTAACCCCGAGTGTTTCTTTTAGCCATGATAGATGTTCAGGGTGTTTGAGAAGCAATGGTGTTAGGAGAATGATTAATTCACTCCGAGAAATGACTTCACAGTTATAGAGGTACACGCACTTTAGGACTGATTCATAGGCTCCAGTACTCCTTAGGCATTTCTTCAACTGCACAAACTAAAAAAAATAACAATCATTAGAAAATGTACTCAGTGAATTAATAAAAAAAAATTTAACTGACCGTAGTAATTAAGTAAAATAAGGGAAAGGAAAGATGTAGAAGCCAGAATAAGAAGTAGATGAGTGAACTGAAGAAGTAGAAGCCAGAATAAGCATCAGGAGATCTCGAGGAATATTTTTCTCTCTCTTGCAATGAACCTTTTCCCATAACACAATATTACCATCTACAAGAAGCTTGAGTTTTCCTCTCATTATATTTTAATCCCTGTCATAAGGGATAGATTCTACACAGGAGAGGGATAAATCTTCCTCAAGGTCACTTGGATCTTATTTTGACTTTTAATATAATGTGTAATAAAAATCAACATTGATTAATTATTGAAGACTAAAATGTTGCATAATTATATATCTTATGATTTTTTTAAAAGAAAGCGTTAAGTTAAAGCTAAATTTGGCATTCATATTTCTGACAAACAGCTCAAATATAACTAGATAAGAATGAGACAATTTGTCATGAATTTCAGGTGACATTTATATTGGATTTGCCGAAGTTTCGACTTAAACATGTATGTCATCCTCAGGGCTATCGTTTGGAGGTCGGGACAAGAACTACTTCCTAACGATAGCCCTGAGGATGACCAACATATCTTGACTGAAACGTCGGCTAACCCAACAAAAATATCGATTGAAATTTCTGACAATATCGTTTAATATTGTTATATTTGATCAGTTGACTACTAACCCATTTCTATAACTAGTTAAGATTATTCTCATAAATTACCTGTTCAGAATATGTGTGGTTGGCAAGTGAGGGAATATTAGCATTAGAACCAGGAGCAGAAGAAGACTGCAACTTCTGCCTCTTTATCGTAGAAGCAGTAGTAGTTAAAGGAGGAACTGAAGGTGAATATAGCTCTGTGGCAGATCTTTTACTACCAATCCCCAGGTTGGGTTTAGCGGTCGGAGGGGAATTCTTGTTGTTCGTCGTCGAGCCTGCGTTGCTACCGGTATGATGATGATGGTGGTGATACTTTCCTCCCTGGGTAGACTTCACTCTATCAGAAATCTTGTTGCCCTACAAATAGGAATAATAATAAGTAATTTAGAAAATTAACAATGATCTAAGTTATTCGCTATTAACTTTCTTCAGCAAAGACTAGATAAAAATGATTTGAATAATGGTAGGTTATCTACTAAAAAATTAATACAAAGAAAGGAATAAAAATTACATTATGAAAGGTAAATTAAAATATAAAAGTACTGTATATAATGGAAAGGTATAGGATAAATATGAGATAAAATATCATCTGTAGTACGTTAAAAAAAAAAAATTGTAGTACAACAGGATAACAGACAAGACAGATTGATAAGTATGATAACACCGGAAAATAATCAAATAGGAATATATAAAAATAAATAGACAAGTGAATTTAAGTAATTAAACTTAACCATTTATTAATAAACAATAAACGGGAAATGTATGGTATATAAACCTAGGAAGCTATAAAATAGCAGTAACTTAAATAAATCGGTAGATTTACATTTACTTTTTAAATGGAGAACTCAGACTGAAAAAATGAAACTTAAAACATTTGAAGTCTCTAATAATAAGAGCAGTGGTGTGTACTATGAAGTATGGATGCTGTAAGTTTCAAACCAGTTAGCCTTAAGGGTCTTTGAAAAGAAAATAGAAAGACATATTTTCGGCCCTGTATGCTAATAAGACACCTGGCAAATCAAACAGAATAGAGCTTTATGAACTCATAGGGCATGTGGATAGTCAGGTTTGTAAAATCAAGAAGATAGAGTTGGCTTAGGCATATCGAAAGGTTACCAGAAAGAAAAGCTGACTTTTAAAGTAAAAAAACAATGGCTAAAGGATGTGGAACAAGACTTATATAACTAAACTTGGAGTTACTGTCTGGAGGATTAGTTAAGTTTCAGCAGGGTGCTGGAGACAAATTGTGAGGTAGGCCTAAGTTCATATTGGACTGTAGCGCTAGATAAGTAAGCAGTTATATATAAATTATATAAAATGGAATGGTGAAACACTGAATACATAAAGATTATCAATTAACCTGACAATCGCGTATAATATTATTGGAGGAATCTTTGCAATTATAAAATGATCAATTTTTATTTAATTCATTTAATATGATTAAAGTATCATTTTTATCGTTTCTAGAAAATATTTCACGAATCAGCAAGAAAAAGCTCACAAACAACTCCTAAACACCTAAACCTATCACCTATTAGCGTGTGTCTAATCATAAGTATAATTGGGGAGATTTATGATTCTAAAGCCAAGACATATTGACATTCTAAAAAACAGACTCATTCAAAAATGTTCTTGGATGGAAACTGTGCAAAGAGAAGTAATCTGCTCAGCAACTGAGCAGCTCTATCAAGAAATTTATAGTAATATATACAGGTCACTGTAAGTTGAACTATCATATCAAACAGCATATCATATATCACTTGTTGGTCGACAAGTTTGCCGGGTTAAGATTGCGTTTTTTTGGTACCGATAAATTTCTAGAACCTACGGACAACAACCTTGTCAATCCGACAAGCCTTCTTCGATTTGTAGATACTGCAGAAATATTGCTCTGCAAAAGAGCAATATTAATTATGGCACAGAATAGGACTTCATGGTCGAGGTGCCTATTGCCACGGGAAAAATAAAATACGTTATATATCATTTTTAAGTTATTTTTTACATCAGAAGCATGTAACTATTAACGACTCAGAAATCAATATTTTTATCTGTTGTCACAAACCAATATTTGTATTTAACCATACAATCAAATACAAGATTTGAAAATTATTAAATCTTAAAATTTCTAGTATCATTATTTTTTTATCTAGTGGCCATTTCCTAAGTATAATTATAATTACTATATATTTATTTTTTTAAAAGAGAAAATGATTATGAAACTTACCAAGTTTGCTAACGAGAGTGAATTATGGGATGTAGCATCAGGCAGAAACTGCCCAAACTCTGCAAGAAGATCATCATGATTTTCGAAAAGCTGGGCTACCTGGGAGTAAACTTCCGCTTCGGTTAGATGTTTGCCGCCTCCACCAGCGTTCCCACTTGTCTCCTAAAAAAGAAAAAATTAAACAAACATCAGTTACCTGATGACTGATAAATAATAAATAACTTCATTAAATATAAAACAGGAAACAGAAAATGATTTTAATTAATATTATAAGTGAAAGTAAAAATTGAATGTGGAAGTGTACAATGAGGCAGGAGTGTTTAAAAATTTGTACTCATTCATTTCATAGTGTACGCGCACATAAATTTTCGCATAGCTACGCTACAATAGGTTACTACTAACCTAGATCTAATAAAGCAAAATAATAAAACCAAATTAAAAGGTAATAAATAAATTAAGTCAGTTTTAAATCTTACTTTAACATTTCTCTGCTCCTTTTGGTAAGTGTGCAGTATTTCAAGAAATTTCTTGTATTTGTCAGGTTGTCCTTGAAAACGGTTCTAAAAAATAAAATAAAACAAAACAAAATAAATAAACAATAGATTATAAAAAAGGGGGTCTAGAAATCGAAAAATAAAATAAAATTAAAATAAATAAAATGAAAACTTAATTAAAATAAAAAATATTGGGCCACACATGTGACGGTGCCTATGAAACAGGCCTTTAGCCTACTCCTACTTCTGGAGCATATTTAAAAGTTAAGTAAGCGATGAATAGGCTTCATGTTAGTAGAGGAAATTACTTCTCATTGCTAGTAGAACTTATAGTTAAAATATAGCACACTCAACCAGTTGAACACAACTTTGTTTAAATTTATAATACAATTTTAAAATATTGAGTAACAATGACAATACTTAATATGTATGAGGGATAAATGGTATTAGTGCTGAAAAGTAACAAATGAAATTGTTTCTTAGGTGAAAATTAAAAATAATTATCCCAATCAAAACAAAAGTAGACTTAAATTAAAATGTTAGGTCTGGTAAACCATTTTTGAACAGAATATTTAAGGTACTATTCTACCGGTACTGCCTACCCCAGCGGCTCCTGGCCATTGAGTTCCGCTTTAAGAGAATAGAACAGAGTATATTTTCCTCAGCAATATTAATATGATATAATCTCTCTACTGCTTCGAACTGCTACTGTTCCAAAAGCAGTGAAGCTGTTGTCAGTATTACAGCTCTAAGTAATGCTACTTAATAGAAGATTTTTCATAATTATGTTAAAAAGCGGACCTGCATACTGTAAGCAAGAGAATCATTCATCATTTCATCCTCTTAGTAATGAGCTATTATTCAAAATTATATCTTTAAGAGGCAAAGAGGAAAAATAGTGTCGAAAACCAACTGATAACGAATTTTATTGAAGATATGGATTAAAATATCACAGAAACTAAAAATCAGACCTGCATACCTCTCTCTAAGCAAGGAAATTGTTCAGCATTTCATTCTCTTTGTAATGAGATATTATTCAAAATTGTATCTTAACGCGACACCATGTTAGAGAGGGGAAAAGGGAAGAAAATAGCGTCACCGGTGTGCTTTAAGTAGAAAAGAGCCGATTTTTTTCATAAAGTTCATGTTGCTATGTTTTATTTCTTTTTTTTCATCTTTTCAGACAAGACTAAATGGAAACTTGTTTAAAATTTAAACAAAACTATAGAAAATAATTTTTTATTCAATGTAGGATTAAATTAACATGGGTATTGATTATATTTTGGAATTAATATGTGGTTTATGGGTGGATAATATTTTATAGTACAGATAAAACTTAGCCTTATTACTGAACTTGAATTACCAGGCAGCATTGCTATAAAACTACAAATATTTCGGCATTTTCGATACAAATGAAAACCACTAAATCCAAGCTTAGTATTTTCATTTTAAACTAGCAGGTTTAATAGCTATGGTGAGCAGTTTCAGCAAAATACACAAAAAGAACTAGTCTGTGCCATCAGGTGCAACGGGCAGTATGAGTAAAATTGTACCTTAACAAGAAATAATTATATACTATTATTTTTTTAACAACTTCTTTTTGAGAAATTGACAACCCTTCGAGTTAAAGTTTGATGCATAAATACTTGAATGAAACAAATTCTCTATCAGTGCCAGTCTTTTTCCCAGACCTTTCTTTCTGCTTCAATCGCCCATAAAACATACTCATACTCTAGATCCCAGTTGGTGAGCGATATTCATAGTCTTGACTCGCACTTTCTTAATTCCCTTTTTTACTCTTATATTTTTTCTTATTACTTCTTTAGATAAACAACTATTCATCTCAGATATATAAATATAATATTCCATATTTTTTACGCTTCAGGCTCTCTTATTGTTTATTATTTCGGCTCTCAAATAAACTAATATTCTGTTTTTATAAACTATGGAAATAGACAACATTTATTTTAAAGAAAGATTTAAGTTAATCTGAGCATTTTCTAGAATAGAAAATTTTCATTTCTGTTTCATGTTTATCGTAATCTCACTTTAGATTAATTCCAAATTTTGAAGGTTCAAATACTCGAAAGGTAAACTTCTTCTTAAAAAGGAATTCTTTTTTTTTTTTTTTTTTTTTTTAATGCACTGCAGCCAAAAGAATGCTTATTATGCACCAAAATTAGTGTCTCCATTAATCGGAGAAATATTACGGCAGTCTCAGCAAACTGAAGTAAGCTTGTCGGATTTATAAGCTCGCTAATTAAATTTAAATATTGTAAAAAATAAATATAGGCTTACAGAAAAGAAAAAATTTCGGCTATCATAACTTTTAATCTTTGTAAATACGAAGCTGTCCATTAATTAATTTAACAACACAGGTGTTCTATAAAAAAAGGTGAATCCAACAATTTACTATACTTCAGGTATAGTAGACAAAACTTTTTTTAAAAAGTTTTGTTTACGCCATTAAAATACCCAATTTGTTGTATTTATTCTTTTTCAACGTTGACGATATTCTAGTTTAGCACAATTTAAATTAAAAAAAAAAACACATGTACCACTACAATCCATGACGGGTCTTGGGTTCAGTGCTATTTAGGGAAAGTACTGTTTCAAGGCCAACGGTTGTGCAAGGAAGGGATCGGGCCAGGATCACGCTGAACCGCCAGGTTTTCCCACTCAATCAATTATTTAATTAAGGGTACCCACTTTGTAGAAGCTAGGAGTGGCCCAGGATGGTTTCCCTATCCCAGGGTCGCCCCACGGCTAATGAAACAGAATAAATAAATTTTCTGCCCTGAGCCAGGATTCGAACCTGGGACCTTGGAATCTTAGTGCTCGCATAATTTATACAACACCCTTCAATTACAGGCCCTTTTCATGGACACTGTCACATATTAGCTATACTTTAATTACCCTCCTCTAATACATACATTATATCTGTATAAATAAATAATTAATATAAAATATTATATATATATAATATATAGTTTATGAGGGGAAAAAAATAAAGCTTTAAAAAAAAAAAAAAATTATAAAAGAAATAAAACTTACTTTAATTTTGTTGACATAATTGATGGCATGGTTGAATTCAACCGGTTGGTTCGTAGTAGACTGATGATTAGTTGGTTGTGACGGAGGAAGGTTACTAGACCCAAGAACTTGGAGAGCGCTTGCACCTCCACTAGCCCCTCGCTCAGGAATAGCCTTGCTACTACTGTTGGCCAATATTCCAGTAGATGTCCTGATACAGAGAACAAATTTCATATAAATATCAAGAAAATTCCTTCAATGGGAATACTTTGCATTTTGATTTAAACTATCACAAAATAAAAAAATAAATCATTTACCCATACACTGCTGGAGGTACTTTAGACTGTTGATTTGTCACTACAACACTGGGTGGTTGGGTCGGTGTCAAAGGAGGAATTTCAGTCATGGTATGATGCCCCAATGGGTTCGAAACTGATACTTGCAAAGAATATCCCTGAGAAAAAAATATTCTTTATTTAAAAAAAAAATAAATCATTCAAATGAATACATAAAAATAATTTACAAAATATTTTTATTCCAATTTCTGGTTCAGACCTAATTACTTTGAAGTACTTGTGTTCTATCACTAGAGAAGAAAGTGTCAATGATTAAAAAAAAAAATAGAATGATAAATGTAAATATTACCATTAGATTTATATTGAATAATTAAATATAACATATGATAAAAACTATTAACATTGTGAAATAATTACACTATTGACAATCATAAACTTCAATTAATGATAATAATAAATGGACAAAATTAACAATTTTATATCATGGTAATTAAAGTAATGGAATATTCGGTAAGTTTAAAAAATAAAAACATGACATTTATAAAACCAAGATATGTTTTAGTAAATCTGATTTTTAATTCATAAAAAAAAAAAAAAGCACACAAAGCAATTATGAATTCCTGAATACTATATACTATAATGTGATAAAAAATAAGGGAATTAAAAGAAAAATGTCTAAATGTAACTTTCAAAGAATTATATTTAACCACTTACAGTATCGTTTGCTTGAACTTCAATCTTGTATCCAGGAGGGAGGAAAGTATTGAATCCAGAAATGAGTTCAGGATATCCTTTGAAGAGATTCGAAACCCGAGTTATTACACCAGGAGTGTCAATACTTAAAAAAAAAAAAAAAATGATAACTTTAAAAATATAATCATACTGATCAATTAGACTTATATTGCTGTATTTAAATGTAAGAAGAATTAACTATCAATAATTTTTTTTAATCTCAATAAAAAATATATAAAAATAAAATCGTAAATACATAGTTATGTAAGTTAAGATCACTCAGAACCCTTTTCCACAGTGAACAGATTAAGTTACCTTACATAGTTATAAACAGGAGCCGAGTTATAATCTTCTTAAAAGTGTGCAAAGGGCTTGGAGATGAATACAATATACAACTCTTAGGAAGACCATTTTTTGACTTACTGCCTTATTCTCTCAGACCATAGAAATATTTCAAAATCAAAATCTTGTAACTATTAAACCATGTGATTAGAAGTTACAATATTTAATTTATATATTATTAACAGGATGTTCCAAAGAGGGAAATCTACAAAAAAGTTTATATAAACAATGCCTCAATTGAAAGCGAGAAATACGAAAATATTTAATTTAATTAAGTAAAAATTGTTTCACAGTAAACTAGATAAAATTTTCTTCAAATAAAAGTAAAGTTCGCCATTGTTGATACCGCTTGAAGAGGATTTTTGGAGTGGCTGAACTCACCTGAGGCCCATCATAAAAAAAAAAAAATTATGAATTATTTGCAATTATTTTTTTATCTCCCTCGAACTATACTACAGATACTTCACTTTTAGAAAAACTTCCTAGTTTAATTTGCTTCAAGTTTATATAAATTTAGTTGAGGTTTATTAGGAAAAACCTCTTGATTTACCTCAAACGGTCTAAGAAAATGATATAATTTTATATCTTGTCACCTAAAAGTAGCAGTTTTCCAGTAAAAACGACTAAAATAAACTGTTGCAAAGCTTTTATTTTTTGTTTTTACATAATCTGGAATGTATTACAATAAATAAAAATACATAAACATGTATTTATTTCTAAAAACGAAAATGTTAAAAAAATTAATTTTTTGATTATTCATCATCTAAAGTGCTAGTAAAAATGTGTTGTTTTTATTTACTAAGATCTCTATTACACACATTGATGATTCATACTTATAAGTGAATAAATCAGTGTTCTTTTTCCTAAAATTTACGTTTAAAATAGAAAAAAACCTGCTGGTTGCTTCAATTATTTTCCGGAAAATGTAAATTTTATGACTAGAAACAATTACAAAGGGACATTTAATAATGCTGCTGTACTGCTCATGTATGGGTAATGTAACTGCAGCAGTACAGCGGCCATATCAGACGTTACAAAATCCCTTTTATCATTGACCTTAGTAAGTTTGAAGTCTCTTCAGCAAACATTTTGTCTACTTTAATATAGTGTACTTAAAATTTAATTATCTACAACAATTATAATTGTTTTTGAGCAATTTATTCTTAATAAAAAAAAACCATGACCACCATAAGAAAAACACTAAAAACTCCTATTCTATTCGGAATTAGCCTGTGCATCAAATTAACTTTTATGTTGAGAATCGACCACCAGAGTTTGGTCAATAAGAACTGAGAACCTGTATAAATTAAAATTGTAATAAAATTTTAAAAAAAGGATCAAATAATGCAGTACTGACCACTGGGACTTAAATTCCTTCATTATTTCCAGAAAGTCATTATAGACTTGAGGTTGATTGTTGAACTTGTACTTCACTTGATCCAAATAGGAGAGCGCATCTTCAACTTTCAACCGCTGAAACTGTTGCTGATTATTGCTGGCGCTGACTGTGGCCGCTGCGCTACTAGTGTTAGGAGGGCCACTTCCAGGCGTAGTTACCTGAAAATAAAAAATTGATCAGTAAAATGTAAATTGTTAAAATAATTAGCAAAGGTCAGCCCGAGACAGTTAATGAGAAAGGTCGTAACTCCCTAATAAAATGAATCGATCGAATATTGATGTAGAGCACAGGTGGAGAACTGCGACCTCTAAACATTATTGTACGATATTAATTAATCTAGCACTAGAATTAATTATTCAAGGTTACAAACATTCGAAAATTAATAAAATTAAATTGAATATTTATATATGGGTGTGTTTATTAAGTGACAAATAAAAATTGGAAAAGTATAATACAAATATTTTTTGCAGCGTTGCCCTTACTACAGCTCCTAATGATAAAAAGGTTTCCTACCTATGACGTAGAGTCAAGCGGGATTTATCACAATTAACCACTGCTTATCACTATTTATATCTTTTATTTGTACTTCAGGTCCATCAATTTACTTATGCTTTCTTTCTCATATTTAACCATAAACAGCCAAATCTGACATAAAACAGTAGCCAATTTTTTTGAGTTATAATAACTCATTTTGTGAGAAAGTAAAAAATGAACTACTACAACACATGAGTGCTCTTGAACTCAATACTTAGTGAGGAAGAACTGTTTCAAGGCCAAAAGTTGTGCAGGGAAGTGATTGGGCCAGTATCACAATAAGGCTTTCCTACTTAATTACTTATTTAATTGAGGATACCCGATTTAAAGAGGTTAGATGTGCTCAAGAGGGTCTTCCAATCTCAGGGTCTATCCACGACTGATGAAACAGAATAAATAATTACCTGCCATCAGCCAGATTTGAACCCAGGACACCTTGAGCTTGTCAGCATTTTATCCACTGAGCTAACCCATTCTCTTAGTGAGTCAGTAACACATTCATAATTTGGTTATGTCATCTTTAAAGATAACTACGTAATATTTTAATAAAAACTAATTATGTGAAGATTTGAGATTTTTTTTTTTGCTCTACTATTAAAATTTAATACAATGCTTGGCAAGATAAGATTACACTACAAACATGACCTAATTTCTTTTAGTCTATACCAGAGGTCTTCAAATTGTGACCCACGGGAGGAATCAGCCAGCACTTCCAGAGCGGTCCACGAAAGTTTCTTGGATTACATGGTAAAGATATAAAAAAATATGAAATTTAGCAGATTACTCCTACAAGAGGTACATTTATTGTATAAGTTTTTTTTTTTTCTCTTAGAAAGCTCATTTTACAACTGAAGTGTCATTTATAGAATAAGACATTTTTCTTTTCTTCACAAGCTGTGGCCATTGCTGGTTGACCCATGGCTACCTGATGGGAAGGGAAGATCCCCCTCAGTGTCAACTCTGTAAAGTGGCTCTCACAGTGAGCCATATCTTTGACTAGTGTCCTCGCTACAGGAGAGAGATGGGAAGACGTGGTGTACCTCGTCAGCTCTGTGAGGCACTAACAGATAACGAACAACGTATCGATAGTACCATTGAATTCATTAAGAACATAGGGCTAATTCAACTAATCTGAACTAAATTATTTTTTCTCACAAATTTGCAATATATTGACTTAATTTCTATATACTCTATACTTTTTTCTCTTTCTTCTTTTTTTTTTTTTTTTTTTTCCTCTCTTCTCGATAATAATTTATGTATACATTTTTTGTATTCCTTTTTAAAACATATTTATTTTTTAATAGTAGTTTTAAGATTGAAAAATAAATCAATCAGTACAATTTGAGGGCAATGATAACCGTCAGCAGTTTTTTGCCCCTAAATCCAAAACAACAACAAGCTGTGGCCCACGGCACTTACGGAAGGTCTCGCTCAATATGGAACTTGGACCAAAACATTTGGAGACCTCTGGTCTACACTAATATAAGTGGACATCTCCATGTTAGAGAAAAAATAATTGTAATAAGAGCTTCAGAAAACTACTAGATCTAATTTCGACCAAAATGGAGATGCCCACCTCAATTATAATAGCCTGTATTAAATTAATTCAACTTACTTTATTTTGCCTAATATGAGGCTGCTGCACAAGGATACCAGGACCGCCACTAGCAGTACTGCTGCCGCTGACGGGCAATACTGACGATTGCGGCTAAAAATAAAATTAAAAACTCATCAGATTAATAATTGTACTCATTACATGCATGAATAAAAATTTATTTGAATACAAAAAAAAACAAAAAAAAAAAACTGTCATATTAGGAATTTCATTTAAATATAACAAGTGACAATTATATATTATGTAGTATACTTGTTATAATTATTAGTTTAATAATTTTTTATAATTCAAAACTAATTATAATACCTTGATACTTGTTGTAATAGAAGGCATTGTGACATATGATTGTATAGGATATTGCTGCTGTAAAGACCCGACTTCACCGGTGCTGGCACCTTTCAGTGTTTGAGACGACGTTCCGAAACTTGTTTGTACAACACTAGTACCTGTTGACGTTAAATATATCATTCACAGTTTAATAAATAACAATATAATATTCAAATCTGACGAAAAGTATAGAATTTTAATATCATAGAACTTAATTTACCTGTGTGAGGAGACCTTTGAATTTGATGCTGAGGAAGACCCTCCACTTTCGGGACTGGTTCTTCAATCCTACGCTTCATTGCAACTTATATCCACCTGCCTTTAACAAAATATAAACATTAAAGTAATAATTATTAAATATTATTTCTTAAGGATTTTTTTTTTACTTTCACTTACCTATATATGTAATATATAGTAAGGGAAAGTATTGTGATCATGAAAATTTTCTAATCTTAAATTTTAATGGAAATATATGATTCAAGGTTCTCTGAGTCCAAATAAGTAAGTCCTGCAGAATGTGAGTGTGTGTGAGTGAACAACCTAGCCCATAAACGAAAAGTCGCCAGAGATTTATATGCCACAGATTTTGCAGCAACTTTTTCGTCAAAATCGGCTAATCTGAAGTGGCACTTTATATAATTGATTTTAAACATTTTTACAATTTTTCTGAAAACAGCTTTAACAATTATATTTAAACTCATTAGATCAATTTATCACCAAGCGATTCTTAGATTAAGGTCTTATCCTCATTGATGTTTTCTAACAAGAGTTTGAATACCAAATTTCAAAAATTTATTATTATTATTTATTTAAAGAAATTAGCCATTTCACATGATAACAACTAATATAAAACATATAAATACAAATTATGAACGAATTTGATAAATAATAAAGGGGAAATAAGGGTTAGTACTCCTAGATAGATGGATGGAATAAAAATTGTTAAAGCGGAAATCGCTGAAGGCGTCAGACTTTTCCCGATCCTGCTACACTCAACTACTCACGTCTGTATATGACTGTTCTATGGTTATTTATTGATAGTTTATTGAAGGAAGCCATTCAACTGTTCTACATATCATGGGTGATAAATACTCAGGAAGCAGTCATTATTAAGTTTTTATTAGTGCCAACGTTTCAACCCAAACATGTGCGTCATCCATCATCAGGGCGTGGTTTGAGCACTGAAGGTATTTAAGTACTGAGTATATGAGTACTAACGGCACTAATAAAAACTTTATAATGACTGCATCCTGAATATTTATCACCAATGATATTGATAGTTTAATTGATAACATTAGTTTCTTTTACAAATAATTTTTAAAAAGATTGTCATGCTAAATGTTAAGGCTATATATCTACTAATATTAACTTTTTTTTCCGTTTTGGATAAAGTTCAAAATTTTTAATAAAAATCCATTTGCACTTATATTTTTTCATGATGGTAAGATTTTAAACAAAATCCTATTTAGCCAGGATTCATTTTTACTTCTTATTAATTAACTTTTATTAAAATTTATCTAGTAGCAAGCAATTATTTTTAACATTTGTCTATTTCCTCTTATCTATATTTTCTTTTAATAATGTATTTTGAACACAGCCACAATGTTTTGTACGGTAATTAATTATTTAAAATAAGTATACTATATCATCAGTAGTTTTTACTTCCCTACATATGAAAACACATTTTTCTATTCAAGATTGGTTGGTAAGTCAAATTTATATAATGCGCGCACTACACCTAATTTTTTTTTCTTTTAGACCATGCCTCTTAAAGCTTCATAAAAACCAATAATCGATCTATTATTTTTTATAACACCTTTACACCTAATAATGTTTTGTTTTTTCCTGCTGGCTTCACAGACCTTGTAGATCATTTGCCGCCCTAACCAGTCTATTGCTTTCCAGTTCTCAGCATGCAGCTCTGCAGTATCTCTGTTGTTTTTATTTATTAATCTGTTCTATGACCTTCCAAGTCTCTTGCCAACTATTGAAGCATTCATAATTGTGTAGAGGCCTCCAGATGTAATAATTTTGAGCAACATGTCCCACACATCTTAACCTTCAGATCATGAGATATTGACAAACCAGTTTTTGCAAACAGTTTTTTATTGATCTATCTTTCTTCTATGTATCTTTGGGACTAGTACACTGATGATCAAAAATTAACAATCAAAATTAGACTTCATCTTAAAATGGATAGAAACTTCCCCCAACATAACTTAGATGCATTTAACTCCATATCGCGCACTCCCTAAACGTGTTTTAAACGGTAAAACAAACATTCAATGCATTAAAAAAAAAAAAAATTATTTAAATGATCATTGTCACTATTTTTTTAAAACTGATTTTTATTTTATTTTAAAATACAAATATTTACTTAATTCGGCATAATATTACCATACTGTTACTTATCAATAAGTCAGGTAAAATATAAATGTATAAGCACTAACTAATAAGACTATTATTTGTGCATCACTAACAATTAACTGAATAATAAAAAAAAAAAAACCTAGCTAGCTATTAAATGAGCTTTTCAGTTGACAAAATGACAAACACCAATTTTAACATATTTGATTATTAATTTTATTATTTCTAGTGGGAAAATGAATACCTTTATTCACAGTTCTATATTCCAACACTGCAGTCACCTACTCTGAAATCAACTTACTCACTGTACTCACGCATAGATATTATAAATTTATCAACTAGGATGACTTAACTCAAAAATTTTGAAATTGGAGTTAATCATTCTGTCAACTGAAAGGCTGAAATAATATGGATTCATAAATGAGAATGGCCACAATAACACTAAAATAAGATTTTAGCAAATGAACTTATAATGTTTTGTGATTGAATAAACTAATTATAACTTGGGGTACAAAATTATGAAAAGCTTAGTATTGGTAATACACAAATGCATTCAAGGTGTTACTCAAAGAAGTTAAAAATAAATTTCATGAATAAAAATATCAGTTTAACATTTTCAATACGGATAACATTTTATAAAGGATTAATATTGAATATAACTATTATCAGCCTTAGAAACTAATTTGAGCTTCATCGAGCCTAACATTGATTGATGCTCTGATCGTATATACAATGCTATAACAACTGAATAATACTGGTGTTTTCCTTAATAATGTGTTAATTTTTTTATTTTGTTGGATATACTTATATTTGTAGAATTTTTTTGTCTTTTTCAGTTTTTTATTTTGATTTAGGATTTTTTAAACATAATTTCAATTTTTTCTCTCTAGCAAATTCACTGCAATGAACATTGTTTTGTATGTTAATTTTTTGTAATTATTTTTTTAACTATGGTAAGCATTTAATTTTCACATCAAAGGATCTCAAGAGGTAGGACAACATATTAAAAATTGGATGCAGTGATCTGGGAGTTAGGGAACACTAAAATACATAATATGAAAATACATAAAATCATAGAAGTTAAATGGAGAGGAACAAAAATTTAATGACTAATTGTTTTAGTAAATAAGGACTACTTTTATAATATTTGACAGAAAATAAATGGATTTATATAGAAACTTATTCGATTTATTTTAAGCTGGACAAAAAAATATGAAAATAATGTATCGAAAAAAGACACTGCCATGTTATACAAACTACTTTATTGTACTTATAAGAGAGAAGGAAAAGATATGACTGATGCTAAAAATATTGTTTTTAAAAAAAAGTGTTTATGGGTGAGAAACACACATAGTTTTAACATCAAATAACTGAACAATAGTTTAATGACTTCCAACCCAATAATAATTTTATTAGATTCAAATAATGTTACTGGTTTATTGCCAAAAGTCATCAACAATTTAATATTAAATTAGTAAATAATTTGATGAATTCGTTGTGACAATGATAGAAAATGTTTAAAATGTCTAATAGAAATGTTTAAGTGAATAGCAATGTGTAACTTAGCGGGATCATTTAATATATATTCTCAACAGTACTTCAAATATAAAATACTTACTATTAGAAAATGTATAAGTAGTAAGGAAATAAAGAAAGGGAAGAAAGTATGTGGTAATAAGTAATAATAATAATAGAAGAATTTTAAGTAATAAAACTAACTTGCATTATTTCTCAGGGTGAAACCACCAATGGTATTAGCCATGACTTAGATACAAAAACTTGAATCATCCTTAATTATATTTTTTCAATGTTTCAACACAACCATATGAGATATCTACAAGGTAAGTGTACACTTCTTGAGTTCCTAAGACATTGAGTTCCAACGAACTCAGGAGCATACATCTAACAACCCCCGCCCCCCCTCCCAACCTAGCCACAAGATGGCCCACCACATGGTTCGATTGAAATATTGGCATTTTGTAATTAGTAAATGATATATATTACAGTTACAGGATAAACAACCAAAATTATTTTTAGAACATTCATTAAATTAATTCTTGCTTTTAACCGAATGAAATAAAAAGACAGACATTGGACTGGAAAATATTAAATTAAGCCTAAGAAGTTTTTATTTCATTTTCACCCAAAAGTTAACTCATAACAAACTGAACATTATTTTAAACTAACACTTTGTTGTTTTTTCTTAGTTACATATTGACCCAAAGCATTAAATTTGAAACTTTTTTTTTCTTCTTCAAAATATCAAAAATAAATACAGATTGTTTAGAACATCCGATAAGTTATAATAATTTCAAAAATTGTGTAAGACTAAAATTTAATCTTGATTAATTTAAAAATTGAAGAGAAAAAAAAAACTTACTTGAGAATCTTGTACAGTACAGACCACTTTGACTAACTAAAGAATACAAATGAAAATATTGCCTGTTAAAGTATCTTTTTCAAATACAGTGCATCAAAGTAAGATGCACAAACTTAATCATATTTAAAAATTATGATAAAACACCATTAGTAGTAGTTATATGAGTTATAATTTTCATCTGAACAAGAAATCAGTGATTTACATCATAATTATTATAACACCATTTTAATTGTTTCATCTAAAAAATCAACCTACTTTACTAAATATGTACATTAAATAATAAAAATAACTTATAATAGTTAGGATGATGCACATGCAACAATTTTGATGACAGGGGCATAAAATGGACTTATAAAAGAGTACAATGAATGTAGATGGTATCTTTCTCATTAATGAGATTGTAGATTTAAAAAAAAATATATATATATATATATATATATATATATATATATAAAATAAAGTAATAAAAAAATTTAAAATTATTGTTTGAATGAGGAAGTTATTCTGATTCTGTATATTCTTGGTAATGGTACAACAAATATTACACATGTAGCCATGATGCTATGCATTTTATAATACAAATATATTAGACAGAAAAGAAAAAAAATATGGAGTTAATATACATAAAATCTATTACTTATTATGATTCAAAAGAAATGACAATTTGAGAAAGATGTTTTCATAGAACAACAGTTAAAATGATATATAATAAACATGGGGCAAGTTTACACTTTAAGATGCTCTTAATAATAAATGAGCAAATCAATTGGAGTATCGGACGTTTCAGGCAAATTATGTTTGACAAGTTTATAAATGTTTCATTTGCAAGATTAACTTATCCTATATCATTCTGCCATTACCTTAATAGCAAAACAATTTTAATGTATCAGAAGTAAAAAAAAAAAAAAAAAAGAGAATTATTTCTGAATACAAAACAAATAATTATAGGTATGTTAGTAAGATAGTACAAGCATTAAAATATGTTCTTCCAACTTTTAACAATCTTTTACTTATTATTTGTCTTCCAGATTATTTTGCCAACTAATGAAAATATTTTTTTGTTAATGATAAGAGTCAAAACTAACAAAAAATATAATTAAAAAAAAAGGAGAAATTAGGCATAATTTAAATAACAAAAGTTCAATTATTTTATTTAATTCACATCCTTTAACTCTGGCTACAAGTGTCTCAGAAATGATTAAAAACAAACTTTTATAATCATATTATCTAAAGATTAGGTAATTTATTAAAATGAGTAAACAAAATCATGAATGAGACAATTTCAAGTATATGCAAAAATAGATTTTAATACTATTTAGTTGTTTTTATTTTTATTATTTTTTTTTTTTACATGGCGTTTTAATATAGATAATATACAGGGTCAAATATCCCCGACATTTTACAATTACAGAATGGGGAGCCATATTCGTTGATGTAGAGGTGGGAGGACAAATAAACAGAGCCTAGTGCGCACCTTAACAATTAGAACGATCTCGGGATACCTAATGCAGTGGGCGGGGCGCGCTTTATAAATCCCTCCCATTACAACTTTGAATTTTCCAATACAATTTTAGTGAAAAAAAAAAATAATTCATTAAAAAAAATTCCAGTAATGGAGCGAAGAGAAATAGAAATCAATAGAAAAGGAACTTAACAATACGTCAAGGTTTCCCTAAAAAAAAAAAAAAAATTGCATCCTTATAACAAACAAAAGATAATTAATTAAAAAAGTATGACCTAGACATTTAAAACTACGATACAAGATCTAAACCACGACAAAACTTAATTGTAAAAATTCCAGAATAATAAGCATCAAAAGGGCAAATATTTAAAAAATCTGTAAACAAAGACATTTTTTTTTTAAAGACAATTAAATATGATAGGGAATCATTCAACAGCAAATCTATTTCAAAAACATTAAGGAATGTGGCAACATCGCCTAGTGACAACAAACGCCATTAATACAGTAAAAGCCCGGGTATAATCGATAAGGACGAGTAATCTAAATCTAGGTAGAAACAGTGCAAAATCATCTGAGCAAGAGGGGGGAAATAAACAAATATTAATGGGATTTAAATTTTGATTAAAAAAAAAACCAATGCAACTCAAATCACACAAGACTCAGAAAGTATTATAAGAGTTTTATTTTTGTAAATGCTCTCCTACTGGCGAGCGCAGGCAATGTTGCCGAGTGTGTCACGGCTTGGCAACCGTGCATTTTAACGTCTGCACGATCAGAGAACTTACACAGGTTTATTTTCCAAGTTATACCTTTGTCAAAATTTTTTTTACTGCGAACAATTAATGAATTAATTGGACAAGACTACTTTTAATTAGCACTGAACAAGATTCGCAATGTTGAACAAAATAAAATAAATTTATTCTTAAAAACAAAGAAAATCACAACGAAAACTTTAATATGAAAATAACAAATTAACATACTCTTTAAAGTGAGTAATGAATGAATTATTTACCTGTGATGATAAGAATCGTCATTGAGAGAAGTTTCTGTCCCTGAAGTAAACATCCGAGCAAAGTATAACACTTCTCACTTAACTAAGAATACAATTTCTTTTTTCTTGTTTTAAATAACTTCAAAATCGGAATCACTGTACAGTATTTACAATAACGAATAACATTAAAACACAAGACACAATGAAAAATACTTGGAATAGTAAAACCTATTTAATTATGAATAGGAACGACGTTTCCTCACAAATTTTAAGGAAGAACCCTTCTCATTCCATTGAAATTCAATATTTTTTCGTGCCAGTCGGCTGCAGGGAAAGGTATGACAAACAACTAACTCACAGAGATGCATAGCGACACTGAATTGGTGGCTGGTCTACGGTTTGAAGTTGCAGGCGAGTCCACTCACTGATTGGACGTAAACTCATCCCCCCCTAAACAAGAATGGACTCGTCCACTGTATTATAGGGCTAGCCTTCAACTTGAATTTTGTTCCTCTTTCCATTGCAATAATGAAAATAGCTTTATTTCAAAATTACTATTAAGTTTTAACCATTATAAAAAATGGAAAGGCCGTAAATTAACAGTAATACTCATATACTTTATATCTATATTTTTTAAAATCCTCTAAATAAAAGATAGTGATTTCAAACCATTTTTTACTATTCTATTTTCGGTTTAATAAAGCATTTTTAGTTTGTTTCTAAATAAAAAGTAATAATATCAAAGACTAAGGTGAAAAATCTAGAAGGCAGTGGTTATGAGGGCAGTGAGTGAGCGTTTAAGTAAACGAGGTGTGGACGTATGAGTGTGAAATTTTAGTAAATAGCGAGAAAACCAGACCCCGTGTTTAGTATTTGCCATTACAAATTCATTTCATTTACGATGGAATATTTCCTTTTAATAGAAATGACCAATTTTCATCCGAGAAGTGAAAGTTGTCAAAGATAATATTACAGTTGGCCAATCAGAGAATGGGAAGAGCTCAGCTGTTCGCTTTACTAAAACAGGTCAATAAGGTGGGATTGTTTCGTTTATGACATTAGTGGTGGGGGAAGAGAGGGGGGTTTATGATTTTAAACTCAAAACAAATTTATGAATTCTTATTAATTTTAATACCACAGATCAATTAAGTCTTTTCAATTGTAATAATGACTAAACAAAAAATATATATATATTATGACGACAGTAAAGATTTAAAGTGCACTATATTCAATTTTCTACAGTCCTCACTCCCTGAATGAAAGATGAAAATTTTTAACAAATTATTTTTTAAATTTTATAACAATACTGATGGTTCAGTTAATTACACACAGTAATAAGAACTAACAAAGAATGTACTCAGGTTACTTTTTTATCAAATCTTAAATTTAACTCTACAGCCCTCACTTGAAAGAATGAAAACCTTCAACTAAGTATTAAAATGATTTTTAAAATGTTCACTATCCTGCAAACACATCACTGACTAATAAAAACTAAAATAAAAACCTGACTAATTATTTATGATCCCAATCCACAATAAATTATAATAAACAAAATTAAATTTATTTATAACAGTATGTAACCATTAAACAAAGGTTACTTTTCTTTCTCTAGCCATTCAGACACATTTTTATCAATTCTACACTTAAAGAAAGCACAATTCTACTTTTCGGCTTGGAAATTATTATATCTGTTATAAATTGTATTAATTTATTCAATAGACTCATGAATTCATTAAGAATTGTGGATGCATATAAGTAAAAGAATTCTATAACAATGAAATATAAAGCAATTGTTAGTATGAAATAAATAACTATTTTTCATAAATTAAATCTTGAATGTAATGTGTTCAATATTCCCCACACAAAGTTATGAGTTTCAATTTGTAGGCTTCAACCTGACAGGCTCTGACTAATACCTTTTCAACATTACATCAGGCATGTGGTAATTTAGAATTGAAAATAAACAGAAAAGAGCTTTGTTCAAATATGAATTTTCTTTTATGAAAGTATACACACTCTTTTAATAAAATCAATTATTAACTACATCAAATTTTGGGGTGGGAGGGACCAATGCATTTGTCTGAAGAATATTAGAGAAAAATTAGAAAGCTAACTAAAGTTTTAAAAGGAATAACTGTCAAAATATTACTTACCAAGTAAACTTCTTTAAGGCCAGCATCTTAGTTTAGATTCTTCAACACATGAGAAATTTTCTTTTATAACATAAGATGAAAACTTGGTCTATTTCTACGCGCTTTAAAAGTAACAAATCACTAAGATTCAATGGCTCATTGTGAATAAGTTCATTCCAGCTATGAGTTGTGAGAGGAGCACTTCGATACGCCAACCATATTGCTATGAAGGAGGACGCGGGACAGTCTTCCAAAACTTGTAGCTACTACGTCACGAGCTCACAGCTGAACTTTTCGTAAACACAGCTTACCATCTACAGCTGATGTTTATTTTCTAAAAATGTAGCCAATAATGTTACAGAACGTGGATACCAAATTCAATTCATGGCATGTCTTTAAATTATTTTCCATATCTCATTCCAATACCGGCGGCATTAATAGGTAACTGTTATAAAATGAAGGCGATATTTGTAATTGTATTTTTTGTATACTATATCGGTTTGATTCGGTGTCAAGAAATTGATCATAGAGAATTGAAGTGTTTAGGTGAGACGTGTTTTTAAAAAATTTAACTTTTTTTTTTTCTTTTTGAGTATTTTAATTTTTTTTTTATATATATATTTAAAATTTTAGTATGTCAGAGGTTGGTCGAGTTAATGGAACAAGACATTGATAAAGTGGATCCAAAGAAAAAAGTAGATGTAGGTTCCTTTAGGATAGATCATAAAGGTGACCAGAAAAATAAAGTTGTAAGTATTTATTTAATAATAAATACGAAGTTACATGTGTTCATTTTTAAAAAGCCTTTCATAATTTTTCTTGCCATGAAGAAATTAAATACATTTTTTTTTTTAATTACATAAACCATTTTAATATCTCAACACTATAATATGTACATGAGTGATAATTACTGACATGTTCAGCTATTATCTAGCTGTTTTCAAAGTCAATTAAGTACATAGTACAATTTAAACACAAAGTTACTTCATATCAAAAACAGACATGTCATTTTAAAGCGAATACATTTCTACTTTATAGATTCATATCAAACTGTTTCTGGTGATTTTATTAAAGAATGAAGTTGAATCATGGATAAAATATCATTAAAATTGATCTTATCTCAATTTTTTCAAAAATGACAAGATGTTAGTCTTTGATATTAAGTCACTCAATTATCCTAGAGCTTAAAACATCATAAAATGTTTTTGCTTTATATTTAAAAAAATATCAATTGGCGGTTCTTAGAACCATGATAAGAAACATTACATTACACCAAAACTAGAAACACTTCTGTTTCCTTATGCCAGAATCTTTTCCTGGTTCATAGAGAAGTCATTACCAAATCAGTCAATCCATTAACTTTTGGTAATATTAATTTACATCCCCACACAAGAAATTTTGTTTTGAAATGTAACTACATCAGGATGTAAATCTCCCTACTTTTACGGTTCTTAAAACTGCAAACATATCTGTGACAACTATGCATAGTGTGTCAAGTGCAGGTTTGTGAATTTTTATGGGTATTACTAGAAGTCTAATTTTTCTCTGTTTTTTTGTATGTATCAAATGGGCTCTAAGTTATATGGCAATTACAGATGAATACTGATTTGTTAATCATGGGTTGAAACTTAAACCTGTGAAAATTCCAAACTTTGAATTCTGATTTTTGCATTTAACATAATAATGAACAAATTCATAATAACTCATCAATATTCACTAAAAATTACACTTTAAAAAATTTAGTTTGGAAATTTTGTAATTATGTTCCCGATTATCTAATCAGTATTTATTTATTTTATTAAAAATTGCTTGATAACAGATCAAATTTATCAGTGATGATATTATTGATAACAATAAATGTATGGATTAATGCAAGAACTGTAAACAGATAAAATTCTTATTTTACGTTAGTAATGAATTAAAAATTAATATGAACGTTTTAATTTTAAATGATTACAAAAATAGCAAGGCTATCATGAATGCTAAAGGTGACCAAAATGTCAATTTCATTGCTGGACTTTGATCATTCTTGGTAGTATATATACAGTTTTTGTAGTCAATCACTCTAACAACCTTGTTTTTATAATAATAAAAAAAAAATTAGTTACTTCTCACAGAAAATCATAGAAATAAAGTTGAGACATTAGACAAAGTTTATATATAAATCAGAAATTAATTTCTAGCAATAGTTATTTTATATAATATTTATTTCAACATATAAAAAAATTATTGTCGTTTATAGACTTCATTTATTTTCAGTTTTTGTATTCAATATTTTCCAGAATTTTTTAACCTTATATACTAGACAAACAAATGTTTTTGTAAGAATAATTAAGCTTTTTATTTATTTGCTGTTTTTTAACATTGCATCGACTGCCAACAATCTTTCTTCTTAAATATAACTTATTAATTTTATGGTGCTTTATCATCAATTTTGAGTTCAATTTGATGTCTATAGAATTTTTTTTCCTGGAATATGTGTTCTATGGTTAGATTAACATTTTCATGTGTTGGTCGATGTAGAGCAAGAAGTAGGTGGAGATGGATCTGTTTGGTATGCCTAATTAAGCTTTGTAATCGTATCAGTATCATTATATTTCTTACCAATTTATATCTATAATAATAAATATTTATTGTTAGTTTTCTTGAATTCCATCTTGGTTGCCAAAAGATTAATTCAGATTATCTTAAATGGTTTAAATTTTCGTAGCTAAAATGCTACAAGAGTGGATTCTTAACCATTTAGTCAATTTCAGAAATTTGTTTAACAAGATACTTATCTGTTATTTTTTTCGAAGATAAAGATAGTTGGGGTGATCATTCATAATAAATAATTATATTTATTTTTTTATTGGCCGACGTTTCAGCCCTTAGTTCAGACCTTCATCAGGGCTAAAAAAAAAAAAACAGATAACATACAATAGGTATGAGAAACTATAAACAATGAATAATAGAGAATTAAAATAAAAAAGGTGAAAGGTATAGATTAAAAAATGTAGGTAGAATAAACTTAAAGTAGATAGAGTTAACATTTAAGTAAAATAAAGGAGATAGAATAATAACAGCAACAGATAACTAAGAAATAAATAATATTACTTTTTTTTTACTATTTCTTATTTTGACTGATCATCCCAACTATCCTTCTCTTCAATTATTCACTACAGTCAACCATCAAACCACAATTATTCTTTTTTTTCTATGTATTATATAAAAATATTTGCATTGCAAAGTGACTAATTAGCAATCACATTTTTAGCTTGTAAAAAATGAATTTTGCCATGTAATATATGCTGTAAAAAAAAAACTTAAATAAAAAACATAGTTTAAGATACTTAATATTCCTAACATGCATGGAGTGCAAAAACATGCAATGATTTTTTATTTAATGCTAGCATGCTGCAGAAAATGTTCTAACATAAGTATAAAATAATTGTTTACAATATCTTATGACCCACAAAGTAGAAAAAATATGTAAGGTATAGATAGTAACCTATGTATGATTTATGTTATGGAATCTATGATCAACGAGTTGTCTAACAAAAGTCAAAAGTGTTCAAAAGTTCTAATTCCAATAACTATTCAGACAACTCTTTAAAAAAAAAAAAATATATATATATATATATATGTTAATTAAATATGCTTAGTTATAATAATGTTTTTAAGATTATGTTAAAGATAATGTTTTTGTTTGGACTAGTTGTACCTGAATATATAATGATAAAACTGTATACAAAAAAAAATATTTTTTTTTATTACAATTAAGAAATAAAGGAACTTTCCTTAGACAAAAAGTAGTTTTCAACTAGTAATTTTAATTAATTTGAATGAACAACTTTAGTCTGAATTGTTTCCTCCAACCAGGAATAATTTATGTCTAGTTTATAATTGTGGGTTGATGGTTGACCGTAGTGAATAATTGAAGAGAATGATGATTGGGGTGATCACTCAAAATAAAAAATAGCAAAAATAAATAATATTTATTTTTACATTTGCCGAAGTTCAGGCCTTCATCAGGGTTAAGAAAAGAACCAGATAACTATAAGTATGAGAAACTATAAACATTGAATAATAAAGAATTAAAATGAAAAAGTGAAAGGTATAGATTAAAAAATGTAGGTAGAAAAAAACTTGAAAGTAAAATGAAGTAGATAGAGTGAACATTAAAGTAAAATAAAGTAGAGTTAAGTTAATAATAATAAGAGAGAACTAAGAAATAAATAATAATAACGGCAACAAAGTACTGACTAATGAAATAAACATAGTCAAAATAAGATAACATAAGAAATAAAATATGGTAATCTTAGAATAAAATGTAAAACAGAGAAAAGGAATATGAAGTTATATAAGAAATAATATATATATATATATAAATAGAAAATTCAGGTATTGTAAAATCTATCAAAATATACTGACTATGTCTAGTTTAATTCTTTGGATGTATAGTGATGGGAGTGTGGTAGATCAGTTGTAACTTACATGTTCAAGTCCCAGGTTCGAATCTTAGCTCATGGCAGAAAAATTGTTTTCTGTTTCAATGGCTTTGGGCGACCCTAGGGTCAGTAGAACCTCCTGGAGCACACCCAGCCTCTATAAAGTGAGTACTCTTAATTAAATAATTAATTAAGAGGGAAAACTGGTGGTTGAGCATAATCTCGGTCAAATCATCTCCTTGCACAACCGTTGACATAGAAAGCAGTACTGAACCCCAAGACCCTTCATAGGTTGAAGTAGTACAGGTCTTTTTAATTCTTTAATTTTTAATGAATCAATGTAAGATGATAATGATTATTTTCGAAATGAATACTGTGTTAGTAAATAAAAATACGAATCACAGGAACCTAATCTTATATATTATTTCTAAAAGGTGTTTTTTTGTCGGTATATCATAACTTTGTCAATTCTTCATAAAATCCAATGATTGACCACTCATTTTAAAGATATTCTTCTCCTTCATATGCAAAAAATAGTCCAATTAGTAGTAGACAATTATTAAAAAAGATACAATCCATTATTCTTGGTATACTTAATAATTTCTTCCTCTTTAAAGATATTGCATTTATTTTTCTACTACACTTTTTTTCCTGGCTGATATGTTAACTCTATTATTTCTTAAATGCATTAGTTTGCTCTTACATTTTCTTTTCTTTAATGATTTAGAAAATCCGATGATTGGGGCTTTATTATCTTTCCAGTCAGTGTTTAAAAGTAGGTTCTAGCAAAAGCAATTTGTTCAAATATTTTGGTCTAACATGTTAAATGGAATATTGTAATCGACCAAGGAAAAAATATTAATTTCTCCCTAACAGAATACATAGGATATACTTATTTCCATATTGTTCTGCTATTTTTTCACTAAACAAAATTTCCTGTGAATTATTCGCACGGGCCAGCTAGTTAATTGAATTGCTTATTTCAAAAACATTACAGGTAATATTTTTACAATTTTGAGAACCACCCAATATAATATTTCATTGTGATATTTTTATTGACAAAAGTCTACAAAAATATATAGCGTAACCTATTAATCTTTACACTATTTATATAATATGTTCTTGTTTGTGTTTTTTTTTTTTTTTTTTTGCATTCAAAGATGTATTTATGAACAATGTACCATTACCCAGAACAAGTCTCAAACCTATAAAAAATTTAAATGTGCTGTTTCTGAAATGATCAATTCAGTTCTTTTTATGAGGGTGAGGAAAATGTTAAATGCACTTACATAATGCAAACAATGTTAATGCAAGCATTGATGTAATTAAGGTTTATCTTGTTTTGTTTTATTGTCATTGAATGTAAATATCATATTTACATTTTTTTTTTTTTTTCATTATGAATGTCAGAATTAATTTGAAGTTTTATAATATATTATTAGGAAAGAATTTATCAGTAATAATCAGAAGTTGAATGAAACAGTTAACTCTTATAATTAAAAGTAAAAGTTTATCTTTTACCTGTAAATGTAAAAAAGTTTTTATAAACCATTTACTTGAATAGGATATAATAAAAAAAAAAAAATAATATGCTTTCACATTTTTATTAAAAGAAACTATAATCAGTATATGTACATATACTTTAATAAAATTAGCTTATGATAATTTTTTATGAATTTAGCATATTAAATATTTAAAAGGTATGGAACAAGATAGTATGTATTACGTTAATTCAAAAATACTAGTCTGATCAAGAAATAAAATTTTGAATTGTATAATGCTCTACTAAGTTAATATTGAAATATTTTTCAAAATCGCTGAAATTTATTAGTTTTCCACTCTGAGTACTGATGAGCAGTGTAATAATTTATTTATTTATTTAATTTTTTGTTGCCTCTACCCTGTAGGGTCATTGGCAACTGTATAATAATTATGAATTCCGATTATAATTTGTAATTTTTTGTATTTTAATTTTTATTTTAATGGGAATATATATATATATATATATATACATATATATTGTTAGGTTACGTTTCCTTTGAATAGTAAACAAAACAGTTTCTGAATCAAATTCTATTTATTTTAATTTAAACAATAATTATTTCTGAGATTGGGTTGACACAACGAACACACATTCCTCAATTATAAATATAAAATCATTCATTAATAATACATAACATTTTTATGAATTTCCATTGTTTGTCGGGGTCTACTCTTGGTGTTGTTTCCAAATGTCACTATTTATATTTCATTCATCCCGTCCTGCAGTGAATCTTCTTCTATATTGTTGTCTTCAACTTCTACAATCTTCTGTTCTACTCTTACTTATTGACACTCACTGCTTGTTGATCAAATGTCACTATTTGTGGTCTCAATCATCTCTCCTAGTCGCCTGGCTGCCTTCTCCCTTAACGTATAGCACTTGCGCTTCCCCTTCCATCTGTCTTTGTCCAGTAGCTCATGATGTCACTGCCTTCGCACCATTATTTAAAATCACTATTTAATATTTACATTACAATATATATATATATATATATATATATATATATATATATATATATATATAATATATATATATATATATATATATATATATATATATATATATATATATATATAAGCTGGTTAAGGCGGCAAAATATCAACAAGGTCCGTAAAGACAACAAAAAAAAAAACTAAAGTTTATAAATTATAAATAAATCAAAGATAAGATAATATATCATTAAATAAATAGAAGTTTGTAATTAATAATAATAATAATAAAATTAAATAAGCTTTTAAGTAAATTAAGGACTCTTAACATTCAAAAAGGAAACCAATTTTTAAAAATCAGACAAAAAAAAAGCCTCTTAATATTACAAATATATCATTATTACTATCAGGGTTTGAATTTTTTTTTTTTACATATAACTTTAACTGTTTAAAAAAAGTTTATCAATAAGAGATTAAAGGTAACAATTTTTTCAAGACTGTTAAATAAAAGTTCTAGCACAAAAAAAGTGTTTACTTTTTTAATACATACATACATATATATATATATATATATATATATATATATATATATATATATATACATATATATATGTATGTATGTATTAAAAAAGTAAACACTGGAGTTTATCAATAAGAGATTAAAGGTAAAAAATTTTTCAAGACTGTTAAGTAAAAGTTCTAGCACAAAAAAAGTGTTTACTTTTTTTGTGCTAGAACTTTTATTTAACAGTCTTGAAAAAATTGTTACCTTTAATCTCTTATTGATAAACTTTTTTTAAACAGTTAAAGTTATATGTAAAAAAAAAAAATTCAAACCCTGATAGTAATAATGATATATTTGTAATATTAAGAGGCTTTTTTTTTGTCTGATTTTTAAAAATTGGTTTCCTTTTTGAATGTTAAGAGTCCTTAATTTACTTAAAAGCTTATTTAATTTTATTATTATTATTATTAATTACAAACTTCTATTTATTTAATGATATATTATCTTATCTTTGATTTATTTATAATTTATAAACTTTAGTTTTTTTTTTGTTGTCTTTACGGACCTTGTTGATATTTTGCCGCCTTAACCAGCTTTCTTCCTATCTTTAGGCTATTTCTTTCCAGCTATTTGCATGCAGCTCTGTTGCATCTTTGTTGATTTGATTGATATCCCTCTAGTTTTTGGCCCCGCATGGTATCTTGCCTAATATTGAGGCATTCATTGTGGTATAGACGCTTCCTGCTGGATTACCCAAATGTATATATCCAGCCCATCTAGGAGCAAGCATATCCTTCATTAGTTACCATCTGTAAAGAAAACTTTTGAAATTATTTCTTTTTCAAAAAATTTTTTGGGGAAGGTGTAACGCAGGACATCCATGTAGGAGGTACCTATCTATGGTCAAGAGAATCCATAGCAAAAAGGTTTTATCTACTACCAAATATTTACAATCACTTTAAATCAGAAGGAAATAATTTTTTTTGTTTTTAATTAAGATAATCTTTTTTGCCCAGGTGGAGTATCGTCGTTCTGAAGTATATCTTACTGAATTAATGGAACAAATCTGTAACAAAATGGAAGACCACGTGAGAGGAAGAATGAAGACTGACGGTAGACTTGTAATTTTTCCTCTAGTGTCCGAAAGCGGTAAAATGAATCCAATCATGAGTGAGGTCGACGTTGTTCAAGATTCTGATCTGAATAAAAGTTTGAAATTTTATGTAAGTAATTTAATTGAGTTGTTTGTGTTTAAGCTAAACTATTTCTCCTTTGTAATAACAAGATTCAAACTAACATTTCATATATTTAATATAAATATGTAAAAGTAATATAATGTAAAGAAAAATATTCCATTTAATTTTATCTGAGCTCACCAAGAAATTCTACAGTTAGAAACTAACTAACTACGCTTTTCCTTTTTATCAGTTAGAACATTGTCAATATGAAGGGTCCTAATCACAATTAACGCTATATTTTATTTTCAAATACTAACTACTTATATTTCTTGTAAACCCATTTAATACTGCTTATATTTATTGCGTGGAAAAAAAAGGCATACATTTGAATTGTAGTGAAATTAAAGCGATAAAGGATGTATATAAGTTTGAGATTACAGTTTTTAAATCATAATAAAAGGTTCATATTTAGCTAAACACTTGAAATAATGGTGCGTTTCTGAGGTGTGGTGGGAGCAAGGTGTTAGGCCTAAGACTACGTTATCATGACATTTATATCTGCCAAACAAGATGATATCAAAAACACCCATTTATAAAAGCTAATAAAATACTTTTTAAACTAAATATTTTTATTCAGAGGCAAGTGAATGAGAGGAAAAAAACAAATAGATATTTCTTGGATGAAAGTTTAAGATATATCTAATAAATTTAAGATAACACTATGAACATTTCCTTCCTACATTCAAATATCTAGGGATAACTTGTGCTGGAATAGCTATATTTACTTGCTTACCTGAAAATTCATAACTTTTTTTCCCTCCCTTTCCTCACATTTTATGCTATATAGGGTTTTCTCGGACCAGATTTGCGGGCAGGGAATTAATGTCAGCTAATTTCAAGCCTTAGCGAATGCTTTATAAGATTCGTCTTTGGAATTCCTCGGTGTTCTCATGTTTCCTGCAGATACACTGAATGAGCTAACACATGTGCACACGCGAGTTATCCGGCAACCAAAGAACCAAAGTTATGAGAGATTAAAAAAAGTACTAGTTCGTATCCCGGTGTCGGAGATTTGAAATTCCCCACTCTCACCTCCTGGCCCGGGAAAACTCTGTATAGCTGAAAGGTGAGGTAGGGAAGAAGAAAAAAATGGTACACCGAGTTGAAGTGGCTCCACTCTACTTCCCCACAGCAATTCCTTCTCGGTGTTTTCCATTATTCTCCGGTTTAACACACTTCATTAACTGCAATCTCCAACCATCTACTATCAAAATATTCTATTCTATAAATGTTCAGCTCCAAATAAATAGTTATTAACTAATAAAATTGTTATTATTTCTTTCAGTGTGAGGCGATTTTAGAAGAAAATGATGAAGCCTTCATCAAAGCTTTCTCAGTACCAAACAGCACTGTCGATATTAAAATTTGTTCAGAAGAGGCCAAACTATGTAATCATACTTTAGAGGACGATTACGAATTTGAAACACATGGAGAACTATAAGTTATACATTATTACTTATAAATTTGTTAAATGTACAAAGACAATTTGAAATCTGTGATCATTTATTAATATTTAAAAACATTAATGATCTGTTTATGTTACTTTTTTATTTGTAATTTTTTTGAAAAATAAATTTATATGATGTCTTCCAATATATTTTGGTAATGTTATTTTTTTTTTCTTGATGGTATCCTCTTTCATCTCAAATCAAATACTTGTAGAAACCCTATCTTGCCTTATCATCGAAATGGATTACTTTGTTTTGTAACACTCCAAAGATTACACTGAGAGATCCGCCGAGCATTCTATTTGATGTGTTTTTATACTTCTTAGGAGAGGAGGACCCTCCCTCCACTTCTTATCCTGGTTCTTGGAGTCTTACAACCCAGTAGTGTGATGTGACCTATGTTGCGTCCAATTTTTATACCAAAACTTAATGGCAACTGATATAATTAAAATCAAAGCCTTTATTGGACTGTTATATATTTCAGGAATGCATAAAGTCTGGGGAAAAAATTTGGTACTTATCTAGTAGCAGGTAGCATCAAAACCTCCCTTCTTATCTAATCTCATTTCAGATAACCTCCCTTATCTCATCTAACCTAAGTTATTCTGTTGTTTAGTTTTTGTTTCTTGTGCCAGGTGTGAGTTTATTTAATTATGGATCTTGTCACATTGTGGGAATTGCCGTCTTCAGAAGAAGAGGCTATCAAATATTTTCAAGATGCGGGTATATTTGATAAGGTGAAATATTGTGATGAGGGTCATAAAATGAAGTTCGACGGGAAGATTAAATGGAGATGCTTTCGTAAGTGTAACAAGGAACCTGGTTAGAGGGGTCGAGGATTTCTTTTTTAACGGCTTTAAAATTCATTTATGGGTGGTCTCATAATTTAACTACAATACAGTGTGGGAAAGAGCAGCTCAAACTATCCATCAGAACTGCATGGAACAATCAAGATGTTTCATGTTACTATAAGTGTAGGAAGGTTTCGATTTTTACTTAGATCCCTAAAATTTGATGACTGAGAAATAGATCACCAAGGTAAAGAAATAGACCGACTGGCACCTGTTCGGGACATATTTGAAGCGTTTGTCAAAAACTACCAATCTTGTTATTAAGGTGGAGCAAACTTGACTATGCATGAGAAATTGGAAGCCTTTAGAGGCTGTTGTTGATATTGTGATGGTGTTTGTATTAATTATACTTGTATCCAATTTAATCCTGTTATAATTGTTTCTAGTATTCAGTGATTTTTTAATTCGTATTTAATGACATAAAGACTTCAACAATTAACTATATGTTTTTTAGTGTATTTTTAAAATTGTGTAACTGTATTTTTTACTTAATTAACATATTAAAAAATCATCTTTCCTTGAATATTACTTACTAATGCTTTCTGGACACATATATGTATAATAATAATACTTTATTTATTCTGGGACGAGTCCCTTTAGAATAAAACAGAAAGACAGAAATATGGGCTAAGGAGCCTCAGAGATATATAAACAAAAAAACAAAGTAATTACATAGTCATAATAAAAAAAAAAAAATTAAGTTATTTAATCAGGTAATAATAAAAAATAAAAAATTGAAAACATGAAGGATAAATAATTAAGAAGGATTTAATAATTTATATACATATTTACAGTAATATCTATTTATAATTCTATGAGGACCTGATGGATAAGAAATGATTGAACAGACGGGATTCAAAAGTAGAGAGGGTATTGTATTGACGGATGGAGTTCCATAGGGATGAGGACCAGATAATGAATGATCTGTCAAACGTTGGGCCCTTGTGTTATAAATCTGAAGACTGGGAACGAGCATACTCAATTAACAGATAATGTAAAAAAATAATAAATAAATAAATAAGAGAGAGTCAGGTGGGGCCACTGCGACAGCTAATATGTTAAGAATAATATGCAGGATCGAATAAGCGAAAGCCAAGATCAATCAATATTTGTCGTGATGGAGGATTCCCGAGTCTAGAATAATAGTTTCTGTCATGGTCTGTATCTGCTCCCTTCCAACACCGAGCCTCTGCAAGAAATTTCTTGTAGTAAGAAGTATGGTGCCCCTGCTTCTAAACCATAATAGCCCCTTAACTGAGAATTCATCTCTACACTTTTCCTTTAAATAAGGTATGCATTTCTTATTAATATCATCTTTTTATATCAGTAAGTATTCTGTGGCAGCAGGCTTTTGGTAACAATTATAAAAGAACGTTCCTAGAATTCCTAACTTATCCAATTATCTTTTTTTTAATAGTTATAAAAAAAGTGAACAGATATATTTACATACATATATTTTTAGATCTAAAACTGAATAAAAATATCTTTTTGATCACTCAAATGTAAAAGCCGTTGTAGTATCTTTTTCATCACTGTATCGGAATATGCAAGTCATGTTGCTGTTAATAACGTCTGATAAATCCTTTTCTAGATGTTCTTCATCCTTCAAATTGTGTTTGACATGTATTATTTCTTCCCTAAGTCTTTGACAAGCGATGGGATCCAATTTCGTAACATTGACAAGCCTGTCCTTGAACCTCCGCTTCAGCTCTTCACAAACACGTGAGTGCTCTTCACAAGGTTTGCCTGGTAAATGCCTTTTCTTCCTACCGATTACTTTAATAATTTTACTGTTTCGAGGAAGCATAAATGTCTTCTTTTCAAATGAATCCTTACCTAACATATTTTCGCTAGATCTTTCTGCAATATTTTTTCTACACCTTGTCATATAAAATTTTGGACGTTTAGTAGATGTCGTTATGGGGCATATCCTGTCTGGTGGAATCGGATAGACACCTGTTATTCTCCTTTTGGATGTAACTGTTTTGGTGCATTGCTGTATATATCTCCCAATGCGACCTGTATGTTGTGGTTTTAATGTTTGGACTGCTTCCTTTTTACTTCTTCCTTTATCACCTTTGTGAATATCTAAGATGAAATTTTTAATAAACTCATCTAAATTATCATTTAAAATACTTTTAGTATTAGATTCGGATTTTTGTTTAATTTGTTTTAGTCTTTTATTTTTTCCTTTAGACCTTTTCTCTTGAGACATTTTTTGTTTATTTCTTCTTTTTAATTGATAATACTGAGGAATATTGTTTTGATATATATTATCGGCCAGGAATGAGTTATCTTCTGAATTAAATAAATGCTTAATTTTTAATAAATCTAATTCAGAAAAAATTGGTTTGTCAAATGTAGGTAAACTATAATTCAAACCAGTGTTTTCATTACGGTTAATTCTCAGGATATCATCGTTTATACGATTGAAGAAATTGTTTGATTTTTCATTATTTATTTCAAAATTATCACCTCTCATTGGCATTAATGGTATTTCTTCGTCTATGTACATATCATTTACTGCAAGTTCTTGCTGAGGCAATATATTCAGTGCGTTATACAGACGGTTAACGAGAGCTGTGAAAAGTTGAAACGCTTTCAACTTTTCATTGTTACTTAAAGTATTCAGTTTTTCACTTAATTTTCTAGTTAGGGAACCTAATGGATTGAGGTTATCATTGGTAACGTTGGTAGTTGTAGGGCGAGTTGAAATCAAAAAGATTTTATCATCCATTTTAGGCGGTTGATCATTGATTTTATTACCAACAGCCTTCAGTTGAGATTCACATTGCTTTTTGAAAAAATATCTCTGAAATGCACTGAGCAACTTGTGCCACTCATGATCGCTTGGTGGTATCCATGTTTCGGAACCTTTTTGATTATTTACACCCAAATTATTCACATTTAGGTTAATAAAACTATTTGAGTCATTCTTTTGTAAATGTGATATTGCTGCATCAAGTCCACTCGTATTAGATATAAAAAATGGTTGCCTACTTAACTGAATTCTGTTTCCAAAGGCGGAAACTAGAGGTTTACTAGCTATGCTCTGTATTGGTTGAATATCACTACTACCTGTTGTCAAAGGGTTTTTAGTGTTGGACTGCATTAGTGCATTCGCAGCTAAAACATTATTAAACTCGTTCATCAAAATGTCTATAATGTTCAATTTCTTTTCTGGTTTTGGCTGGATAAAACTGGTATCATTCATAAAAATCTCAGGGAAGTAGATTAAGTTCTTAAAGTCCTTTTTATTATTCTGATTCATATAGTGTTGTTGTTTTAACTTGTCTAGAGGAAGATTGTCAGAAAGGAGTTTTAAGATATTCTGATTTGAGAAAAGCAATGGTTGAGGATCATTTAAGGAAATGGGTCTTAATCTTTTAACATTCATCGAATTAAAATTATTTCTTGGACCTATACTGACAACTTTAACAGATTGAGTAGTTTGAGCTAGATTATTCCCCATTATTCTATTCCCAGTTTTAAGAAAATCCATGACATCCGGTTTTGGAAAATAGTTGATGAAATGATTATTGAAGAGAGGTATTAATCCTTGGCTTGGAAATTCATCTATAATTGCTTCTCGTTTTTTAAACGGAATAGAAAAATTAAACTTAGAACCTAGTACACGGGGCATGTAAAATATCGAATGGTGTTTTTGCTGATTTTCCTTGAATTGTTTGAGCATCGATTCTTCGCTTTCATTCTCCAACTGCATGAGGGTAACTTTTTTTTCAGGCATTTTCGATGTTTTGTTTCCTTTAAAAAATTTTGGAAGAATCTTGAAATCATTTGATAACATATCAAATCTATAAGGCGATGGCCAGTATAAAACTTGGCGTTTGATGCATCTGCAGGGCTCTGATCCTATCGGGCGTGATCCTGGACATATTTTATTGCTGATGATCATCATTCCTTCTTCAGAACCAGCCGTTGGTTTGATACAACGAACTATACGAAAACGTCTGGCTTCTTTGCTCGGACAAGGGCCACATTCTTGCCACTCTCCAACTAACCACCTGAAAAATAACTGGTTAATGAAATTTTTAAAAAGCATTTAATAAATAGGAACAGAAATTTTTTATAATATTACAATTTTATCTCTTGAAGTAAGTTTTTTATTGTGCAATTTGGCTAATCATTAATTATTACCCATAAAATGAAGGAAGAAAAATATTTATAAAAAATAAAACTGATTTTATGTAAACATTTATGAATTGTTAAAATTTAATGTTATATCTAAGGACTTCATTCATGTACAAGCATATATACTTTTTAAAAAATGTTAAAATGTATGGTATTTTTTTAGATTAGTCTTTGGGCCTTTCATAGATGGTATAAAAACTACCATAAGGTCCCTACTTATCTCCCACTCTTTTTTCAATCTATATCAATGAGTTGCTGTCCTCTCTCCTGCACTGTCAATACCACCTGTAAGCCGACGACGTCAAAATTTATCTTTACTTCGATCCAGCTGAGTCCTCTGATGCCATCCTAAAACTCCTTGAAATCAACAGGATATGTGCTTGGGCAAACCTCAATGGACTCATTCTAAACCGAAGACAAAAGCCATTCTGATCGGATACTCCTCACTCCTCAAATCCATTCCTGTACCCCTGAACAACTCACCTATCTCATTCCATACTTCAGTTTAAAATCTTGGTGCGTTTGATTAAACCTCCCCTGGAAACCACAGAACTCTCAAATTTCCCATAGTACTGTTTCTACCCTGAACCATAACAGTTCAACCGTTTTCATTTACCTCTCCTATACAAAACACGCCAACTCCTGATTTTCTCTCTTGTTTTCATGTTTAGTGAATTTCTAAGAACGTTTTGTTTTCAGGATCTCAAAAGATATGTTTATTACCCAGTATTAAACCGAGTTGACGTGGCTCTGTCCATTCTACGGCTGTGAGTACTTCCTTGCTACCTTTCTATACTAGTATATTAGAACTCAGTGACTCTCCTATATTTTTCAGAGCCTACAATTTAAATCCTACATTCAATCACATTCTACTAGAACCCGCATTTCTGACCTCTATCCTCCTCCTCACAGAACTGCATTTGACAAATCATTTGTAATTCAATCCTTCTCCCTCTGGAATTCTATCCCTCTCAATATTCAATGCATTCAATGCACAATCAGTTTCCTCTTTCAAATCTCTTCTTTTTAAGCACCTACTCCTTTCCTAATCCAACTGATCATGAAATGTACATAACAGAACTCTCCAAGTACCCCCAGAAACATTTTTTTTTACTTATATTATTTATTTTTCCTATTTTTAAAAAAATATATATATGCTTTTTTTCTTCTCTCACTGTATTTTTATTTTTAATTACCCATTATCTGGCAAATATGTAATTTAATGTATGGCTACACCAGCATGTCTTATTTATTTACTATTTATAATTTGTTCTAAAGGGACAGCAATACCAAGATACTAAAAATATATACATTAAAAAAAAAAAAAAAACTCTTGTAAACTATTTCAATTAAATTTTCATCACACAAACATTCTAATTATAAATGCATTATAATGAAAAGAAATGATAAATTGGCAAATGAATCCTTTGGGTTTTTTTGTTTGTTTTTATGTCACAACTATACACTTCTTGTCTGAAGAATTATTCCCCGAAGTGGATTGGTTATCCTATTTGTAATATGCCAACAACCATTTCTGTAAACTCTTGTTAAAATTAGGTTATTATTGTGTTTCTTATTGCACTGTGAATACGGAAGAAAGAAAATATTCATTATTGGCATATTTCGCTGTATTTCTTTTAAAAAAGATAAGCTTGCTGTAGAAGATTATAAAAAAATTTGCAGTGTTTATGGGAATGATATCTTAACTGAGTAGATGTGTTAAAATTAAACATTACACTGCTCAAAATTAACAAAATTTGATCAACCAATTCGAAAAATTGTCCAGAAGTAACAAATCATAAAGGTGTTGTTTAGCACCAAGACAACGCTATGTCTTTCATTCCATAAACACCTCATTGATCACTTGCAATAAATTATTAAGCTGAGGACGGGGCTTTTGCCCCACCTTACTGGTATTCACTAGGCCTAGCTTCAAGCGACTATTTATTCTGATCACTGCAGAACTCATTAAATCAAAAGCGATTCCAAAACAAAAAGAACATCACAAAACACTTAGAACAGTTGTTTTTTTTTTTTGTTTTTTTACTATAAACAACAGAAGTTCTATGAAATTAACAAGATGAAGATATTGAATGTGAAGTCTATAATAAAAAAATGTTATTTCAATGTGAAAAACCGAACGGACTTATTTGCCAATTCAATACATAAATGTCTCAAATCTAGAAATGACTAAGACTTGCACTGTGTAATAAAAACTACAGCAACTAAATCTGTATCACTTTATACATATTTTAGATACTTATTTTTTCTACTATAAAATTTACTAAGATGAATTTATGAGGTTTTCATTGCTTGATGTCTAATAATTGTGTTTATTAAAAATTAAAAAATGTTTGTTTCCATATTACTTTGAAAGGAGTTCTAAAATCTATCATTACCTCGGCAAACAGATACCAGCATTGCATGATCTTCTTTTAACTTGCGGTTTTTGAACTGCAGAACAAAATTTATCTTCCACATGTCCACTCAGTAGTTCCACACACTTAGGAACAGATTCCTAAAAAAGGCAATTATTAAAATATATATATATATATATATATATATATATATATATATATATATATATATATATATATATAAAATACAATCTGAAAATAAATAGAGATTGAATTCATTGTACTTATGAATTATAAAGTATAGTTCTATATTTATTTATCAATACATTTATGAAATATATTATTTGTATTTTTTATTTATTAAAATTTACAATTGTAACAAGAAAATCTCCAAAAAAAATCCAATAGATAAATGTAAACTAAAGTATAATAAGCTGACATGAGACTTTATAGAGAAACCACCAATTGGGAAAACACCAATGAATTAATACCTGTACCACTACAACCCGTAAAGGGTCTTTGGTTCAGTATTATTTAGGGAAAGAACTGTTACAAGGCCGACGGTTGTGCAGGGAGAGGATCGGGCCAGGATCACGTTCAACTGCCATGTTTCCCCCTAAATCAATTATTTAATTAAGGGTAACCACTTTGTAGAGGCTGGGTTTGCCGCAGGAGGGTGTCCCTACTCCAGGGTCGCCCCACGACCAATGAAACAAAATAAATAATTTTTCTGCCATTAGCCGGGACCTCAAGTATTGGATACTTAGTGCCCTACCACTGAGCTACTCCACTCCCTACCAATGAATCACATTTAGAAAAAAGTTGTTCCGACCTCAAACCAAATATTCATTATTTATTTTTTTGCAAATCCAAATAAAAAATAAAATTGGAATTAGTTTTTAGTTTGTTGATCAGCCGATGTAGCCTAAAAGATGAAACTAATTACTCTACAGCTGAAGATGAAATGACTGTGATAGAAAGTTAAATTAAATAAATTCGGTCCAAAATATTTTTTCAATTAATAAAAAAAAATCCTACTAAAGTTTTAAAGGAGGTATAATATCCAATAGAAAAATGAACTTTGAAAAATAATGCATAAAGGTACTATGATAATGTTTAGGAAACCAATTCACTTTTTATTAGTTGAGGATCATCCTGGATGATCTACAACTTTAGTGCCTAATCTCAAATCGGACCAATCATCTCAGAGCAAGAACAGCAGCAAGAGGACAATGGGCAGAAAGGTTTTATTTTAATTAGTTTTAAATTCTACATATCCCGAAATATAAAACCTGAAAATTTTTAAGAGGAATAGGTCAAAATTTTCTTTGCTTGTTCGATTACAAAGGTTATTTTTTAAAATAATGGACCAAAACGCGAGCAAAATGTTTGGAGTAAGAATGGTCTAGTTTCAGATTTTTCTTCGGTTTTTGAGGAATTGAATGACCTTCAAAATATCATGTTAATAACTATGCACAAAGATGTTAAATTTTTTCTGACTTTTCCCTGGGGAATAAACTTAGTTTTCAACATCAGAGGAAACGTAACCTTCAAAACGATGGCTCAATCATTGATTTTGATAAAGAATTAGGGAGATATAACTTATCAATAATTTAAAAAAAACTTTGAGAAATAATATATAAAGGTTACACAAATAATTGTATTTCAAAGTTGGAGGAGTGGATTAGCTCAATGAGTTAAGCTCTGGTCTGCTAAGCTCAAGGTCTCTGGTTCGAATCTGGCTGTTGCCAAGTAATTTTTCATCAGCCATGAATCGAACCTGGGTTCGGAAAACCGTCCTGGGGCACACCCAACCTCTATAAAATGGGTAGTCTTAATTAGATAATTAATTAAGCGTGGAAAAGCTGGTGGTTGAATATAGTACTGGCCCGATTAGCTCCCTGCATAACCGTTGAATTTGACACAGTACTTCTTGACAAAATACTGAAATTATTTTATTTTTATTCCTTAAGTTATTACTTTCACTTACCTAAATATGTAATATATGGTAATGTAAGTATTGTGATCGTGAAAATTTTCAAATCTTGGTTTTTAATGGAAATAAACGTTTTGAGGTCTCCTGAGTCCAAATAACCAAGTCCCACCAAATGATCTGTGTGTGTACGTGAACAGCCAAGCTCAAAAACGAATAGTTGTACGAAACTTAAATAGTGTATTTAAGGTTTTTATATGCCTGGAATGTTACCGCAACTTTTTCATCAAAATCGCCTAACCGGAAATGGAACTTTATATCATTGATTTAACACATTTTTATGATTTTCTCAAAAACAGTCCTAACAATTTTGATTAAATTCATTATATTAGTGTAAAATTAAGCAGTTTTAATATAATGTAGATTTTATTCTCATTGACGTTCTCAAGCAGGGCTTGAATGACTTATTTTCAATATTAGCTTCCTCTAAAGTACCTTTAATTTTTTTTTTATTTGATACAATTAACCATTTCAAATTGATCTCTGATACAAAAAATAGTTAAGATATAAAATATGAAAGAATTTTATAATTAACTACAGGTTAAATAAGAGATTGTAACGGAGAATAGTTGTAATGAAAGAACCAAAGGAGTACGAGCGCACCCGAGCTCGCCCCAAAAGATTATTACAGGCTTCCATACGTAACATGAGCTTAATATAATACAAACTCCGTGGTAATATAATGCTATCGTTGGTATTATTTAATATTTAACTGTACAGAATACAGCAATATAAAAATTAAAATTTGTATATATAAGGGTAATTGAACAAATAAAAATACCCAAAATGAAATGTAAATAAATATAGCATCTATAATTTTTACTTTCACTTCCCCTTTGTCTGAAAATACTTATTTCTGCTAAGAAGAGGATGGTAAGTGAAATTTGTGTGATGCGCCCAACGCACCAGATTGTTTTTTTTATTATAACTTAGAGATATATACCTGATAACTGTCTCCACACTGAGCCATACAGTCAGACCAATCTAGGTAATCCCATGAATATTTTCCTTCTCTTGGTTCACTCGGTAAGCCCATTGAATATGTTACAGCCTGGGGGCCTTCTGATGTTATCTGAATAATTTTATGTTTATTATAAGTTTATGATTTAGAAATTAAATATATCTACTATTTTTTTTAATAATCATTAATTGGTTTTACCAAGTACTGACAAAAAATAGTTCCTATACATGCTGGCTTTATTTTTAATAACTTTACGTTTACATTTACAAAACATTAAGGTATTCGCTTAATTACTATATTTAGAAATATAGGTTTATTTAATCCCTTTACCAGAGAATGAACATTAACTCATTTCCATGTATACAACAGCATGGTACCTGCCTATAGCTCCATAGCCTATCTCGATCTGGTCTTGTCCTTCCCACCGATTTACTCAGAGACAAATTCTTCTAATCTATGAGTTATTGCTTCTCAGAGCCAGCAGGCACATAAGAACCTATATTTCTTTCCCCGAAACAGACTATCCATAGATCAAACTTCTAGACATCTCACATTCAGGAAAACCACATCCCTATTCCCGATAAAAGTTCACAGAAGAGGACCAACACTCCCCTAGGCCTGGTCGGTGTGAATGACCTCCATTAGGCTGATGAGTCTCACATAACCCTGGGGAAAGGGAGAGAATCTTGGGTAGCATAGGTTTTCTCAGTGGTTAGTCACCAAATTCGGGGAGTCACTCATCCAAGTACTAACCACACACGGCCTTGCTTAACTTTGATTACTTACTGCAAGCATCTAAGTCTGCTTATACATTCCTGTTCAATATTATATAAATATATATATATATATTGTAATAACAATGTTTGTCTTGAGTTTTTGTTCTTTTATATTAAATAGTTGGCCCATGCGAATAATTCACAAAATATACTGGTCAGAGAACAAATGAAAAAATAATAAGAAATTAAATGATGCAACATTTAATAGTATAGAAGAATCGATTCTTATTTTTCCAGTAATTATAATCAACCCAGGAAAAGAAAATTAATTTAAAATTTCATTCATGATTTAAATGTTCTGTTGATTTTTTTTTTTTTTTTTGTAGGGAATTTAGTAACCTTTCAAATAATTATGACTCAATCATTGGACTTGATGAAAATCAACAAAGATATGGTGTATTGACAAAAAAAGTCTTTTAGAAATAATATAAATTCCTCCTCTCTCATTCATAGGAAGATAGTTGACTACATGAGATATGCTTTCCATGGCAGCACTATAATTATAGTGAGCCTGTATATCTGCAAACTCTTTACCTTGCACTATCTCGAAAATGATTCAATTTTGGGTTTTAAAATACTGAGCCCAGTAGTTCAAGAGTAACTTAACTGGTCTGAATATCCGCATCGAAATTTTCAAATCGCTATTTGTCCAGTTTAAGCCACCAACTTACCATCCCAGTATTGAAGTCTAGCAAAATGTTTATATCAACTTTATTTATTTTAGAAAGGAAAACGTGGAAAAATGTGGAGATAACTTCATTATTAATACTTAAAACTTCGCAGATGGGTAAGTAGTCGACTGATCAATTTTACGGATGAAACAAAATTTCTAAAAATTTAGTTTCATTAATATTTAAAATAATATAATCATTAATTATCCTTTTTACTTTAATTGTAGAAAATCAGTTTTAACATAAATGTGCAGTTGAACTATATTATAATTAAAATAAAATAAATATTTAAAAAAAAAATTACTTTAGCGAAATACAAAATAATTTTTCTTTATATAAAAGACATACTTAAAAAAGCAAAATATCAAATTTAGCAGGAGGAATGCGTTTACCTCAAATGATATTATGCCACAATAACCGATCGCCATTAATTTAATTTTTAATAAAGCAAGGCTGGGTGTTTGTTTAAGGGGGTTTCTTTATAATTTTTCTGTACGAAATGAGTGAATTTTGTATTCATTCATCTGTAGTTAGTTATTTCTTACTGTGCAGAATTTATTTTGGGATTTTTAATTATATAAAAAAAACTATTGACACCAAAACCTGGGTATCTATTGCTGAAGCAATATACACTGTCAGAATTTCTCAAGTTTTTGTTTTGATTAATTGATTGTATAGAAAAAAAGACAAAATTAAACGCCTTTACAAAGATCCAAAATCAGATGTGAAGCTATAGTTCACATTAATGTTAAAAATTTCTCTTAATGTTTATTACGAGTAAATTTATTTTAATGGATGGAAATAAACAAAACTACCAAATCTGGGGCTAGACAACAAAACTGAAACTTTAGTACTGCCCAATAATTAGAACAGATTGCCAGTTTTTATTTGCCCAAAACTTTATTATTTACAAAGGAGTTTAAAAAAATAAAACTAAACATTTTGTAATTTTTTTTTTCTATATATCGTCTCCACCACCTTTAAGTAACAAATGTGAAAATAGCTACATTTTTTAAAACAGTAAAGTTTACTTTCAACTTTTCCATTGCGAATAATTCCTATTTGTCAATAGGCCTTTTAACGTCTCTAAGTCTTAGGTTTATGTTAATAAAATTTTATTTTGAATTTTTTTTTTGGTAGATTAATAAAAATAATTAATTTCAAATAATACCATTTTTCACATTCATTGCTCAAGTATGGAGGTGATCATTGTAGGAATAACTTAACTATAAGTAATTAATTACTAATCAAGTAATCACTTACTTAATTAGCAAATAATTACTTTCTGTTACTAATTAAGTAAGTAATTACTTACATGAGATAAAGATAACTAGTGAGCTTGTGGTATGTACGCATTTTGATCCAAAATAAATCAACTGATACCTTCGGAAACATCTTTTTATTTTAAATCACCAACTTTCTCTATTACTTATTCATCACCTAGTTGAAGTAACAGATAATGTTAAAAATAATATATGATTATGTAATCACTTACGTTAGAATAAATAAGGATGTGCCATTAAATTATAGTTGTATAAAATATTTAAAAACTGTTACTTCACATTTTAATACAGTCAAGTTGCGATGTGTCATGATCGAAGACTTTAGTAATTACACCTTCATTCTTTTAATGCCTTTATTACATATTATGTGAAACTTGGATTATCAAATATCAATTAAAAAAACAAAACATATAATTTGTTTAATATATAATATTATTGGATAAATTGGTTGGACGTGCAGATATAAATGAAAAAATACAAATAAGAAATCAACTTCCACCTCCTCCCCATTCTACAAACGTCTACAATTCATTGAACAGGCAACATTCTCTCCGCCATTTTATTGTTTTCTATTTATCCCTTACATGGTTAACAATTATTGTACATCAATCTTATCTACTATTTATTTACAATTTTTGTAAGTAAATTGAATAAACTAATTAATTCATGTTATTTTAATTAGCACAATTCCAATTGATCCAAATTTATTATTTTTATTAAATAGAAATAATGTTTGATGGTGAACAATGCAAGTTATAAGTGAACAAGATGAGTACATCGGTAAAAAGAGATTTCTTTGAGTCAGTTTGTGAACAGATTATCCGTCCCATACTGACGTTCAGAGGTAATATTAGATAATATGTTATATTATAATTACCCAGACTTCGACAGGTTTGGCTAAAGGTCCTGGAATTTCAATTACTTCTTGATTCGGTCTTTTCATTCCCAACCATCCCATACTTCCAGATACATTGAACATTCCTAATTTATTTCTAAAATAGAAAAGCAAAACAATTACAAAGACAATCAAGTGCTGAGTATGTATTTATTTATTTTATTTCAGTTGTAAAATAATTATGTTTATTACCCTTCATTAATAATATCATCGCTCTCATTGGTTTTTAGAATAAGGTGCGAAGGTGTATGTTTATTTTCTTCAATAACAATATTCCTGGTACCGGCTGGTATGGTCAATATTTGAGAGATGCCTAATCAAAGGAAATATAATTATGAATAATGAATAATTAAGATACAATCATTATGATTGTTTTTTGTACAAATGACTCGTGATTATTTTTTTAATAATATATGTATTATAAATAATATAATATAATATGGTGGATTAACTATCATAAATTTATATGATAAATATCATTGAGTGATTTTCTATATCTTTGGTACTGTTAAGATTTTTCCATTTTGTGTTTAATATTCAGATATTAATCACAGAACTTTTAAAAGAACATAAATCAAATATAATATTTTTAAAAAAGCTGGTTTTCTATGAAGATGATGTTTAATGACAGTAAGTAATACTTAATCTTGTGTACTCTATATTAACATAAGAAAAACATTATTTTTTTCTCATACCTACAAAATTAAAAAATTAAAAAAATGTAAGCAATGATTTCAAAATTTTCCCAAAACATTTTAAAACAAAATTAAAAAAAATCATACTTTAAATTCAGATATAGTAGGTCATTTTTTAAAATAATATTTACTATCGAAATATGTATAATTATGAAAATATGTTCAATCACAATATTATAACTTTTTTAAACTTAAAGAAAAACAATTTTTACACTACCCATATCTAAATAATAAAAATCTTGTTATTCAATAGCTTACTATACATAATATAAATGTTTTTAAAATTAAAATTGAAAATTATCAAATATACACAGAATATATATATATATATACATATATATATATATATAGAAAAAAACTTTATTCTGGAACGAGGTCCCTTATGAATAACAATTCTAAAAAAAAAAATAAAAACCAAATCTATATATACTTATATATAAATAGAAATATTTGATAAAATTTCTATATGATAGAAACATTAAATCAAATATATGATATGTTTATATATTTTTAATTTAAGTCTGAAGACTTTTAGACATAATGAAAAAAAAAGTTTTCTTCTACCAGTGATTTATTGTCATTTTAGTTTATTTCCGATGTTATTTTAAAATAGTTAATATTTAAACATACATTAAATTAACTATAGTTAAAAAATACATTTTAATATCAAGGGTATATACGGTTGAAAACATTGATCACAAAAAGGGAGAAAAGTTTCTTATAGAGGGTACTCCTTTTTCTTTAAAAATTTTAAAATACAAACGACAATACTAACAAAAATAAAATTTCGCAGAAATTTTTTGTTAATTTACATTAAATTTTTTTCTGTTAATTAAATTTTAATTGTACTCATAATAGAATACTTGCATTATAAAAGTAAATATAATGTGAACCTAATATAATTAACATAAATATTTTTTTCTAGTTGAGAGACTAGAGTTATTAGATAATCTATAAAGCTATTATGCTGTTTTCCTTATCAGTTCCTTGAGGCAGTCTTTATCAGCATTAAAATTACTTAACCTCTTTTATGTGACAATTAAAAAAGTATCTTATCTTATTATTATAATAATTTGAAGTTTGAAATAAATCCAATATTTTAAAAATGATAAGTTTTCTTTACTTTTTAGTGATGCATTTAGTTATAGTTATTCAGACTTTGAATTCCTCAGATTTATTTTATCATTACTTTTATTAGGGCCTCTTATATTTTATCATAGTTTTATCTGATCATATGTTAGAACTTTTCTTTTTAAATTCTAATAAGTCATCAATAAATATTTCTATAATAATTACTAATTCCATTAATGGACACTTTTTTTTCTATAATGATTATTTATAATTTCATTTCATGCAATATTTCTAAAGTTAATTTTCTATGTTAATAAAAATCCCATATTTATAAACTATTTTACTAAATAATTAATCTATAAATCTTTTGATTACTTTAATAATTAGTTACATATACTCAGGTATATACCTCGTTGAAAATTTTTGTGTCCCTGCACAACTTTGCAAACTGTACCATTGCCATGACAAATACCACATGCATCTTCCACGCTGTTAGAGTCAAATTGCAGATCACATGGTATGTCCTAAGAAGCATTATTAACATTTAACTGGTAATATAATTATTTAGAAATACTTATTTTTAAAAATTAACTCAGTAAAAAGTATTCTAAAAAAATCAAAACAATTTGTCCCTATCATAATTGCTCAATGTTGCCCCGATATGATAAGATGAGGTGAGCTAAGGTAGGTGTGAAATAACTTGGAAATCCTACGTCACTTGGACCCCATTTGATATCATTGGAGGTTTTCTATGAAACATGAAAAATCTTTTTTAGTTTTGAAGAGAATATTTGTTGGGGTGGTAAGTCAAAAAAATGTAAAAATAAATAGGTATATTTATTTTTATATTTTTGTTTGTGCAAATGTTTCGGTCCAAAGTTCAGGCCTTCTTCAGGGCTAAGAAAAAAAACAAGTTTTTTGACGTTTATTCTACCTACATTTTCTAGACTATACCTTTCACCTACATTTTTTTAAAATGTTAATAGTTTCTCATACTTATTGTTTTCTGTTTTTTTCTTAGCCCTGATGAGTGCCTGAACTTTGGGTCGAAATGTCAGCAAAAATAAAAATAAATATACTTATTTATTTTTATCATCCCAACTAATCTTCTCTTCGATTATTTAATTATTATACAGTCGAACATCATTCCACAATTAATTTTTTACTTTTGTCTGTCTTTGTATTGGAAAGTGTTGAATTAGCTTTCTCAAATAAACGGCCTAGTTGAAATCAAGATCCGAATAAGAGTGGTTTCATTTTATAAATAATTGCCTGCACAATGAAGATTCTGCGATTTTATCTTCTGGGCCTTTGGTTACCAGACATTAATAAATAAAATCTAATTATCTTCTGCTTGTTCATGGAGAGAGATTTTAGTGTTATCAATCAAATATGCATGAAGTTGAAGTATTAGCTTCAGATTAATAATGAAGAAAAATAAAAATGTGGTAGAAAACCTCGGTGTACAACCCATAAAAGCATTGTCCTCAAACATTTTCCATCATAAACTTGCATGGCAGTAATTAGTTTGTCATTAATGAATATGCATTCATTTTATAGAAAACAAATATTGATAAAGACCTCATTACTTCTTTTTTTTCCCCTATTATTATTGAAATTTACAACTGTATTAAATGATAAATACAACATGATGTAGAGATGGTTGACCGTGATATAATATGAGAAGGAGTTAATCGGGGGGTGCAGTCAAATAAAATTCTTTATTTGACAGCACCCCCCCCCCTCCCCCCGATCAACTGCTTCTCAGATAAATACAAGTAAATATGAAACAAGTAACATGGCATGTACAACATGAAGAGAAACTACCTATTGGTAGCACTCCAATTATATTTCTATATTAATTAGAAGATCCCAAGGCCATCTTCTTTTCAGACGCCTCGGAGGTTTATCAGGAATAGAAGAGGAAGCAAGGTTGGAAACAAGAGGGTTTGGATGGTTCTAAAGTTTATTATGGAAGGATGGGTATGTGAATTGAGCTAAATTGGAAACATATGGTACACATTAAGGTCATTTTGGATGATTTTATTTGTGACAAAAGTAGGAAACATTGAGGATTTTGGATTGTAAGGATTAGATACGATAGGAATTTGATGGTGTAGTAGAGCCCCAAAGCTCGATCCACTTAGTCTAAATCGGCCTTTTTATAGTAATATTTAAGAGTCAAAAAGTGCTGCAGTAGTCAAAAACGTTGGGCGGTTTTCTAGTCGTTTCAATCTGGTATAAAGGTTCCAAGTGAGTCATTTGTCCAGGTGGAGTCCTAGGTATCGGATTTGTTCAACAGGGATAAGTGGGGTATTGTTAAAGGAAACTGTAGGGTAAGAAGTCATAGGTAATTTTATGAGATTTATTTTAACTCATTACTTCTAAATCATTATGGGTATCCTTTTTCTTGTAAGCCTAGTTCACAGATTTCAAAAGACCATAAATAAAGAAAAAACACAAGAAACAAAGTGTTTAGACTGCTGTATATTTTGAGGGAGAAAAAAAGGGTGGTTTGTGAATCGCATTTGCCTTATCTGTAATTTGAAAAAGAAACCTAAGGAAGTTAAAGAAAATGAAAGAAGGCGTAAAATTCGTGAAAGGAAACAGTGGATGAAGAAAATTGATTTAAATTCAGTTATCATTGAATTCAATAACGCCCCTCAAAAAGTACAAACAATAAAGAAATGTATGAAAGCGCTTACCCAAACTCCTATTATTTCTCTTGAAAAACCGGCCGGTTTCTAAACTATGGCCCACGGGAACCTCAAGCACCTTCGATCTGGCCCGCGAAAGTTTCTTTGATTACATGGTAAAAATCTAAAAACTATTTGAAAGTAAGAAAGTTAGGCAATTACTCACATACGAGGTAACTAGAACATTTATTACATAGTTTTTTTTTTCTCTTAGAAAGCTCATTTCGCAATTGAAGTGTCATTTATAGAACAAGGTTGTTTTTTTTTATCTAAAGCCACGGCCCGCGAGACTAGGGTGGTCTCTATGTCGCCCACGGGACAAAACGTTTGGAGACCTCAGGCCTAGAGAAACAACTGAGTAACGCATTCGTGTTTGTGAATCGTGTAAATACATCTTCATACATCAAAAGTATTTGCTTCTGCCATTATCCAATATTTGCCATCCACACACATGACGAACAAATTGCCTTGCTTAAAGCGGACCCTACATGATCATTCGGAATCGCACTCCGAGGCACTACTGACTTTCTGATTGATCGTGTAAGGTACTGATTGAAGTACTGATGGACGTGAATGGAGGATTTCCGAAAATATAGAAATCATGGGGTCAATCACAACAAATGGAGGGGAGACTAAGGTAAAAGTAGTGGGGTGACTAACCTTACTACTGGATAGGTTAGTTTATCTAGGCTTCATAACCATTGTAAATTCTTAATTATCATTAAAAGTAAATAGTTTTTCTTATCCCGTGTTTATATTTTTGTAAATCATCTTCAACTATTTTTTTATAAGTAGTAGACTAATATTTTTCTAACTTTTGTCAAAACTATTTTCGGGCATTAGAAGCTAATTATTATGTCTTCATGAGGGATGCGCATTCCCCCCAAGGTCGATGGCGCATGGACCTTTCTCCAACACTCCCAAGATATTTTTATACTGTCCTCTTCTTAAAAAAATGTACTAGCAAAGGTTGCATTTAAAAAATCATAGATTATATTCAATTACACATCCTACAGTCTGTTCAATGGTTCCTCTTGTCTTCTGGTTTGAAACATTTCATTTCGAAAATTTGTAACATTGTCGAAATGTGCCCCCTCAAAATTTCTGATGGCCCACCTTGCCTTTCTGGCATTTTTCTCTTGATGTCCAATGCTATTAAGGATAATGGCCAAATAAGCCTTTTTAATGAAACACATTATTATAAATCTATAATGTACCGGATCCACACTGCCTGTTATCTTAACGTTAACTGATCTAAAATGCGTAAGTTTGATACGTATAAGAGCCATCATGATTGAAGCAGGTGACTGATTTATAGGCCGTGGTGGTCGAGTGAGTTAAGGTGCCTGCAAACATTTTACAAGTTTTCAAATACCGTTCGCGAGAATTAAAAAAATAGAATAATTAATAAGTACAGGCCCTACTCTACTAATTATACCTCTACGGCACGGGTTCGATTCTCGCATGGAGACGGCAACGTCCCCACCCTAAGATTCATACGGAGGTGAGCGACCCCCGTGTCTTAAACCATAGCTCCTAGTCCTCCAGGTTGGGGATTGGGTATAATAGGGCTGATAATCTCTAATTCTGTAAAAAACTGGGTGGAAGATTGAAGCAAAAGATTGTCAAACATCCTGGAGGAAAGTTCCTACTGAAAGCGGAGTGAAATTTGATCGCGTCCGGTTAATAAACCACGTGCTAACTAGATATATCGAAGAAGAGTGAACAAAACTATCACCAGTGTCGCCTATAATAGCCCCAAGCTGCTCAAGAAGACTCATGATTTAAAAAGTCAAAGTCAACAGGCGTAGGGAAAAAAAAAATGATTGAAGCAATCCTTGTCAGTCATTTATGGCTTCTCGTGTAGGGTCCGCTTTATCCACACCAGTGACGAATCTTTAATTTGACAACTTATCAAAAGTCTGTAAAGTATGAAAAGTGAAAGGGCTAATAAGAAAATAGGGAATCCACACATTTTTCCAGTCCTTTGAACAATAAACATAAACAGTTCTGTGAAAGTATTCGATGAAGAACTAGCTATCACTATCTTCACATTAGCATTTATAGCTTCGTGGATCCGCCACGAAATAAATTTCAACACCCCCCCCCCCTGGCCGGATTCAAAATGGCGTCGACAGACTCGAGAATGTTAAACTTTACGCACAAGTTGTTTAAAAAAAGGTTCTTCTCTAGCGTGGAGCCTGTGTAATTGAAGGGACGCCCAAAGGGAAAAACATTTTGCATACCGATCTGTGAACTGGGCTTATTTTTGGTATATATAAAGTAGTATTGCAAGTATCGATACGGAAATATTTTAAATCGATACTGATATTCATAGGCTATAATGGATGTAAATAAATGCCACTTTGATGTAGCTTAACATCGTCTTGGATTATGTCCATTTTTATAAATAATTACTATGTTTAACAGTGATTTATGTCATCTGCTATTCATAGTTCCTTTTTTACAGTGTTTATTGCATTTTTATAAAATGTTTTTTATTTTCACAATAACTACTTGATTTCATTTACTAATAATATATATATTTTTTAAATGACTATAAATAAATAAAATAAATCCTATAAATAAATAGAGAAAATCCTGAAGATTGAAAGGAAGATTCTGGTGGGGATTCACGGACCCAAGATAACGCAAGAGGGATACAGGCTAAAATCCAATAAAGAAATATACAAACATTTGGAAGATTTGGAAACACGTCAGGATCAGAAGACTGAGGTTCTACGGGCACATGGTCAGGATGAATAGTGAAAGACTGAACAAGACAATTTTTGACAAAGTTTGCAGCTAAAAAAGTATGGTGGATATGTAAAACAAATAAAAGAGGAACTAGACAGGATAAAAATCACGGATAAAGATTGCTTGGATAGAGAGCTTTTTAGGGAAAAAACTGAAAGGAGTTGGGTTTCTTGTAGGTGGGAGGGAGAGACGAGGAAGAAAATGGACTAAGGAAGAGCGAGAGGAACAGTCCCGGAGGATGAGAGAGTATTGAAGTAAGAGGAAGGCTGAGGGTGTGAAGAGGAAACGGAAATAATATTCGCGTAGTCCTTGCTGGCCGGTCCGTTGAAAAAAAAAAAAATTGATAAACTTACTCGGCAAATTCCATCCACGCATATGTCCCTCATTCCACGATAGCATGTAGTGCCGTCTTTAACTTTAGGCGACAGAGATACAACGACGTCTTTGTCATTTCGACAGTAAAGAGCACAAGGGTTTCCTGAAATTCATAACAATAATTTTCTAAAAAAAAAAAAAAAAATATTCAAATATCATGAGCAGGTGACAAATTGGTGGCTACCGTTACTGACGAAGAAACCTTTCCACTTGTGAACTTCGCCGTCTTCGGGGAAGACCCAGTCGTTATATTCGGAACATTGAACATCCCGGAACGGTTCACTTCTAACATCGCATGGCTGCAATCATAATCATTATATAAATAGGCAAACATAAAACGTTTCAGCCCCTTTTTCTTCTCTATTATTCAACCGATTTTCTTCCTCCTTTTTTTGTTTAGTAGCTATTGAGGAGCTTTAGTGTTATCAATAAATAAAAATATGAAATAGTACATACAGAGTGGTTCAGAGTTAAGTGTCCAAACTGCAAAAATGAACTAGGAACCTCAAAGCAAGAAAAAAAATTCTTCTGAAGGTATGTCCGCAAACGCGTTGTTTAGAAGATATTCACACCTAAAGGTTTTCGTTGTTATGAATTATTTACGTTATATGAAATAAATATAACCTATTTATTTATTCCAACTACTTTAGTTATTAAATGTGAACATTAACATTCATATTAAATGTTGTCGAAAGTGATTTCCTTGAGCATTAAGACAGGCTCGACATCCTTCTTCAACAGGAGCAGTGGCAGATAGGCACTGGATGTATGTTATTGTTTCACAAGATTCAATTATCCATCTTCGTAAGGAATTACGACGGACCTTGCTCAATCATATTCCATATCCCAATTAATGGATTGGCCGTGCAGGACCAGTGGCTTGGCCTGGACGCTATCCAGACCTGATTGTTGGGGTCGGGGGAATTTCAAAATTAAAACACAAATCCTTCCCCGGTGAGTTTCCTCAAAGATGGAGAAAAAACGAGTAAAACTAAATGGTGGGAGAGAAGGGGAAAAAATGAGTGAATATGAGACCTGTAACAAAGTTAAAACGCATGCATATCAAATAATAAAGTAATAAGATATTCTAGAAATCAATAATGGAAAAATGAAAATCCTCTTCTGAATGTTCACACAGTTATATCAAATAAAAGATATATATACAAACGTTAAAAACAAAATAAAGAATGGTATGAAGTTCACTGAAATGAATAAAAAACACCAAATATAATATTCAGAGAAAAAATAAAATTGTCCATCAAAAGAAAACATAAATAAAATCAACTTCTATTTAAAAAGATTAAACTAAGAAAAAAATAACTTCAAGAGAACAAATCAAATTTCGAGAATAAAATTAATTAAAACGAAAAGGATTAACTTGAGAGTTCATTAAAGTTCAAATAATAATTTTGAGAGAAAAACCAAATTAATATTTAATTGTTCCATGGTGATGGTGAGAATAAAAAAAAAATCCATGTTGGAGGCTCTTCTTCCAAAGAGGTTACCTTTTACGATGTCAAGTCCATGGTGGGGAGTATCGAATCGGTAGGCCTATCGATCTCGATCGACGACTAGAGATGAAAACAGCTGGGCTTTTCAAAATGGCGCTAGGCTGGCGCAGGTGCGGTGAGAGAGAGCGAGTATCTCGCTCCAGACTGATTTTCCGGCAGTGTTATCGCAAGTATTGGTATCTTAATCCTTAAGACTGGGTAATATTGTCGGTTTGGTGTGTATATAAACGCGATAACAGATCGCAAACGAAGTCAAATCTATAAATAATATACACTGAGATACATTATAGGAACAATTGTCCCTCAAACTTAAAAAAAAGAAGAGATAAATAAACATTTATAAAACAACATTAAAAAAGGGTTGGTGAGAAAAATAATAATGAAAAAAAAATAAAGATTCAAGTGCATGCGGCGTTAACACCTGATACCGCTGGATTTTTTTATTTGGGGCGCCATTAAACAAAAAGTCTATGCAAGTCCGGTCAATGACCTTACTTCTTTACGAAGAAGGATAATTGAATTTTGTGAAAAAATAACATATTCAGGTCCGATCTGCCACTGCTCCTGTTGAAGAAGGATGTCGAGCCTGTCTTAATGCTCAAGGAAATCACTTTGAACAGCATTTAATATGAATGTTAATGTTTACATTTAATTAATAAAGTAGTTAGAACAAATAAATAGATTTTAGATCTTTAGATGTGAATATCTCCTAAACAAAGTGTTTGCCGACTAATGCTATTAGTTGATTTATTTCAACAAATTACTTCAGTAGTACAGATCTTATGCCGGTTCTTGCTTCCGCTACAAGATTTTCCGCCGTGAGCCGGCGACGGTGAGTCGCACTTCCTGGAGGACACGGACACTCCAGCTCCACAACTCCTGGAACACTCGCTCCATTCCGACCAAGAGCCCCAGTTACCATCAACAGCAAGCGGTCTCTTACCAGCCTCCAAGCAGGCACCGTCATAGCACCACTGGAATTATGTATATACATTTATAACACAAATGTATAACCATCAACATAGTTATTTATAAATTAAAAAATAATACATTAAACGTACTTTGTTCAGATCGCAAGAAGTCCCTGGTGCTGGCATGATGCCAGTGTTGGAGCATGAAGCACCTTCGAATTCACAGGCTAAGGTTTGGCAATCCTGAAATTATAAAAAAAAAAAAACTGGAGTGTCCGCTGGCACAACTTTATTACCTATTTCAGAAAAGTTTTTATATCTTTACATTTCCATTAATAATAAACAAACAAAAAATTCTCTAGTTCCCGAGAAAATCTTGGCACAGACAGACAGATCAATGGCTAAAAGTGTGTTTTTTGGACTGTGAAAAGTATAGATCCGTCGAAAACTGCATATCGGAAAATGATCCGATCGCAATACTTTCCTCACATAAAGTATAGGGACGAAAGTAATAAATTAAAACATATGTAGAAAATAAAATACGCTGTATCATCACTAATACTGGTATAATTTTTCCGACTAATCCGATAATTTTTTTATTGTTTTGTTGGTAATTTAAATACCTTTCAAATGTCATATCGTACATTTTAACATAGAATATATACTTAGCGAGTTAGGCCCCAAAACATTTTTCTTTTCTTTATAACTTTTTTCCTGAATGTTCTCGGAAATTTAGAACATATACGAAAATTGAAAGGAAAATTATTAGAATATTATAGGAAAGTTTCATCAAAATCTTTATAGCCGTTTTTGCGCTACAGTCTATAGAAAAACATGTTTTCATTAATTACGCAGCCATTATTGAGCATGGAGCACCCAATTTGTGTCACAGGCATCAGTAGACAAAACCCTACAAAATAAAAAAAGAAGCAACAAAATCGATTCACTAGTTCCCGAGAAAATCTTAGCACAGACAGACCAATGGCTAAAAATGTGTTTTTCGGACTCAAGTGGCTCTGAAACGTTTAGATCTGAAAACCGCATATCAGAAATTTGATCCGATCGCAATACTTTCCTTACCTAGTGTAGGTAGGAAAGTAAAAAAAAAAATCGAAAATTATTTTATCAAGGAATATAGTTCTGTTTCTAGTGGAGAATTTGGTCATTGTCAGAATTTCAACATATGCATATTTACAAAAGGTCGCGTGATCAATGCCGTTTCAACGTTTCGGTAGGATTATTGGGATAGGCGGAGCTAGATAGGGATTTCACTTTGGGACGATGCATACGATTTTGGTGGAATTAGGAGAATATGTCTGGGATAAGGCCTAGAACAAATGGCATATCTTAAGTTCATGATGTAGAGTTTTGTTGGTTACGCAGAATGTAGGCTATGTTCGAAGAACATAGGATGGCTATAGTCCGTAGATCCTAAATAGATTTTCGGAATTGTAGATCAGTAATTTGTTGTCAATAAAAAAACTGAGATTTTCTATTCAGTAGTCTATATAGCTAGTCATATCGTCGGTTAAGCTATTCTTTTATTATTTATGTATGTATGCTGGTTTCATGTTAGTCTTCTGTCTAAGAAATTATGTCCACAGTTCTTTAATCTTTTATATTTTGGGCTTCCAAACTACGCAAGTTTTTTTTTTTAAATCTAGCACGACTTTATGATATATTTTATTACTATTAAACTATACTCACTCCTTTTTTGCTGCAACTTCTTGCATCGGGGGTAAGCAACTGCTGGCACTGGTAGTCTGCATCATACATAACCCCTGGCAATATGTCAGTGACTTGGAACTCGGACCCCGGTTCGTCTTCTAAGCAATCGAGGTGCTGATTTCTTTTTTCAATGAAGATATTTTGTATTATTAGAGCAAAAACCCAAGAAGAAACCTAAATTAATTGTTAGAATGTAACTGAAAGATTATAAGCACAAAGACTTGTGTCTCTAAAATGCAGATTAGCGAACTAATCAGTCTTGGTTTCGTCAATTCAGGTATCACGAGGAGAGAAAATTTTTAGCCGTTTATTGTTCTTTTATACTAAAAGCTTTGTGTTTGAAATCTTCCATATGTATTCTAGGCTTATCTCTAATGTCAACGTGAATTTGTGGATTTGACTTGGAAAACAAAAAAAAAAGTTTAAATCTCTATAGAAGTTATTTTCAGCTTAGTTCATTAATATCCTGTTAGGATACATATAGTTATTTGCAACTAAGGTTGACCGCATTGTGGAGCGCCGTTTAGCAGCGGATCTAGACTTGTGAAGAAGTGAACTAACTTCAATCAGCATCTCATCATAACTTAAGGCTGTTTTTAATTGAATTTGAGTCTGAAAATCATATTTTTCGGTATTACTGTACAAATACCACATTCACGTATGAGCACAAGATCTCAGGATCATACTGTTGGATTTACATCCTTAGATATAATAATAGGGTGTATAAAAAAAAGACCGTTTGATCAAATTAAAGATTTCAAAGGACTGTGAATTTTTTAATCCTATTTAATACTTCATAATCCCTTTAGAGCATTCTCTAAGCTTGTTTAATACCATTCGACTTCTTCAAAAAAAGCCTCAGTTTAGTTAGTTATTTCTTTCAAAGAAGAAATATGAAGAAATATGTATTGAACATAGCAAATAATCTTTTAAAATTAAGCTAAACAACGTAAAAAAACAAAGTAAAAACAAACTGACACCAAAAACATCTGCTGACATCAAAGACAGCGTAAAGGTGATGAGCAGGTAACTGAAGGACAAAGGGATGGGGAAGGTCTTGTCTTAGAGTAACTGGTAACGAATAACGGGTTAAGTAACTGATTCCCTTTAGATTACTGCCAGTTAAATAATTTTTACGCCCGCCGAAGCTAAGAACCAATCAAAATCATCCTTGTCCCACACTGGTTATTTGTATGACTGATTATTTACGACGTGATCAAGGTATAACCTCACTTAATTTAGATCGCTATTTCGACTTCGGAATTATATCGAAATACATCTGTTCGTTTTCATCGCTTTGCAATTTTCGCTGCTCGATCATTGCAGCGTAGCTTTACTATGCAGCCTTCTCCTTACGATATTAACAACTAAACTAATATATTTGTTTATTTAGAAATATTACATTCTGTCACATCAAGGACATTTATAATAGTGTTCAGAGAAAGCACACTCACACTCTATAACAACTAAAAAATATCAAAATGGCCGATATTGACGTGTACATACTGGATGGCCGACATCAGCGCACCCTGACTCTGCTCCGTCCAAACCTTTGGGCTGAGCGTGATCACGGGGCTCATCACGCTGGAGATCCCCTCGGGAGACCTCTCTGCCGGGTCGTGTCCTACTCCTAATCTGTAACCATAAAATAACTTTGATTCTGATCATATTCACAAGTAAATGGGCGATTCTTCTAAACTCAGCGTTGAGCTCACCGAAGGAATCCATCAAGGAATTGATAGGTTTAATTAAACACAGATGGACAGCGATAAATGCTGAGGTAAGACAATTGGATTCCAGCGAAAGATTATCACGCCTCAAAGGTAACAAAACACATGAATAATAAAAAATATATAAGGAGATATTTATCTACTGAATTGTTGAATTTAAAAACAAAAATAAATTTATAATTGGTAATTGGTTGACTGTCGTGGATAATGAAGAGAAGAATAGGTGGGGTGGTCAGTCAAAAATGAAGGCAAAAATAAATGATAATATTTATTTTTACATATGCCGACGTTTCGACCTGAAGTTCAGGCCTTCATCAAGGCGAAGAAAATAACCAGATAACAAGGTATGAGAAACATAAGTAGTGATGGTAAAAAAAAAATACAAAATAAAATAAAATAAAAAATAAAATAAATAAATATAAAGTAAAATGAAATTGTTAGAATAATGACTAAGAACTAAGAGATAAATAATAATAACCCTTACAAGGTGTGAAATTATGAAGTAGGCATAATCAAAAAGGTTGACATAAGTGTTACAATGGGAATCTTAGAATAAAATGTAAAACATAAAAAAGAAATATTTATTACTATTTATTTTCATTTCTTATATAACTTCATATTTCTTTTTTATGTCTTACATTTTATTCTAAGATTCCCATTGTAACACTTATGTCACCCTTTTTGATTATGCCTACTTCATCATTCCACACTTTGTAACGGTTATTATTATTTATCTCTTAGTTCTTAGTCATTATTCTAACAATTTCATTTTACTTTATATTTATTTATTTTATTTTATTTTATTTTATTTTTTATTTTTTTTTTTTTACCATCACTACTTATGTTTCTCATACCTTGTGTTATCTGGTTATTTTCTTAGCCCTGATGAATGCCTGAACTGCAGGTCGAAACGTCGGCATATGTAAAAATAAATATCATCATTTATTTTTGCCTTCCTTTTTGACTGACCACCCCAACTATTCTTCTCTTCAAAAATAAATTTAGGTAGTAAGAAAACTAAATATATGAATAAGTATATTTATTTTTATTTGACTATAGTTATTTATTTTTAACATTTTTTTTTTTTTTACTGATCATCACAACTATTCTTCTCTTTAGTGGCAAAAATAAAAATAAATATATTTATTTATTTTTACTATTTATTTTACTGATCACCCCAACTATTCTTCTCTTCAATGGCAAAAATAAAAATAAATATACTTATTTATTTTTATTATACATGGTGTCTTCAAGCAATATATAACCCCTCATACTTAACCATAAAATTTCATTAAACAACTATTTGTAGTACACCAACTACCAAAAATAACCATATTCCTTAAATGTTTGAGCATTTATTGATACTTGTCATTCCCGTACGGTACTAACTCCTCCCTCAATTGTTCAACCTTGACTGTCAATAAATGCGGAAACATTTAAGGAAAATAGAGATGAGTAATATGGTTATTTTTGGTATTTGGTGTAATACAAATAGTTGTTCAATGAAATTATAATTTAGAAATACATTTTAGTAGATGCAAAAAATATATATATTTTTTATGACTTGTTAATGAACTAATCAGCTCGAAACGTCGTTGAAGGAAGAATTAAAAAATTGAAAATATAAGGGCATATATATTTCTCGAAGACAACATATATATGAACATTGAGTGCCCTTGAAAAGTACTACTGTAGTAACTAAATATACGTATTTTTACATTATTTTTTTTACTGATTACCCCAACCATTCTTCTCTTCAATTATTCACTACAGTCAACCATCAATCCACAATACTATATCTAAATATGTAAAGTATATTGAGAAATGAGGTTAAATCCAGCGGACCCATTAAATCTAAAAGCCGATGGAACCGCTAAGCCATCCGTGATTGAATCGATGAATAAAAAAACGCAATGAATTTCATTTATGGATCAGTTTATGAATGGATTTCCCATGAACATCAATGAGCTTAGCCCTGAGTTGAGAAATTCGCCTATAACGTAAACAGTATATTGATAATAAATTATGTTATCGCCGATATCGAGTACAGAGCCGTCGCATGGGGGCCGAGGGACGTCACGAATCAGAGACCAAACAAATAAAAAGAATTTTAAATAGTCTTATTTCCATCTGCTTCCTACATTTTGATTAATTTATTTTCATCTTTGCTTGAACTTCATGCACAACAAGCAGAATTCTAAACTCAGTTCCGCTTGTTGTAGTTAGATAAATTACTAGTTGGCTAGAGATGGTCGTGAATGGAAGTGCGAAAATATATCAAAGTACAATAAATATGAGAAAATAAGGTACAGGTCGTGTTCGAGAGATATGAGGGAGACGCCTGATGAAATATCGCCCCGGGCGCCAAAACCCCATGCGACGGCCATGATAGAGTAAATGCGCCCACTGCTATAAATTGATAATGATTCTACTTTTTCTTATAATAATAATTAATTTCTAACTGACGTATGCGCGATCTGGTGGGCGATGATGTATCCCAACATGAGACCAGTGTCTTTGCAGATGGCTGCTTGTCTCTTTGGATGACATACTCCGTTCCTTTCAGCCAAACCAACATAGTGGCAGGAATCTTCTTCGTCACAAATATCATTTCTGCAAATTAATACAGATATTGTCTATTTTAAAAAAGAATAATAATATTATTCCTACATATAAATAAATTTTACAATATTTTTTTTACTTGAAAACTATTGTTATTTAAGCACTAATGTATTTGTGATACTATCGCTAAATATAATTGAATCATAGAAAAAATGTTCAACTTTTTAAGTTATTAATTCAATCCTGTTAAACATTAATTAATAATAATTTAATTTAGTTAATTATTAATTATATTAATAATAATAAGAAAATATCCAAACTCTTACCCTTCCCATTCTTCGGTGGTGCTACAACTCTTAACGAGTCAAAGCCTCCTGAAGGAGCATTGTGGAAACATTTTTAAGTTCGCTTTTTAAATGCTTCCGAAGTTTATCTAACTGTGGTAATTCTCAGTCCAAGTCCCAAAAGTCGACATACTTCCACCGATATCTGAGTAGCTTTCATAGTCGTCATGACAAGACAGAGGAATGTCAAGAGGGTTTCTGTCATATAGCTCCTATCGATTCAAACCGTCATAGGTGACATGGCAAGCCACAAAATGGGTGTGAGTCTAGATATCCACTCTCTCTATCATTGTTCCCGCTGAGAAGATTTGGTCTGTTGCAGTTTTTTCTCTCATGATAGGAGGAACATTCCTCTGTAGTTCTCGCAATCAAGAGCGATCTCTTTTCTGATGAATGGAATATATAACAGATTGGTACCATCCCTGAAGAAAACACCCCAGAAGTCTAACTTCAGGTTATGCATATAATTATAGGCTGCTTTTCCTCCATGTTTATAACCTCAGTTGAAATTCCATCTGGAGGTTTTAACTCTTCTAAGGCTTGGTATGAACTTGATGATCACTCTCTGTTGCGCTGGTGACAGTATATACGATAGGTAGAAAGCATGGTCAGATGTCATAAACACTGCTGCACAAGATATACTGGGCCTCGTACAAAGAGAACCCTATAAAGGCTGGTTTGATGAAGATTACTATGAAACAATAGTTAAGAAAAATTAAGCCTATGGAAAGATGATCGATAGATTCACCAGACAATCCTGCGAATCATACAAGGTGTTAAGGCCACTCACTATTATCCATAATTAAAGTGCGTCAAACAGCGCATAACAGTAGCGTCAACCCTGCCTGGTGACTTGGGACCAGTGGGTTCAAAGTACAACTCAACGATTCCGAGTCTGAGACTGCCCACAAAATGGACTCCATAACCCAGCATATCCAGAATATGTCTAGCTAGACTCAAGCATTATAAAGTGGTCCAGAAAGAGGCAGTAGAGATGTCAGCACACCAGCCCATGACACTACATGTATGTACGAACAGAAGAAGCCAGGCCCCCAAAGGAGAATTCGAGACACCTATGCCATCAATTCAACAGCAACCAACCAACTGGTCAGCTTATCAATTAAAATAAATTCTGACACTAACATACTAAACTCAATGTAATTAATTTGGTTACCTCCTTAGCAGCATATAATTTTTATTTTATTTTGTAATATATGTTATGTCAACCTTAATCTGATTTAATTACAATCCACATGAACACCCCCTTCCGATCAATATTTATCATCCAGATATGACTCCCCGTATTTCAAGATTAAGGAAGGCCTGATGTCCCAAACACAGGGAGTGCAGATGGAATGACAAAAAGGCCTTCAAAGAAAGAAGAGAGCCTAAGAAGGCACGAAGCTGGAAGATTTAGCGTGTAAATGAAGGAAGGCCTTAGAACAGAGGATAAAATCGTGTAAAGGAGAAGATAATGTGGTATTAACTGATAAGAAAACTACCCTAAATCGATGGAAGCGTCACTTTAGAAAACTGCTAAACAAAGAACATGGAAGAAAAGAATGAACTTAGAAAAAATTATGAAATGTATGCAGAGCCACCTGATGATGAAGAGGTAAACCAGGTCAAAAATAAAATTAAAAAATCACAAAGCCCCCGGGTATGACCGAATTCAGAACTCCTGAAGTGGTGAAGGTCTAAGAAAAGTTCCCCATGAAAACGAAGAGTGGAATTCCCCAATTTGAGTTCTACTAATGGGTAATTTCTCTTCGTTTTGTACATGTCATGTTACCAATGTCACATTTACTTGTTGTATTTATAATGTAAGTTGTAACTTTCATTAAAATAAAAAAAAAGGAGCATTCCTCATAAACAAAAAAAGGAGACCAGGCTAATTGAAATAATTATACAGGGATTACACTATTGCCATTCATCTATAAGGTGCATCTTTTGCATCTGCGTCTGCATCCAACATCATCTTTTGCAGACTTGTTCCCTATGGGGGAGGAGTGGCCGAGCTGGCTAATTCGCATGCACAGCACCGTGCGTTGACTGGCAACTCGGATTAAAGATAATTAGACAAAAAATTAACAGTTCGGGTAGCGGTGCCCGAGAGGACTTTTAACTCTGCCATTAATCCCTCGCTCTCACACTCTGGCTCAGCCCCCATAAACCCAATATAGCCTAAAAGACGAGGAAGATGAAGCGTCGATCGCAGTAGCAAATAGATGGCATTTTGGCCTCACCAAGCATTATATTACCAATGAGATCAAAGAAAAGTTTTAATAAGTCCTTATTCGGCGGGGCTTGCGTAACGATATGAAGCTTGGGCGTGGAATGAATTTAGGCAGCTAATTTTTTAAACGTGTTAAATTGTAGAATTTTTATAATTTCTAGCAAAAAATAAAAATAAAATATATTATAACACTAAATCGTTATTTTAACAATTTAACAATTATTTTCTTAAGTTACATCTGTTGCAGCTATGCTTATATTAATTTGTTTTAATCCTCTCATAAAAATGGTGTCATGTTTACTGATATACTTTTAGAACATTAACAACAATTGTTTTCTAAAACCGACAAAAGGCAATGGGACACTTGTGCAAATAAGAAATCCTATTGAGACCGAATTCTGATTGGGACCAAGCTACCATTGCAATGCTAGTTCACATTGTCTTTAGAATTATCTTATTTAAACAAAATAGTGGTTCCTAACCCAGGCCGTGGGGAAAAACCAAGGCCCCAGGAACAAATTATTTCTGACTTCTTTCACCACTAAACCTAGCCTATTGCCCAATAATCTATTTAAATTCATGATTAATAATTATGAAATTCTTAATCAGCATCCTAAAAAACAGACGAGCAAACGAATGTTCGAAACAGTTTTAAATACTGAAGATATGAATATCGCAAGTTGGCGTTTCGTTTTATTTTAACTTTTCAACGGATTTCTTCCTTCTTGGGGCAGTAATATATCAAAGAGGAGGAGGATAGTCTTTTTTATCAAATTAAATGCTAACATTACAAAAAAAATAATATCTACATTTCTGTTTTGAGTAGATGGGGTGGTCGAGCTAAGGCGTGTGTAAAACACAAGTTGCCTGGCAACCTGATAAACTGCAGATTACGAGTTCTATTCCGGGTGCCAAGGGTTTTTAACTCTGGCATTAATTATCCGTCCACTCCCCTGACCCGGAACCAAATCGTATTGTGAATGGGAGAGGTATGGGGGAAAATACTTATATTTTATTTAATTTTTTTCATCTGTCGGCATTACAGAAAATTAAATTTTTTTCCGCCTTAACAAGCCATTTATCTGCACGCAGCTTTATTGTATCTTTGTTAATTTTATCCATCTGTTTTTTGGCCTTCCACATTGTCCTCTGCCTTCTATTCAGATATTTATTATTAAGTTAGATGCTTCCAGATGGATTGCTTAGAGGTACATACCCCGTCCATCTTGCATAATGAAAAGTGACCTTCGGATGGGTGCATTTCGAAGAATGACAGAACAAAGGCTAACCACTTCCCTAAAAAAAAAATTAGAGTGGAGAGATTCAAAGTGCTCCTGGGCCGTTACATTGAAAGAGTTTGTTTATCGATGAGAAAATTTTTACAATTGAAGACAAATTTAATCGCCAAAATGATCGTGTGTACGCTCACAACTCTGAAAAAGCTCAGAAAGTCATTGTAAGAGTGAAAAGAGGTTATCACCCCTTCTCAGTGATGGTTTGGTGGGGAGTTTGCTTTGATGGTACCACAAAGCTCCATTTTTGTGAAAAAGGAGTTAAGACAGCCACTATAAGGATGATATTTTGGAATATGTTGTCAAGCCTCTAAATGATAATCTGTTTGCTGGAAGTCATTTTCCATCAGGATTCCGCTGCAGATCATAAGGTCAGGTCAACTCAGCAGTGGCTGCAAAAGAACATTCCAGAGCTCTTGGAGTGGCCCTCAGGAAGCCCTGATCTCAACCCACTAGATTATCGGCTTTGGTCCGAACTGGAGAGGATGGCATGCCACAGAGATTAAATGCCTGTGTCAAAGAAAAAAAGGGGGACATTTTGAGTAATTTCTTTTTTGTTTTACTCTCTACAGATATACATTTTATTTTCTGATAAAGTTTTTGGATTTTTTTTTTTTTTAAATCTGTTTATATTTCCATGTAACAATATTTATGACCGCACTAACTATTGTCTTACGATTCAAGTGGAAAGCAAATGTCTATTTATGATTTTAATACCTAATTAAATCGAAAAGTTTGTCGATCTCCAGATTGAAAACGCCCCAATTCCGAGAATTTTTGTAAATGAATTATGATTAGGTCACATGAGGTGAAACTGTTTACTAGATGTTAAGCGGATGTTAATAATTTGATTTAAAGGGGTCTATACCACGGACTATACAACCTGCCTCTATAAAATGGGCAATCTTAACCGAATATTTGTACTAAGAGTGTTCTTATTCCTGATAAAAATTAGTTACAGTAAAAATAATTATTGGGGGCAGTATTACCCAGTCAACAGAAGAGCTAAGTCATGATGATTGGGATGCTTTTCATCTTTAGGGTTGATTCTAAGCTGCCATGCAGAAAACTTTTCCAGTTCTTCAGACCCTAGTTGGCGAATTTGTCTAAAGTTAAGCTAAAAAAAAATATGTATGAAAAACCTAACAGAGTTTCATGAAATTATAAATTGCAATATGTTTTTCGATGTAATCTTACAACGTCCTTTGGGTCTTCCACTTCTATTATCCTTACAATCTCCAAGTCGATTGGAGGATCTTTACTCAAGTCATGGAATAGAGACTGGGCCTGTAAAACACAAGATACAATTATTAAAGCTTGTAATAACTAGCACCTAAGTCAAAGACTTAGATCAACCTAAAAACGAAGAAATTTCAGATTACTCCAACTCGCAAACTCTATTGTTTTATACTAAATGAATGAAAAAATAATTTTATTCTACGACTACAGACCCCTTAGAATAATAACAGTGTTACATAATTAAGAACATTAACCTGGCTTAGATGAATACAAAATGATGCCTAATTAACGGTTGATTGTTATTGCAATTGTGCAGTTGATTGAATCAAAATTTGTACAGATGGAAGTGAATTTCACATCTTTGCGGAAGTTTGAATATGGAGTACGTGGTGGAACAGGAGTTGTTTGAAGGAATTTGTGGACCAGGATTGACGTATGGAGTTAGGTAGAGAGTTCCAAAAGCAGGTAGCACGAATGACGGAGAATTTGTTGAAGGAAGCAGTTTTATGGGAGGGGATATATAAATCTATACGTTGAGAACTGGTATTGAGAGAGTGGATATAGGAGCATAGAGTAAGGAGTCTCAGGATGTAGGGAGGGTTTATAATTCTGAGGATTTGGAAACGGAAAACTCCGAGGAGGATTGTCGTCGGGAAGTAGGATAAACCCACTTCAACTTGGTGTACTAGAATGAAGCATGGGAGCGCTTGGGGATCCCAAAGATATATCTTATGAAACAGTTCATGAGCTTCTTTAATCTCATTTCTAGTCTGGCAGATAGTTCCCTCCCTAAGCCCTTCATATACCAAGCAGCCGTAGTCAAAGTGGGGGAATATAAGGGACATTAAAAGGAGCCGTCTGGTTTTTAGAGGAATACAATCACGGAATCTTAGGAGTTGTTTAAGGACAGTTAGGGATTTTCGGGTAATCTGGGAGATATGGTTATTCCAGGAGAGGTTATGGTCAAAGGTTATTCCTAGGTTTTTGACTGTAGGGAAAAAATGTATGGGGGGGTTATTGAGGTTAAGTAGAGGAAACTAGGAAAGGGAACTAATGAGACGTCTGGACTCGATGAGAATAGCCTTAGTTTTATCTGTATTCAGCTTTAACTCATTGCTTTCAGCCCATCTGTTACAGTCAATATCCTCTTGTAGCCTCAGGCATCTCAGAAGGTTGGAATGATTGGTAAATTTGGAAGTCATCGGCATATAAGGTGGTAACGGGAGTGTTGAATGGCGTCAGAAAGGTTACTAATATAAATAAAGAAAAGGGTTGGGGAGAGAGGGAGGAACCCTGAGGAACACCTCGTGTTAATTGAAGAGGAGACGATGGAGGTTTTTTTCGAAATTACAACTGTTTGAAATCGATTGAATAAGGAGATGCACCATTTTAGGACGCTATTTGATATGAGTAGGCTTTGGAGTCTAGAGAACAGGATCTCATGGTTAACGGAATCAAATACCTTGGAAAAGTCAAAAAAGATTAGGATGGAGATTTTCGGTTTATCTATGTCGGATTGAAATAATGAACGGAAACGAGATTGTAAAGGATTGAGTAAAAGGTTTTCCTCGAGAAAGCTGTTCATACTGTAATTATGTAATAAATAAATTAAAAATTATATAATGTTTTTGATTCTGCTCATTTTTAGCTTAAATAAATTTTAAAATAACGTGCGAATCGATAAAATACGTACCATATTAAACACAGTAAGAGCATAATTTTGCAAATCACTTATATCGTGCATATCCATCATAGACTGGTCGACTACAAGTAAGGTCTCAATGTGCAGCCTTTTGTTGGAAGAATTGGATTTCGGTGAATCCTGTTCAGAGCCTTCTTGATAATTTGCAACGTTCTTTCGAAGGGAGGAATCATCAAGGCCTTGATAATCTTTATCAATTTTCATCTTGGTGGCACAGTTGAGAGATGCCGTCTCGCTTTGATCATCTTCGTAAAGGAAATGTGGTTGTTCTTGCTCAGTTTCATTTTCGGATTCATATTCTTCATTCACCGCGGGTTCGATGAAGTATGTACGACGTTTTACCCTGATGTATCCGCACTGAAAATGATAAACCATGAGGTAAATATGTGTTTAACTTAAAGAAACATTACAATAAAACAACCCGCCAAAACGTATGGGTTCTGTGCATAGGAGTCGATCCTAAATTTTGGGGAGACGCTCCCACCCTAATTATTGAAACGGCCCCATTTTGTTTATGATTCCGTCTCTTCTGAATGATCTTTGTCTACTACAAAATTCCTCGTTAGCCATATTTACACATTGCCAAAACCATGGCGAACTCGAGACTTTTATAAGTGAAGTTGTGCTTGGCTCTCACATCTTTTTCTGTATAACTTTGTACAGGGAATATTATGAGGAATGTCTCATATCGATCTCTATAGTAAAGTCTAAAGTTTAAAAAAAAAATGTGTCATAGCTATGTTTTTCGAAATACTAATTGATGAAAAAGTTTAATTAAGCCAAGTTTTTCACGTGAACTTAACTGAAATGGATTCGGATTGAAATATTGTAAATCAATTTTATATTACTAAGAACGAAAGATTAAAACTACAATTCCTGCCACAAAACTGAATTCCCCATATTCATATATAGGTATGCAACACTGTCATCACCACCTATGCCGATGACACGTGTATCCTATCAGTCAATAACGATCCATCTATTGCATCCCAAACGCTTCAATCACATATCACAAGTCTTGAAAAACGGTGTCAGAACTGGAGGATTAAAATAAATTCCATCAAATTACCTTCACTATTCCCCGTAAACTTATGACTCCTGTCCTACAGTATCCTTCAACAACAGCCCTCTTATCCCTGTCGAACAAATCCGATACTTAGGACTCCACCTTGACAAACGACTCACTTGGAACCCCCATACCAGACTGAAACGACTAGAAACCGCCCGACGTTTTCGACTACTGCAGCACTTACTAGACAAACGTTCTAAGCTCACAATCAATTACAAACGTCTCATATATATAACAATAATAAGACCTATTTGGACTTACGGAATTGAGCTTTGGGGCTCCACTAAACCACCGAATTCCTCTCGTATCCAATCCTCACAATCCAAAATCCTTCGTAAAATCCAACGCTCCTTACTTTGTCACAAATAAAATCATCCATAAAGATCTTAATGTTCCATATGTTTCTGATTTGGCCCAATCCAGATACCTATCCTTCCATAACAAACCGCAGAACCATCCGAATCCTCTCGTTTCAAACCTTGCTTCCTCCTCGATCCCTGATAATCCTCCGAGGCGTTTGAAAAGAACATGTCATGACCTTCTAATATAGAACTTTAATTTGAGTTCTACCAATGGGTAGTTTCTCTTCATGTTGTACATGTCATGTTACCAATGTCACATTTACTTATTGTATTTTCCATGTAATACAGTTGTAAATCTCAATAAAATAAAATTTAAAAAAAAAACATATAGGTACAATGCTATCATAAATAGAATTGATGTTCTCACAATATGAGCTTCCCTGATTTCTTGTCCTCCTTTATGGAGAAACTTATTATCAAGCCATTCCACCATCGTTATTGAGAACGTCCGTTATGTGAAAGATCTTAATACTATTAAACTGTTTAAAATTTTATGGAGTTTATAAAGTAGTATCCGCTAAGAGAAGTTTGACTGTATATTATGGCCTTTTTCCCACTGAATAATTAAGACAGATCGATCTGTGATTGATAAAAAAGAGCTTTTTATTGGCTAGCGAGAATATAGAGAATATTGAAGGGTTTTGCAAAAGCAATATCAAATTTTACGAAAGTTCTGAGCATCAGTAATTGGGACTGTGAGGAGTGGAGTAAAGTCAAGTAAAGTAATAATATCCATCTACAAATAAAAACTCATGCAAGTATTCAATTGAAAATGAACTCTTACCAAACCACCACCGCAAGTAGAAACAGCTGTCGATGAATCGTCATAGTTCCTCACTTTCCCTCTGAAGAAGCATTGCGTGAAGGACGGCTGTTCCAACTTGACGTTCGCCAAAGGTTCGTTATCAGACGTACTATTAGTCCTGTGCTCCAATACAGCTCCTGAAAGTACGTTATTATTATTATAAGATTTCTTTTTTTTTTTTTAATTCTCATTCAGCAATTAATGATGACTAGTAGGCCCGTGCGAAAAATTCGCACAGCATATTGTTATCAAATGCCAAATTAATAAGAAAATAAAATAATGCAACTTATCAAAAGATAAAGAAATCAATTGTTCCTTTATCGATAAACATAATCGACAAAGAAAAAAATTTAATTTAAATCTTCATCTTTGTTTGAAACCAACATGTTTACAAATTTCAGTAAGCTGTATCTTTGATAAAAATTGTCCGATTTCGATGATTTTTTTTTTTTTTCATTTTGTAGGGAATAATTTTTTAGTTATTTGCAAATAAAGTTTGTTTTGTTTCATAACTTGTTTGACTGAATTTTCGGGGTGATTGGACTATTTTGCCCGCCGCAGAAGGAACCCTTCGAAATTGGTGGCTCAATTTTGAGATTTGGTGAAAAATTAACGATGATATGGCTTGCCGATCAAAAATACCATCGATAAATAATATAAACTTCTCCTCTCTCGATCATAGAGACCTCAAGTCGACGAAATGAGACATGTATTCAATGACAGTACTACAATTAATGTAAGGTTGTGTGGATGCGAACCCTATGCCTTGCGTTATCTCGAAAATAGTACGTTTTTGGGCTTATAACGTAGGATGATGGCCATTAAAGGGTAAGTACTTTACGTTTTCTAGATTTATCTCTTTAGAGATGAAAGGCTGGTAAGCCAGGCACCCAACAAATAAAAATTCCTAAGGAAAATTATATTTATTAAAAATTATTTTATTATCTTTTTATTTATCCTTTTTTTGTTGGTCATACCCGTTACTAGTTACTTAAAGAGATGGTCTTCCCTAGAGCCCCTTAATTTACCTGCTCTCTACCCTGACCCTGTCCTTCGTTGTTTTTTGTGTCAGTATATTCCAATTTTGTTTTCGACATCTTATAATTTTTAAAAACTTATTTACTATGTTCAATACATAGCAGGTCATATTGTTGTCTTTTCGGTTGACTATTCGGGTCTTGCCGTTCGCATCAAAATCTTCAAGATCCAATTTGTCCCGTATCGATCTACAGACCTACCACCGTTCCAGTATTGAAGACTAGGAAAATGTTTGTATCGACTTTATTTATTTTAGAAAGAAAAAACAAAAGTGGAGAGTACGATTCCCCCCTCCCCGTGAAATTCTGAATCCAACGGTACCCCATTCATGGTACTTGAGCTTATATTTGGTACAAAACCAATTTTGAGCCTTACTGTAAAAATATATATGTGGGGATGGGGATAATAGATTTCTGTATTCTGTAACAAAAAAATATCTCTTAAAATAATTTACAATAAAATGGAAGAAAAGTCCACCCAGTAAATTGAAATATATAAAGAAATAAACAATAGGCAACATCCACCCGCAGTAGATGTCGTCAGTAAGTAGCTATTGGCTTAATTTAGAACATAACCAAATAACACATCTACTCTTCATAATAAGAGAATGTTCTCCAAACTGCCGAAAAGACACAATATGACCTGCTATGTATTGAACATAGTAAATAAGTTTTTAAAAATTATAAGATGTCGAAAACAAAATTGGAATATACTGACACAAAAAACAACGAAGGACAGGGTCAGGGTGGAGAGCAGGTAAATTAAGGGGCTCTAGGGAAGACCGTTTCTTAAAGTAACTAGTAACGGGTATGACCAACAAAAAAAAAAAAAAAAGGATAAATAAAAAGATAATAAAATAATTTTTAATAAATATAATTTTCCATAGGAATTTTTATTTGTTAGGCGCCTGGCTTACCAGCCTTTTGTCTCTAAAGAGATAAATCTAGAAGATTTATAAGATTAAAATAGATAAGGTACTTACTCATTATTTGACCATCATTAAATATTTACTCTACCATGCTAGGTGAGAAAGGGTTAGGTTGGATATTTTTATAAAGCAGCTAAAAGGTTGACAGATCAATTTACAGAAAGAAATATTTACAGAATTAATACTATATACAATAAAAAGAAATAAAATACAAGGGAAAAGAGAGAATTTAAACATAATTACTATATACAATTTTTTATTTATTTATTAGACATATAATATTCTGTCACAGGGACAATAATTATATTGATAAATGAACACATTCACACCTTATATACAAAAAAGAAATAAAATTAACAAAAGTAAAATAATAACTAAATAATAATAAATAAAAACTATATACAATAAAAAAATAAATAAAATAACCTAAATATAAGTAAACTAAAAACATAAAAATACAGTCATACCTATATACAATATATACAATCAGGCGGGGAACCCAAATCCCTGCGCTACTCTCTCAACCGACACACCGGTGCTAAAGCCGGTGGAGTTTGAGCGAGAACGCTTTAGCCATGTATACAATTAAAGATAAATATTGATATTTAATATAATAAAAATAACAAAAAAGATACTTATTCTATATACAATAGTATGGCATGCCACATTTAAACATCAAGAAAAGATAGTCAAGATACAAGAGATATAAGATGTAAGATCACATGCACATGCTAAAATATAAATTAGTAAGCAGACACAGAAAAGAAAATAGAGAAGAGTTATGACAAAGCACATTTGTTTCCAGTGCTTTCTTAATCTTGGTTAAACGGGTTTAGTAACTGGTTCCTTTTAGGGTGTTACCAGTTATTGTGAAGTTATAGGATGCAGTTAAGAACCAATGAAAGCCATCCTTGCTCCACCCTGAATATTTGTATAAAATCTACCGAGAAGTAAGAAAAGGGGACTTATGGGTGGTTTCCGACCTTGGGAACGGAAATGGCAGCTACCTACCTACACAGATGGGCCTCCTGGCAGAGTTTGGACCAAGGCTTGACGAGATGATCTCAACTTCGCAGATGCAGCGATGAAATCTACTAACTACACCACTTCACATACTATAATAGCTAAGTGATAATTCCCAATCCTAATGTAATAATATTTCATGGCAATAATTCTCAAAGCAGTCCATCTGTAATCATACCTGCACAGTCATTATTAAATCTAATTTATTGTATATAGTATTTGAACATTAAGATTTCTATGTTATTTGTATATTATTCTTTATTAAACATAGAATTAAATTAAATTTTTTAGTAAAAGATATTTTAATTCTGCCACCTATTTACATGACGATAATCACAGGTAATGTTGGTAATTAGAAAGCATGATAAACACAAACCAGCCTTTGAGAAAAGAATTTCAATTAATTAATCATGGACCAAATATATTATAGATCCAACTTTGTTTAGCTAATCTTTTATTATTAATTTTTATTAAATATTTCTGAGTAATTATTATCAATAAATATCCAGTGGCATCCCGAGTAAATTTCAGACCCCAAAACGTAGTAGACTATTAGGGTCAAATAACCTCAATGTCTCCAATGCCCATGTTTCTTTGATATATTGTTTGTAATAATTAAAGACGTTACAATTTTTTTTTTATCTTGAGTAGTTTATTAAATATAGATTATTAAAACTAATGGGAACTGACAAATTTCAGCATGTTTTTGATCACAAAAATAGCCAAACTTGAAAACCTTCAGTGTTGGTAACATGTCCTGATAATGACGTACACATGCTTGGGTAGAAATATTGGCAATAAAAATATTAAAAAACTGAATGCGTCCTGACTATTTATCACCCATTTGATTAACTTTCTTCAAAGATGCTGATAGAGTTACAATCGAGTGAGTGTATAATGGATCGTGACGTTCATGAGATTTAATTTTCTTTTCTATTACGTATAGACCACAAAACTGATTAATTTGGTTAATGATTATAGTCATTTTTGATGTTTGTTCTCTTATGAGCTATAATTTGTTGAAACAATATGACATCGAAGGTTTTTGAAGTGAAAACTTCATTAGGGGCGTTTTGCACTATTTTAGTGGATAGTGAATTAGATCGACCCGTCAGATCTCTGATGTGTAACGCTCGGGTAACGTCGGCTGGGTTCGATTAATTGAAGAGTTTTTGCATATGGATAAAAATATCTTAAAAACTAAAAATCAGATCTGCATATTGTTAGTGAGGGAAATGTTCATCATTTCATCCTTTTTGTAATGAGCTATTATTCAAAATTGTATCATAACGCGACGCCGTGTTAGAGAGACGAAAAGGAAAAACATAGTGTCGAAAACCAAACAAATGATAACGAGTTTTATAGAAAATATGAATTAAAACTTCAGACCTGCTTACTGAAAGCAAGGGAGATGTTCAGCATTTCATCCTGTTTATAATGAGCTATTATTTCTAATTTATATTTCATATTATTAATCTCGTCTTGTTGATGTTTTCACTTCTCGTGTGTTCTAAAGCACACAACTTAGTTTTTTTTGTTTTTGTTTTTTTGTGTCCTTCCCTTCCTCGCCGTTAAGGCTATACGGGGTTTTCCCTGGCCAGAGGGTGTGGTCGGAGATTTAAAAGACGCCTTGGCACCGGTACGCGAACTTATGACTATTTTTATAACATTTGTCATATACAAATTCACAACGCGTTAGCACATTCGGGCACCCCACCCACTCACACAACTTAGTTTATTTTTATCGCATTATATTCTAAGGCAATAATCAAAGTTGCCGGGGTACCCATCCTCCACTCCCCCAAGGTCGATGGCGCATGATCTCTTGTCTCCTCTCCCAAGAAATGTTATTACTCTACTCTTCTTAAAAATAATGCAAGCGAAAATAGAATTAGAAAAATCTTAAGTTATATACCATTACACATGGTATGGTCCATGTTTTTCTCCTAGTTCCCTGATTTGATACTTCCCGCTCCGAAAGTTCATAACCCCGTCGAAATATATCGCTCCCTCAAATATTCAAAAACACGTCAAAATGTGACCCCCTCAAAAATTTTGAAGACGCAACTTGCGAAATAAAGTAGATTTTCAACTCAGGAAATTGTTCTAAACGATTTAACTGAAATTTTATGCCTATAGAAAATATATGTAAAAATGTACATAAAGGGCCGTTTAAAAAAGTTGTTCATTCACAACCACATCTCTTAGCTAAACTATCTACTACCTATATGGCACGTGGTAGATTTTTTACCTGGTGACAGTATGTGTAAGTTGGGCTCCAAATCAATCCATTCGTCATTCCCTCCGAGATTGAGCCGGTAATGAACGGTAGATTGGATTGGATCGTCGTCATCTCCCCATCTTCGGTGTCTTCTGCTGGACTGGTCGGGGCCAGATACTTTGACAGGGTAGACTATCTTGTAATTGTTCAAGTTCTTTGTATATTTACCTTTAAATGGATAAGATAAAAGTTGAAGGTTAATTATTATTTAATGAGAATGTCGGCTGAAGTTGACTAATTGAAATGTTTTCGCATATGGATTAAAATGTCTCAAAAACTAAAAAATCGGACCTGCTTATTGTTAGGGAGAGAAATGTTCATTATTTCATTAGTTCATTATTTCTGTATCCGACAACTTCTTCTTATTTTATATCTACTTATATTTATTTTTTATTTTCAACATGTTTTGTATCTTTGTAGCCCTGAAGACGACCTGCAAAGTGGGTCGAAACGTCGGCAAAAATTAAAATAATCAATATATTTTAATTTAGTATTTATTTGACCGCACCCCCCGATTAACTCCTTCTCATATTATATCAATGGTCAACCATCTTTACATAATTATTATTTAAATTTAATTTCCCCAAAAATATCCTTATATCTCTTAACCTTCAGATAAGTCCAAATTTAATCAGCTAACAACGGAATAACGAGAAGAAATCAGACGATTTAAAAATGAAAATTTTAATATCCTCCTAAATAGCTTGGATAATAACAATATGTCTATTTGGTGAATGGCAATACGCTTGTTGAATCATCAAGAGACATCGCATCCAATTCGATATCCTGATGGCTCTGGGCAAAGTCAGACGCTCAGAAAGCTGAATTATTCGCATGCCACTTAGAAAATATATTTCACCTCACAGTGATTTGCAAGATTCGCTTAGTACAAAATTGCTAGAACATCAATTAGATGTTTCTTTAGAAATGATCCTCTCCCCTCCCCCCCCCCCGCCTAAACCTTTTCATCCAAATTAAATTAGCAGTATTATAAATAGCTTACCTAATCGAAAATCTCCAGGGTTCGATCTCATAATTAATTATATTCTAAAGAATTTACCAAAAAAGACCATTCTTATTCATTAACAAACATATTCAATTCGATTCTTAGAACGACACATTTTACGATTTTATGGAAATATTCAATCATAACTATGATTCACAAACCCAATAAGCCTATAGAGCGTCTTGATTCTTACCGCCCAATTAGTCGTCTACCTTCTCTATCTAAAGTATTCAAAAAAATTCTGTTTCGGCGTTTAAATTCACTTAGACTATTTGATGTCATTCCAAATATCCAGTACTGGTTCAAACAGCATCATTCGAATATTCAGCATGTTACCGCCTTGTAGATCACATATATTTCTCCCTAGAATCAAAATTGTACTGTCCTAGCGTTTTTCTTGACATGAGTCAAGCTTTTGATAGAATATGGTACGAATTTGTTACATAAATTAAAAACGATTATTTCTGCAACGTATTACTTAATCTTACTATCATATCTAAATGATAGATTGTTCCGTGTGAAAATGGGGACTGAGTTTTCTGCCATCAAATTAATAAAAGCTAGAGTACCTCAAGGCAGTGTCTTAGGTCTAACACTTTTCAATATTTACTGTTCAGACAACCCACAACATTCTGAAACACTGTTGGCTACATTTGCTGACGACTCGGCAATATTAACATCTAACAAGGATGCAGCTAAGGCTTCTCAGATACACGAGAACACCTAGACGACATAGCTTGTTGGGCTAAAAGATGGGGGATAAAAATAAACGAGTCTAAGAGCCAATTAGTTTCATTTACACTTAGACATGACTCTTGTCCTCCAGTGTTATTTAATAATATCGCTCTACCACCTTCAAAAATTGTACGATATTTGGGTCTCCACTTGGACAAACGACTGACACGGACATACCACATAAAACAAAAAAGAAAAGAACTTAATCAGCGATACGAACTTCTTTCTAGGCAACTTGACAGACGTTCTAAATTATCTGTAACTAATAAATTAACTATTTACAAAGTCCTCAAAGTGTTATTATGTGTTAATCTACTACTGTTTTTTTTTCTTTTTGTTTTGTTATTATTATTCTTTTTTTTTTATGCTATCATTTATTCTCCTTGATATCATATTTGCTGAATACCGAGGTAGATGGCAGATTTATTGTGAGCCAGGAGTATTTGTAACTAATAAATAAATATCTCTTATCCATTGGAACAAAGACGTAACAGCAAATATTACAACTTAATAGGAGAGGAAAAATTATTATTATATAAATCAAATATTTTTTTTAAATTGTCCGGGACAGTCACGAATCGAGGAAAATATAAATAATACATTATATTCTTCTACAATAATAATTATAATCATATTCCACTTTCTGATTCATACTTTTTCATATTTCTTTAGACCTTTATTTACAACAACACAAATTGACTTTTCTGACCTCAGTTCCAGTTGTTCCTGTTGAAAACATGATAAGCTACCTAAGATACTAGAAATTTATCGGGCATGCTTTGATAGAAGTACAAAGATATGACCGCGAAATTTAGATAATAGGTTACTAGCCAATTTAGAAGGATGTAAGGGGAGGAGGCGCCTAGTAAGATTTCGTTACGAGATGGCCTTGAGGCAAAATGATCAAGTTAAAGTATCTTTAAATTGATCAAATCTAAGAATGGTTTGATTATTATCATAGCATTGTATAAACATTGTAATACGTTTTAAATAAATGAAATTTCCATGAAGAATACGTTATATTACATTGAGAGTTAACTATAATAAAATTAGAGTTATTTAAAAAGCACGTATTGTAGTAAACTTTCGATGCCAAATAAATAGGTCAAGTACCCATTTGGGATTTGTTTATTTCTTTTACGGAGATAACGATCGGAAGTGTAGCGCTGTTATTTAGGTAAATATTTAGCAATATATAGACATCATAAGCAGCTTATAGATGTTTGAAATCGACGAATAAAGTTGAAAAATTCATTAACTTTAGACAAAAGCATTATGAAATAATATTATAAGGCATATAATGTAGTGCGTTGGAATGCCTATCCTACACCTGCAAGATACGTAAATAAGGTTGAGGAATTGGAAACAAGATAAATAGATCACTGTAAAATAAATCATTTTGAAAGTACATAATTAAATTTTTATGATGAGAAAGGGTGTTCCAACTATTCAATGAGAATATAGGCTTCCGCGCAAAGCTCATTCAACTTGGAAAGAATATCGATCTTCTATGCTTCAGTTACGGAGTACCAAATATCATTGAGCATTCTGTCATAGCTGGTACTTTCTACGAGGCACTGAGGTCCACACTACTGAGGGAAACAAGTCTCTACGTTTTGACAGAGAGCGATTTCTCACAGCTAATGAGTAAGGAAAATTACTCACACTTCAAGGACTTCTATGCGGGTGGAAAACTATAATATAGCTAATCTACTTTTCCTTTGAAAGAATAGATGGTTCTGCACCAGGAAGACCATCGGACACAGGAGGGACACAAGAAGGTAATGGCCGAATATATACCGAAAGATGAGAAGATGAGAGAAGGCTTAGTGCACATCTTAAGAAAAATTGTAATAGTGTGTTTTTATGCAGGTATGCATTACATCCCACTGCTGCCAGTATCCATTACGGCAGGACTGGAGATAAATAAATAAAATTTGACGAAGATAGAAGTCTACAAGCAAATAACCCCGTGAGGATCGATGAGGATCACAGGAATTGAAAAAAAATACCATAAGGGAGAATACTATAGAATAGAATCGGCGGTGGGAGACCTCATGGAAGTATTTTCACACCAATAAGTCTAGAAGCAAAATAAGTTTTCCCAGATTACTGGGTCTCACAATTCATCGCAAAGTATGGGGGATTTCGTGCTAAGCCTCAGATATATGACCATGACATCGATTCCTTATACTTTAGTTTCAGCATGTTATCGACCGCATATTGTCATTACCTGCACCGTTTCAGAGACTTTAATGTTCTCTATAAAAGGACGTTTCAGCAGTTAGTAACGGGATAACTAATAACAGATGACACTACTAGGTCATGGCGTAAAGATCGAAAACAGCTCTTGGCAGAGCCCACTTCAATCTGTTGAAAAGAGGACCTGCTCCTGAAAAGCCTCCGGAAAACGAAAGCGACGTTGGCGATGAAAGACGAAGAAGTAATAATTAAGTGGACAACGTTCAATCTTACGCCTGGTCCACACTATTAGACACGTTTTATCTCTGAGACATGTCTCAGTTTGTCTGCGTGGCAATGTCTATAGACCGATCCCCGTCTACAGGTCTGTTGGGAGACAAAAAATCGCAAGTCTAAACTCTCCCGATCGAAATGGGAGACATTATGAAATGTTAGACATGTTGCACAACATTTTAACAGCCTCTCGGCGTCTAGAGGCTAGACACGTCCCAGTCTAACTCCAGCTAATGATTGATTGGTTCGGCTGTGTAAAGTTATTTTCTACAGTTTGAAAGCTTGCAGTCTTACGAGAAAGTTTTGAAACTAATCGAAGAATACCGGAACGTCTTCCATTCTTAATTTATTTAATAATGCATTAACGAACCCAGATCCTTTTACGAGCCCATCCACCAATGTTTACCTTTTTCACTTGTAATTAGCACCAAGTAGGAACTCATTTCACACAAAGCTATGTCCTCCATGGTGGGCTGCGGAGATGAGACTGAGAAATTCACATCGTAGTGTGGACGCTAGACCATACAAAGAACGGTGTCTCTAGACAGTCCATGGATGAATCACTCAACAATGTCTACTAGGCTTTAGGTTTACAACCAGAGATGTCTTTTGCATTTTGTGTTAGTTGCCTATCGCGTTAACCGAAATGCGTGGAAGGGTGAAGTAAATAAAAATAAACAACGCATTTTCATTTAATTCCATTTTTTTAAATAAAATTTATCATACAATGTTGTAAAAATTAACTATCAATAACTACAGTCTTAAGTGATTTTTGCACCTTACCTTCGATAGAAAACGATTCCTTGAAGCACACAACAGATAACACACATACAATTTGTACCGGGAATGGATATAACTGAAAATATGTCATGAGGTTTGTTTTCTATATTAATTCATCACAAATAATTGATCGAAAAAAATAATAAAAAAAGGATTGTTGTTGATAACCTACCATATATATGAGGTTACGAAATCAGAACATATGTATCTTGCTTTATTGTTTGCCTTTCTCCATTATCAATTATCGAATTATTTTTGGTTTATGTTTAGGCTTTTAAAAATACTTGAGGTTACAAACAACTCTATTCCTTCATTATAATGTTTATAAATAATATAATGTTTATAAAAAAAACAAAAAAAACAGCAGTTTAACTAAAAGATAGCATTTCATAGGAAATTAGTCCGTAGGAAGTGGTTTATAGTAACAAAAATCGGGAAATTATTACAAATAGTAGAAAAAAAATTAACATTTCATTTTCCTTATAACTATGAAGGTAGGTACGGATGGGATTATATATATATTTTTTATTAAAGAAAATTACAACTGTAATTAATAATAAATACAACAAGTAAATATGAACATGACATGTTCAACGTGACTAGAAACTACCCATTGGTAGCACTCCAATTATATTTCTATATTAGAAGGTCCCGAGGCCATCTTCTTTTCAGACGCCTCGGGGGGTTATCAGAAGAGAAAGCAGGGTTGGAAATGAGAGGGTTCGGATGGTTCAGAAGTTTATTATCAAAGGACAGGTATCTGGATTGAGCTAAATCGAAAACATATGGTACATTAAGGTCATTATGGATGATTTTATTTGTGACAAAGTAGAGAGCATTAAGGATTTTACGAAGGATTTTGGATTGTAGGGATTGGATACGAGAGGAATTTGATGGTTTAGTAGAGCTCCAAAGCTCGATGGAATTATAATTAAGTTAAATTTTCGGTATCAGATTTTTAATAGATCTTAGGCCACTAAGCCTGGCGGATCCAGAATTTAATTTTCAGGGGACTTAAACCATAAAGCTTTTTTTTCCCATATATTTAACGATAATTACTTTGGAAAAAAATAAATAAACCAACTATCTATGTGAAATAGTCTTTAAGTGATTCTTAAAGTCCTTTTTTTTTATTTTTTTTTTTTATTTCTTTATTGAGTATTATAACAATCTGTCTCTTGGACATTGGTTATAGTGAGGTAGGATGACATTTACACTATATGTACAAAAAAAAAAAAAATAAATAGAACAAAATAATAATCAAAAGTATATACAATAGATAATAAAATAAAATAACCTAAAAAATAAGAAAATTAAAACTAAGAAAAAAAAAACACATGCATACATATATACAATCAGGCGAGGGAACTCCAGGAGAACCCTGCGCTACTCTCCCAACCGCGTCACTGGTACGAAAGTCAGCAGAGATTGGTCGAGAGCATTTCAGCCACATACACTCATGTCTTGAGTGAAGAATCTGGCCATTGCCAGAACTCCAAAAAAGTCCTATTAAATGTAATTACACGAACAGTAATACATTGAGAGATAATTTGTTTATATTATTTCTATAAAGCATGGTTATATTTTACCATTTGGAGGAGGGGTGGGGATTCAGCCCGAAAGTCCTCCCCGTAGATCCGCCTGTGCTTTAGGTTGACTGTCCACCGAAAGCGAAGCAACACGGGATCGGCAACCGATTGCGTAGTAGAACCCAACTCAGACAGCAACTTATCTTGCATCCGTATCCTTCTTATATTCCGCATAACATTTTTAAATGCAATGGATGTGGAAGAATTCTTAATCGAATGTGCAAGGGGAAATACCAAGGTCGATGGTGTATGATCATCTCCCCTCTACCTAAGATATTTCATTTCTATTCTTTACTTAAAAACAGCGCAAGATAAAGTAAAATCTTAAAAATCGTAGATCATATGCAATTGCACTTTCTGTGGTTTGTACTATGCTTTTCTCTTGTTCCCTGGTTCAAAACTTTTCAATACGTAAATTCATAACCCCATCAATATGTGTCCCCCTCAAGGCGCAACCTGGGTCAAAAGATCCCCTTGTGAGCACCATGTTAAAAAGTAACGAATGTGTGAGCCTGTTTAACGTTGAACATTCGTGCACGTTACTTTAACATGGTACCGATGACATAAAATTTTTAAAAAATAGCAAAGATGATCATGTCGGAGTTAAAAAGAAAAATCGAATATTTCCCCTTATACATTCGATTAAGAATTCTTCCACATCCATTGCATATTTTACACTGAACCAAAATAAAATAATTTGGGAGGTTGTGCAGTGAAAAAACTCCGAAAGAAAGCCACACGGCTGTAAGACAGTGGTGAGTGAAGCTTTAAAACCGTATCTTGGTCCACCCAAGTTTGAGGAGAGTTGCTCCTTGGGACTCCTCTCAACATCTGGTGGTTGCCCTTTCATTAAAAACCTTTGATTTTTGGAAGCTGACTCAGCTACGCTTTCGGTAGCCGGTCAGCCTTAGGTTTCAAAACTCTTTAAGCAGGGGTAATCTGAAGACGTCATGAGGTTGTGACATAAAACACTTTGAAGGGGGCATATGTTTATGAGGATATGAATTTTTTAAGGAGCTTGTCACTACGAAATTACGATTTTTTGATGGAATGTTATGTTTTGATAATTTCAATTTGGGAGAGGCGGGGTGGCCGAATGGGCTAACGCGTGTTCACAGTACCGCGAGAGTACCCCAGCAATCAGATAATCGAAGTTATGAGATTAAAAATAGTAGAAGTTCGCGTCCCAGTACCGTAGGGGATTTTAAATTCTCCGCCCTCACCCTCTGGCTCGGGAAAATCCCGTACAGCTTAAAAGGCGAGATAGGGAAGATAAAAAAAAAGTTTCAATTTGGGAAATTTCGAACCAGGAGAAAAGGAAACCCATAGAACAAGATCACAGAAAGTGTAATTACATAAATTTACATTACATGACATACTTTCACTTGCACCGTTTTTAAGAAGAGGAGAGCAATAAAATGTCTTGATAGGGGGTATGTGGCATCATAGTAAGAGTAGTTCTCTGCTGAGGTAAGTAGTCAGCAATCACTTTAAGCTTTGGCAACAATGCCTTAGCAGTTCTGGCTGAAGCCCTCTCCTACCAAAATGGTAAAATATAACTATGTTTTATGGAAAAATATATTTAAAAAATTATCTCTTAAAGTATTATTGTTCCTGTAATTACATTTAAAAGGACTTAAGGAATCACTTAAATACCTTTTCATATAAATAGTTAGTTTCTTTCTTTTTCCCCAAAGTAATTATCATCATTTTTATGAAAAAAATGGTGCCCTATAGTGAGGTTGGACTCATCCAGCAGCAAGTCCAGATTTTACAAGGAAGTATTTTCCTTATACACAATAGCCTGTTCTTCAATCCTCACTTGAAGGTACTCCAGAAACCCTAAAGTTTTCTCTCTTGTAGGCATAATTTGATCAAATGGTGGAGTCTACTGTAATTTTAAATATCTTGTAAAGATGCTTGATTATAAGGCCTAAGGAATGGATGACTTAATGGGCAGTTATAACCAATCTTGAATCTAGTGGCACCAGTTCGAATCTGGCCCAGGCATGTTAATATGAATTCACAGCAGGACTATGAAATGAATATCAACCTTTCTAGTCTGATCATACCTTTATATTATATATTATCAGATCTATTGCCGACAAAAAAGAAATTTTTTAAAAATTAACGTCTTAAAAATATTTAAAAACTTTATATTTAGTCCTTGTCCCTTTCATCCACGAGAAATTTGATTGTTAAAGCATTCTCGTACCTAGTGCCGGTTTGAATTCTGCCTGGGTAGGTTGACTTTCATTTCGTAGCAGACCCACGGAATTAACCTCGACCTTCCCGCTCTGGTGAGAATAGATCAGAAATGGTGGTGGAGTTAATCCAATAAATAAAAAAAAATGAGGTAGAGTACGCCCAAGATGAGCGCCAGTGAGTAGAGAAGCACAGTGACAGTAAGCGTTTTCATATTGATACTCCACTCTTTTGTCTCTCCCTACTCATTCTGTCAGCTTGACTTCAAGTTCAATCTTAAAACTTAGACGGTGAAACGTACTTCTACAAATTTTTTTACAAGTAAAAATTTCTTTAACCATGTCAAGTAAACTGAGTTGAGGAAAAACTATCCACTATCACATCAAAATGTTTCCTTTGGTATGAAATAATAAATTTTTTTATTATTTTATAAAAATATAAAAAATTGATTTTTACAATTCATTTCTTGGTAAATTAAGATCTATAGATCCAGGCCGTAGTAATATAATATGGAGTTCTCTGAACAGTATTTATCTCTAACAGATTCGTTTTTTTCCTGTTGGAAAATAAGAAGAGAAAAGTGGTTAATTCCCTCCAAGACCCACTTTATATTGAAATTTTACGACAAGTTAAATGTTAGAGTAAGTTGATTTAGTGAAGGAATAAGGCTATATCATCATAATTTTTAAACTTTAGTTTTAGTTTAGCAACTACTTTTTACTATATTTATGCTAAATATGAAAGAACTTTACAACTTAAAATTTTATTTTCATTAAGTTTTGGCTGTCAATTCACCTTCAGTTGATTTAAGTAGCACCCCTCTAATAACCGAAATGGAAATTAAATTAAATTTTAAGTGGTGTAGTGCTTTTTAGTCTCGAGAATTCTTAATACACTTACTCGATTATTAAATTTATTGCTCTTACCGTAATGAGTGTGCCTTCAAAGACTTTTAGAAGAGATTCTGGTAGTCAAATCTATTTTACATTAATAGGAGTCAACCACATTACAGGCTATTTAAATAAAAAGTAAAAATTCTTTCTTGTATCAAATCCTATTAAAGCAAACTAATAATTACTTAAATTTCATGATGTGAAACATTAATGAACAAAAAATAATATCCAAATAAGCTATTCCTGTTCTTTTAAGATATCATTACGTTTAATTTTTGATTAACATAAAAAGAAAAAAAGTAAAGTAAAAATAATAATAAATACATCATCATGATTTGTAATGGTTTGTGCAATAAAACATTTTATAAATTTAATATCTAAATTTCTTTTTTTTTTACCAACACACATTTCATAATACATAAATGAAAAATACAATAATATTATCCTTTATAGAATAACTTTATACAACATGTAAAGTAAAAAAACTTTACATAGAACTTTCTTCTAAAATTATTTTTCATTTTTTGGAAATACAGATTTTTTATTTAAAATTAATTTTAAAACCAATAAAACTAAAACAAAAAGCTAAAGACAAACAAATGGGCATATATTGTACATCATATATATATTTATATATGCATATGTATAAGCAGCTGCATTGGCTGCTTAACGCAGTCATATACGACTAACAATTTCCACTTTCTCAGTTATTCAAGTTCATTCTATATTTACAGTTATCAATCACAAACTTTGATTTTCATTTGGTAAATATACATTTAATTTTTTTTTCTTTTATATATAACCATTATTTTGAGGATTTTCTTAAATCATTTTTTATTGAAGAAATTTGTATCAGTTATATTATATTTATACATGTATATACTTATAAAAATACATATTAAGTAGTTTTCGCTCTTAATGGATAAAGATGAATAAAAGGATATATATACACAAAAATTTATCTATCTTTTAACTAAGGACATTTATCATTAAATTATAATATTAAATTAATAAAAAAGAATGAAATAGAATTAATAAAATAAGCTATAATAATTATTAATAATAAAATGTATGGCAAGAGTGAATAATACTAATCAAAACTTACATTAATAACATTTTGAGAAAAAAAATAATAATAAACAAACAGCAAATGTTTTAAAAACAAAACTAATATTGCCTAAATCAATTAATTACACATAATTAAATATAAAATACAATTTTCAGGACTCGTGATTTGGCATCTGGTGAATCTTGGTATCACTTAAAGCTTTTTTTATGTACAAAAGGCAATTCAACGTCATTACACAGACAATGAAATCAAGTTCATCACATTATTACATTTGATTTATTTCATTTTTATCATTATATGATAAGTTACAGTAATTAAAAAGAAAGAAAAAAAATCTACTGTCTTAAAATGGCTATTCACTTCTAAAAGCTCTAAAGCAAATTTCATAAATTATAAATAACTAAAGTTTTCATTTAATTCTAAAATTATACCTGCTTATGATTAGTTAAGAATAAAGGTGTATCTGGACCCAATTTGCATCTTCAAATCATAACGAGGAAAATAAATAATATGAATGGGCAAAATGGATTCAGATCAGCGATATTCAATATAAGAAAAAAAAAATTAATTTAACAAATCTATTAACTATAAAAATTTCACATAAATATTTACAGTCCATTGGTAATACTTATAATCGGGCAGCTAAGAGCGAAACACTTAATTTTTGATTTGTTTTATCGCATAGGTGGGGGGAGGGAAGGGGGGCGGAAGTCAGATATATCTGGAAGCCCAGTCTCTCTCCTGCCTTCAATTAAATCATATACATAATAAACATACATCTCTCATTGCCGATGATCAGAGGTCAGAAAGGAAGACGAGGGAATGTACAATTATGAAGCAGTCTACCACCGGAGTCGACAACAACTCCGTAACGGATCGTAAAAATTATAAATCTCTCTTTTGTCTAATCAAAGGCAATAATATCATCATAAGAGCTATTATCTGACCACTTAATAATGCTTATTTATATTTATATATGTATATGTATACTATTCAATTTTATACATCATATCATAAAACATAATACTTTTATAATAAAATAGCTTAAATGTATTTACAATTATTTCAAGGAGGGAAGAGAGCTATAGAAAATAAAAAGCCTGCCCCCCTAAAATGTTAATAAACACTAACAGTGCACGGTACGCACAATAATCATCACATATATACCAGTGTATTCGCGGTCCCGGCCTCCTCCGTCCGCCTCGCTATCAATAAATATATTTTACAATTATACACACACATACACTCACACGCGCGCACATATATACATATATGTCATGACATCTCGTTATTTAAGGCACCAAAATTGTCAAAATAGAGAGGAATAGGATGTGATTCAAGTCTTTTATAAATTTCATAATTTAATAATATATAAAATTTATAAAAAAAAATATATCACGCTTAGTTTGAAAACAACTGAAAGGAGCCAGAGCTCGGGCGGAAGAGGCGCTGCCGACATACTACAAAGGTAAAAAGCCGACACTTTTAAGCAGTGGGGACCGTATAATAAGCTTCCAAAGATAACAGGTTTTACATATATTTATATATCTTCTGATATTTTAATGTATATAAAACGTACATCACAATGTTTCATATGTTATATACAATTAAGGCTTCATAAAATAGGCAGCCTCTTCTCTATTATTCACCTGAAAATCAAACATTAAAGATTAGAAAAATGTTTAATTATATGTAACGCATTGAGCTATTAAATAATAATAAAGATAAAACAAAATCACTAGGCAGTATACACATGGGTAGTTCGAGAAATGGCATGGATGAAATATTTATAAAAAATGAAAATGAAAAATGTCTTTATTATTAGATCCAAATTAAAAGAACAATACATAGAGGCCAACAGTGCAGATTATACTAAATATAGGTTCGTATTCATTAATACGAATGAAAATTAAGCAAAAATATAGCGTAGACTATATGAAAATTTAAACAGCAATTAAATCTACAAAACTACGAGGAGAATAGCATAAGAAAGTAATCTAGGAAACATCTGAAATACAGGAGAAATGTATGTTGGGTTATTAATGATAGAACAACTAATGGGCATTAGTGAGAATCATATTTAGTCCTATTATAGGTTGAGGGCGGGGTGGCAAAGCGGACTAACGTGTGTTAATTTAGCAAGCTGGGAGGGGAGGAGAGGGAGCTTTTAACTCTTACATTAATCCACCACCCTCACAACCTGAACTAGAAAAAACTTTTCCAAGCCTAAAGGCGAGGAAAATAAAATTTCCATTGTAGACACGTTTAAAGTGCTCAACAGTGCAGTATATAAGCCCAATGATTACTTGTTTTGTAGGATGCTTGTCATACTAAATGATGACAGACATGCTCAACTAGAACCTCTCAAACATCGCATGAACAATGACCCTTGTGCAGACTGCCTAACAATTCTTAAATAATGAGCTACAGTCGAACCACCCGATGGAAATCGATACTTTAATTTAAAGACTTATTTTAACATCACCTCGTTATAAAATATTCAGAAAATGACTTCAATTTGACCCTTCTTTAATACTAATAAAAATTTGAGTAACATGTTTGAGGGGCCAACAAAATTAAACTATAAAGTAATAAATTATTGATTAATTTTCAAATATTTATTTGAAAAATTAAAATAATAAATAAGAGAGGGCTAAAATCGATTATCAGAAGAGATAGGCGCAGTTGACTGCAATGCTTTATAATGACTACTTACTGTTAGGGATCTGTTGATAGTATGTTCAAAATAAAAACTAAAATTTATAGTTTCGTTTTTATGTTGATTATACTATTGAATGATCCCAAACGATAAATAATCATCATATATATAATGGATTATGGGGTCGTTGAATTTCGGCAACACTAACGACCTATAATATCAGATAATAAGTTGCAACTAACAAATTATTATTTTTTTTCAGATGAAGTAAGAGCCAATTGATGAGGAAGACGTGAGGAGTGAGGGCTGTACATTCAATGCTTCCAGGCTGCATATTCTATCAAATAAATAAAAACCTTTAACTTGTATAAAAATTGAAATATTATTATACAAAAAAAAGTTAAAAAAAAATGTAAAAACAAATAGTAAAACCAAAAAAAAAAAAAAGAATATATAAATAATTGTTCCAAAACGCTTTGTTCCTAGTATTCATTCATAGAAGAGAAAATCCATTTTACAGTTAAATTAATATCTTTATTAATTGATTTTTTTTTTGTCATAAATAACTGAATCTAGAAATATTTAAATTTATAAAAATTGAAACCCTTTAAAAACGGAGCATTTAAATTGTTTATTTATTTTATTTTAATTAACATTAATGCAAAGATAAAAACTATTAACAAAAGAGAATGACTAATATGAATATAAGTTTTGAATTTATGATTTGAGAGGGCGATACCAACAGAGGGAAGTTTCCCAAATTCTGATGCAAAGTCAACAGTCCCCCAGGACTAAGATGATACACATATTCTGCCAAAACGCGAGAGCATCAGTGTAATTTGTGTAAAAGTGAGTAAGATCACAGATAAATCCATTGGGCATGTCAAATGATTCAATCAAGAAGCATTTATTGAATTTAGGAATGGTTTAGAATCACGTGATTAATGAGCTTTTATAGTAAATTTGAAGTATTAATTTACCCAGTTCTTAACAATACATTATTATTAACTAGTAAATTTAGAAAATATATAATCGTACATAATTGGTGCCCGAACATCTAACTAAATTAAAAAAATATCAGTAAAAAATAGCGTTACTAACAGGAACTATTTACAAATAAAATTAAAATATAATTATCTTTAACAATAGTTTGGTAAATATATAAACTAACAGAGGCTACTGAGGAGGTATGTGGGGTGGAGGGGGTTGTGTCGCTTGCGTGAATCCGGGAGCAGCGAGGTGTGGGGTCATCAAGTGGCTCAGCTTGGGGCCTTCTTCCGACTTCTCCTCTTCCCGACGCTTCAAGCATGCTGCTTTCGGATTCAGGTTCCGCTCTAGAAAATATAAAAATAAATAATATTAATCTTCACGATTGTAACAAACTAGATGAAATTGATAAAGAGCCCTAATCGCAGGTACTCATCTCATTAATGAATGAAATTAATTAAATTAATTAAAAAGAATGGTTACAACTTAAACTGATCAACAAGCTATGGGCGGTTGGCTAAGCTACTATGAAGGTTAACAAAATAAACTTGCTTACGACGCTGAATTATTTTAGAAAATATTATTATTATCTTATCATAAAGATAATCATGAATAAAAAAGTATTGTCTAGATTAACAGTCAAGAATTTTCATTAGGTTAGAATCAACTTTTCGACTTCAACGTTCCCAGTTCTTGTCTCGACTTCCAAAAGATAGCCCTGAGGATGACCCATATAATTGGGTCAAAACATCGGTTATCTAATAAAAATTCTTTACTGTAAATTCTGACAATTATTTCGTTTCATCCTGTATATACTTTACTTTTTTTTTTAAATTTAATTAAATGAAGGAGTGAAAAGCTGTTGTAGAAAAAAAAAAATACAATCCAATTTTTACCTCTAACTTGCTGTTCTAAAGACATGATGACTTCAACTGCCATGTTGAGAATTCCAAGTTTGGTCTGCGGCTTGTCAGTTTTCAGATGCGCCATGCACATTCTACCAAGCTCTTTCAGTGCTTCATTAATATCTCGTATCCTAATCCTGTTAAAGAAAATATATCGTCAGATTATTTTATAAATTCATCTCAACTAAATATATTAAAAGAATAATTATATTTTTAAAGGAGTGAAAAACTAAATTGACCATATGCTCGTACACAAGAGACATCGGAGTTCAATACAAGATGTAAGAAGCTATCGTGGAGCAGACTGTAATTCGGATCACTCTCTGATTAGAATTGAACTATATCAGAGATTGAGTGCAAAGAAGGAGGTATGAAGTCCGTAATTTGAAAAAACCTGAAGTAAAAACCAAATTCTAACTTGAGCTGAAAAATAATTGTGGACCAACACTGAGAGGAAATAGAGAAACAGCTAAGGAAGTGATCGGTATTCAGGAGAAACAAAAAGCCAAGATATGGTTCACAGAAGCATGCAAAAAGGCAGTAGAGGAAAGAAGAAAAATTAAAGTCAAGAAAAAGGCAAACAAAACTATAAGATTGGCAAAAAGAGAATTCCTCAAAGAATAATTGCAAACCATTGAGGAGTTGGTAGGCTGGAGATAAACGTGAATTCTACCCAGACATTAGGAAAGAAAGGGTAGGCTATAAAGTGAGAAATACGCAAATACGAAGAAAATATGACTTTCTGAGGGCATCTGAAGAAAGTATATTGAACATCTGAAAAAAACATTTCCAGAAACTTCTCAATCCCTACACTGAACACCCTTTGAGAGGTTGAAAGACCCAGAAGAGGGTGAAAAAACAGATATACTGGATATAGAAATAGCTATCGAAAGGCTCCAGGGATAGACAAACTACCATCAGAACTGTTGAAAGATGGAGGAGACGACCGACTTAAGAGTCAAGCTACTTCAACTAATCCAGAAAGTATAGAAAAAGGAAAGGATACCTAGGGCTTAGAATAAGGGTCTAATCCGTTCTATCCTAAAGAAAGGCTCCATGTATGAGTGTAGCAATTAGAGAGGCATAGCAATCCTTCTGGTTGCCTACAAGATAATGACCAATATCCTACTAAACCAGATATATCCGTATTACGAGAATATAATAGGCGATCACCAAGCTGGATTCAGAAAAGAGAGGAGCATGCTAGACCAGATCTTCATCCTAAAAATTTTGGGAATGATTTATGTTTTTTTTATTGAATGTTTCACTATTATTCAAGTATAACGAAAAAATAGTGTGACGTCCTATAAAAACCTAAGAAGTAGTAAGGATTAAAATTATCTATCCTAAATTTTTGTTTTCAAGTTATCATACATTACTAATTTTTTTTAATTGTTTTTGAACCATGGCCATCTCCTCTGAGCTGAGGTAATTTTGTCACCAATAATTTTGGTAACATAATCTCAATGAATGACCTATGGGCAGAAATAGACCAGCGTATAACTAGCACAAACAAAACTTTCTTCTCCCTAACAAAGGTATTGAAATCCCGAAAAATCTCAAATTAAGTGTGTAAAATGGTATGATAATGCCAGTTCTAATATATGACTGTGAGACCTGGACACTAACCAGCACCCTAGAAAAAAGTGTTGAAAGATTTGAAAAGAAAATCCTCCGCACGATAACTGGAGATTTCAAGGATCAGAGTACTAACACATGGAGAAGAAAGACCAATAAAGAAGTGCTCACACAAACTGGTCAATCAATATCCCATGATATGAAGGCACACGGGTTAAGATAGGCAGAGCATGTACCTTGTAGCAATCCATCTGGAAATCTCTACGTAACAATGAATGCCTCAATAGAAGGCAAAAGACCACATGGAAGGTCAAAAAACAGATGGATAGATAGAATCAACAAAGATGCAATAGAGCTGCACGCAGATAACTGGAAAGAAATAGCCCAAGACAGGCAGAAATGGAGCAGGCTTGTTAAGGCGGCAAAAGATCTACATGGTCTGTAATGGCAACAGGAATTTTTTTTTTAAATTTTCTAATAACTGAGGACCAAATTAAACAAAATCAAACAAATCATTTATATTAATGCTTAATGCATTGTTTTGTAACTGCCAAAGGCTAAGTATGGGAGTGAGAGATTAAAATTTTTTTTTCCACAGAATCAAAAATTTACACTTACATTTTAGACATCAAGGAAAAATGTTGGTTCGATTTGATGAAATTTTCAATGATTGTGAATGTTGATACTTATAGGGTCCAACAAGGATTTTATCTAATTCAATTTGCTTCTTTCTCTTAGACATGCATTTTTCATTGACAAGATTATGCTTAAAAATGGCCTCTCCTGAAGCTTTTATTCTAGCTTTGAATCTTGTTTCCATGGTGACAGAAAAATTGCTGATAGTCGGAAAAATGGTGGATATAATATAATATATTATAACCGGTCTTGGAATTATATGCCTCAAATATTAGTCAACAATTTATAATATAGTATTAAATACACATAAATATTTTTGAAAAATGAAATAATCAGAGTTACCTTATTTATTATATATTACTTTAACTTATAATATAAAAAGCAAGTTGGAAGCAAGTTATATACACAAAGCCGTAGGTTAGGTATTGGGAGTGAGGATTTACACACACACATATATAAACAATTGTACTAACACAATTATGCGAATTTGACAGAAAACTATGAACTATGAATAAAAAAATCAAGTGCTCAAACCTTTGAATCTCAATTAATAAAAAAAAATTTAATTACTTAAAATTTAAAACTTTTAATACAAAAAATACTTGTTTTTTTTTTTGTAAGGTTTGCAATTGCAATTATCACAAAAATAGAAAGAAAAAAAAAATTGATAAATATAACCAAAAAAAAAAAGAAATAGACCCAGAAAATGAATGATGTTATGGGGCGTGATATTATTTTATGACTTGATTTAAATTTATTTGTGACAATAAAAAAACTAAGGGAGTATGAAAAGTAAAAAATATATAATATATAGAGAGAAAACAAGATGTTAAGATAATCTTACTCGGAAAAATTAAATTACATGCGATAAAAGCAAAAATAGAATACATATCTGCACACATATTCATAAAACAGATGAACCACTGAGAAATATGTAGTATAGAGTGTTAGCAGTTATTATTGAATATTATAATTGTTTGTTATTAATCATTCACTGCTTGCATCTGCTTCTGCCAATGACTTGGACTCCCGGAGCCAATAAACATCTTTAATTATCATATCTGGTAAACATTTTATACGTATCATACAAAAAAACTATAGATGAAATTAGTTTCTTGATAATATAACGATACAGCACAGTGACATAACTAGGATTTATATTAAGGGAATCAGGCATTTAACTTATTTTGTCAGAGCAATGTTGTAACATATGAAAGATTACGTATTAACTGTTTAATGAAGAGTTTCATCAACTACTTCTTCGATCTAATTATTATTTGTTCTCTATTTTCAGCAATAATTATACTAATAGCCTTTCTGATTAATATGTTACAATTATGAATTAAAATTTAATGCTAATTTGACTTTTTTTCAGCAGTTATAGACAAAAAATATTTTTTTAAATACAAATTTATACAATCAAAATCATAGCTTTTTATTTTTTCCTTGTCATCATGGTTTGAAACAGATGTATCTGTTTTTTTTTTACTTTCCTACCTATACTAGGTAATTCTTCTTTTTTTATTTTGTAGGATTTGGACTACTGATGCCTGTGACAGAAATTCGTTGCTCCATGCGCAATAGCTTGCGCGCAATAAATGAAAAGAATGTTTTTCTATAGACTGTAGCGCGAAAACGTCTCTAACGATTTTGATGAAACTTTTCTATGATGTTCTAATCATTGTCTTTTCAATTTTCGTATATAGACTAAATTCCCGAAAAAATTCAGGAAAAAAAGTTATAAAGAAAAATGTTATGGGGCCTAACTCCCTAAGTATATATTATACGGTGAAATTTATAATAAAACTTTTGAAAGGTAATCAAATTACCAACAAAAAAAAAAAAAAAATCATCGGAATTGAACCAGTATAAGCGATGATATAGCTTATTATATTTTTTACACATTTTTTAACTTATTACTTTCCTACCTATACTAGGTAAGGAAAGTATTGCAATCGGGTCAAATTTCTCCCCAACATTTCTGACATGTGGTTTTTGACGGATCTATACGTTTCAGAGCACTCTGAGTACGAAAAACAGGCCGTTCAGCCTGTCTTTTGAAAGGTAATGAAATTCCCTACAAAGCCATATAAAAATCGTTCATTCTGGACAACTATTAACGAAGTTACAGCTATTCAATTTATAATGTAAGATTACATTTTCATATCCTGGTGTCAGAAATGGGTGAATGAGAGAATAAAGATGACTAAGTGAGTGTAAGAAAATCTGTTGCCCGTATCACACAATCTTCACAATTTCCTCTACATTTAACAGAAATTAACTACCTTAAGCCGGTTTACATTGCTTTAGTTTATCAAATAAATCGTACTCAAATCTTATGTTAGATCAATTTTCAGGAAAATTTATCTAGTTCAATTCTTTTTTGTTTCTTCATGAACATATGTAATGATATAAAATCTTTTCTGAAATAGGTAGGAAAGTCGTGTGAGTGGACACACTAGATTTTTTTCCTTGTCATGGTATGAAACAGATGTATCTGTTTTTTTTTTGTTTTTTTTATGTAGCAGAAACTGTTGCAACTGGTAGTTATAATGAACAGTTTTGCACATCATTACTACTAAATACTACCTAATATACATATTTCATCTATAGTTTATTCATATAAATATTGTATTATTATTGGCTCCGGTACTGTGTGATAAAGAAGGATTACAAGGAAGAGGAAAGAACGGCCCTGGCCACGAACCCCAACATGCAAAGACACTACCTTTCCCGAGCGTTGTTGGCCTGGCGCCTCTCCTTCTCCCGCAGGGCCTTCACCTCGGGGTCCTCGCAGCACGCATCTTCATCGCTGTCAGGGCATAGCTCTCAGTCACAACTCACAATTAAAACAGTGAGGGAGCACATCACCAACAAGCAATGTCAAATACCCAACCCAAATTTATAACTTTGCTCATCTTGCTTTAAATATTAAAAAGTAAAAGTTCTTAACTGACTGTAGTCAGCCACAATAAAAAAACCATAAAAAAAAAAAAAATAAAACTAAATTTATCATTACTTAAGAGATATTCTTACAATCAAATAATAAATTATACTTTTATTTAATATAGTATTTGCAGCACTAAAGTAATATAACCTGAAGTATCAATACTTTCCCTATTTCTAATTAAAAATAAAAATGTCAATAATACATATATGAAAATTTTGGAGATCCTCCGTTATTATTATGTCCACAACCTACCTTTCTCTGATGTTGTTCGCCTGCCTCCGCTCCTTTTCCCGATGAGCCTTCACGTTAACATCTTCTTCTTCATCTTCTATACTCGAACAACTGTGGTCAAGGAAAAAATTCACAATCCGCTATGCATATATTAGTATAAGACTTTATCTACACCAAGTCATAAATTAATCTAACATTTAATTATGTTTTTTTAATCTATTCTTTTTCATAAATCACCAAGTGGGATAATAATTTGAGTGGGTTTCAAAAGTTCAAAAGCTTATTAATATGTGCTCCCCCACTAAACACAATGTGTAAAGACCATCGTTACTTATTACTTGTTAATGTTAAAAAAAATTAAATAAACTATTTAGAAAGAATGAAATATCAACAAGTAATCAATTAACAAACAGGTCTTTAAGTCAAAACTTTAAAGCTAAAAAATGTTTTACTGTGGCTAAGTAATCTTTGTTTAAAAAAAATTATAACTTCATATGAGTGTCAAAAAGAAAATTCATCTTTAACCACAATAAAATTTTATTAGTCAATATAAGTTATGAGTTTCACAATGCTAAGAAAATTAGACCCAACACCTTTAATATCGACCAACTATTTTCGTGTATAACTATACTAATGTTATGATAATTAATCCAAATCAACATGACTTCATATCCATTATAAAAAAACAAAAGTTGGTCTATACATATAAATATTAGGTCTAAATTTGCCTCAGTGGAGAGTGAGGGAAATTAATAATAATAATAGATAACAATTTATACTGACTATCTTCGCACTCTCTTGACGCCTTTTCCTCCGATGCTGCCAGGTGAACCGACGAGGAGGTCACTCGAACTTGGCTTCGATTCACAATCTGGTGCATCTTTCCTTTTTTCTAAAACAAAATAACCTAAATCATGATTAAGTATTTTTATAAATCCAATACGCCAACAATATAAATAAATAAATTTAAATAAAACATGTATAGTTCAATAAAATATCAATTAATTTGTGTAAAGAATAGTAGGAGTAAACACAGAAAAAAAAAGAAAAACATTTTGTAAACCGATTCTGTTTTCATATTAGCATTAGATTACTAGTGTATTTTAAAATATAGAATGGGTGGTAGATAGTCAGGATGCAGTCAATTTTTCAAGATTTATATTGCCAACCCAAGGTTATTGGTCATCATCAGAAAATGTTACCAGCATTTGTATATTATAAGGGTACTCAAACAAATTTTAATTTTTATATAGCTGTAATCTATACAATTAAATATGAAATAATACCAACAATAGCATTTATGAAAACCCTATATGTATATGTACATAATATTGTCGGGGTCAGTATTATCTAAAGCTCATGTAACGTATTGAAGCCTGTTATAATCTTTCGGGCGAGCTTGTATTCCTTTGGTTCCTACATTACAACTATTATCCATTACAATCTGTTATTTCCCCTTTAGTTAATTAATTTAAATAGAAAAATTAAAGGTACTTTAGAGGAAGCTAATATTGAAAATTAGCCATTTAAGCCTTGTCTGAGATCATCAATGAGAACAAAACCTAATTATATTAAAAACTGCTTACTTTAACACAGATATAATGAATTTAATCAAAATCGTTAGAGCCTTTATCGAGAAAATTGTAAAAATGTGTTAAACTGAGATTAGAAAATTTTTACTACTTCCTATACTATATATTTCATAAATAGGCAAGTGAAAGTAAAAAAACTGACTAACTAGCACCCATAATATGTAGAACAGTTGACAAACTTCCTTCAATAAATCATAGAATGTTATGAAAAGAGCAAATGCTATATTAAAATTAATTTTCTGCCTTCTATATCGATCAGCCTATGTGAATAAAAAAAAAAACCCTAAAGGCAGACTATAAAACAAGATGTTCAAGAAAGAAAAAGAAATTATATTATTAAATATAGAAATATTGTCACAATGAACAAGGCATGAGACAATGGTCAGTGGGTTAGTCACAATTTGGTCAGAAAAGTTAAGAAATTCAATAAATCTTTGATATTCACAGGTCAGTTTTTTTTTTTTTTTACAATATACATACATTTTTTTTTTTGCCTAAACTTGGAAATGGGCTGAAATCATAGTTTACTCCTATATTACTGTATCATTTATTTTGAATACTATCACCCTGACAATTGTCGCATAACATTAATATACAAAAAATTAATATTTTAATTATGAAATAATTTTAAAGAATTATTTTACATCATTATTAAAGGACAGAGGGAAATAACAATAGTCCAGGTGACTTTTTTTTTAATATTAAATTACTAAAGGTTAATCCCTAATTAGGATAATACATTTTTTTTTTGCTTGAAAGTAGTAATATTAAATTAAACTCTTTTGACAATGACATAATTATCGTCTTTACGTTAGTAATGTGAAATGGAAACTACAAAATACATGATTTAAATTATGAAGAATAAGTCAGAAGTTAAAAAAAATAAAATAGAAAGGGTTGGTTAAAAGATTTTGTTTTTCAATTAAAAAACAAAAATCTGATTTCAAAGGATTATATTCAATATGAATATTGAATTCTTCACTATCTTATAATAAATCTCCAGTACAATTTCTTGTATAACCATTAAATTTAAAAATGGAGAGAACATATTTTTCCTAAAAATTAAAATGATTTTATAAATTTAATTATGGCAGTTAATTCTTGTTTTATAAAAAAAAACCTTTTCCACATGGGTACTTAAATGTTGTATTTTCAATTTATTATTTAATTTTGGTGACTAATCGATTTAAAATTTTAAATGTTCTTATATTACTACTTCATATATTAAATCTAATTTATTCTTCTGCTTTCATTGACAGAATGAAACTAATTCATATTGAGTTTTATTTCTTTAATGGAGCTAATAGTAATATTCATCAAGAAAGGGAAAAGTTCTAACAAATAAACAAAATATACTTAAATAAATAAAATAAAATGAACTTACTTGCATTGGTTAACCTTTCTAATTTGACGGCAGTGGCAGGGTCTAACTCTCCTGGAGGTATTCCAGCATATACAGCGTGACTAGCGGCAGCCTTAAAAAAAAAAAAGTTTCAATGAGTTTCAGGAAATAAACAACCTTCAGGATTTCAATATTTTGGACAATATTATTCATTTTAAAGAATAAAGTCCCCTGTTTTCAACATCATGGATTACTTCCATACTTTATCATAACTACATTACTGGTTCCGGAATGTCTTGAGTCTGCATAAACCTGGAGCATTGAGAGTACTTTCAGTCCAGACTATCCTTTACAAAACCGACAAAATATTTCACAAAACTGATGACAGAATATTATATTGTTTCATGCAGATAAGACAGCACACATTATATATTGTAGCTACTACGAACGTCGCCAGCAGTTTGAAACAAGATTTATCGTTTAGAAAAGGTTTCATGAACTCGTAAATGATTTTAAGGCTGTATCACCAAGAATAGGCATAAACTAAAAGGAAAATTTAAGAATTACTAAATACTTATAGTACATGTGTCTACTGAAACATTCCACAGATGAATTCTAAGAGATTCTTGTTGCAGACCTCAACATTAAAGTAGGAACAGAAGCAGTGTACGCCTCAGTTATTGGTTGGCAAAGTCTAAACGACACATGCTATATATAAAACATTCACATGATTATGTGGTGCGTTTTTGGAGAACACAATGAAGAAATAGTTTATTTGAGGACCTTAATATTGCAAAGTATATGTGTGTGATACCAGCATGCCATTATCAGGACTAAATATTATAGTCCGTGGTACAGACCTCTTTTTATCAAATCATTAACATCCGCCTGAAACTTCGTTAATAGCTTTATCTGATCGTAACCTACAAATATTTTATTTACGAAAATTCTCGTAATTGGATTGTTTTCAATCTGGAGGTCGGCAAACTTTGTCTATTTAATTATGTACTAAAAACTCATAAATACCCATTTGCTTTCCACTTGAATCGTAAGATAACTTGAGCACAAAGTCAAGAAAAAATGTGACCATCGAAAATATTGAGGCGTTTGGCCTATATAACCTCGTTATTTTGACAATTTGAGGGAGTAGATCATGCCAAACGTATTAGTATAAAATTAATTTGTACTAATTGGAGTATTATAATTATAGAGGTGAATATGGTGCATGGACATTGAAAGCTTCTCTACAAATAAAATTTTAAATCAAAAAAGAAACTGTCAATCATAAAAAAAAAATCCTGAACTCAAAAATAAAAATAAAATAACTTTGAAAAATAAAAAATAAAAATAAGCAATATCTCTGGCTTGACATATCACAAATCCAGGATTTTTTTATATCAGAAATGTATATTTATTTTCACTCACAATTTAATAAAATAATAAAAATCTGAAATAAATAAAACGACAACATAAAATATTTCATAAAATAATAAAACAAGATAATAATATTAAAATTTACCAAGTCGATTGAGTTGTGGTATAAAGGCCCCGGTGGACAATGCCCCGGTGCTATCAGCTGTTGACTCTCTGCGTGATTTCTTAGGACGTTAATTGCATCATCTAACCGTTCTTCCATTCTGGCACCCTAAAAAAGAAAAATTTCTAATTATATTTCACACTATATAAGGTATTGTGGAATAAATGGGTCAAGATTTTATATGACACCCAGTTACTGTAATAAAACTACAATATATTTTTAAAACATGTTATATATATATATATATATATATATATATATTGTTATGATTTTTATTTATTAAATATAAAAATTCAAAAAAATACGTTAAAGAATTAGAAGTAGTGGAGGGAAGGACACGACTCGCACTTCCTAGATTTACCCCAGTCTTGTTCCAGCCATTGGCCAGAAAGGATGCATAGTCTGTAATTCCGGAAAGCGCTCGAGGTAACATCATTAGAAAAATACATAACGGATGAAGAACATCTTCAGTTTATGGAGCAGCCTAAATTAGGAGCTACCATAAAGATAGTCCAATTAAACAGTACCTTATATATTATTTTATAATAATAGATTATATAAACATAAATTTAATTTTCTTTTGTTTATAAATGTTTTATTTATTAAATATAATATTAAGAGTATCAATGTCAATGTCCATGAACCAATTAAGTCCTCAGCGTACAATAAATTTATAATCTATATATACAAAAATGAATGTATGTCTGTCTGTTTGTCCTTTGTGCATTACTAAACCATTCATCCGATCGCCATGAAACTTTGGGAAGTTGTTCCGTACACTCCTGGGAAGGTTTCTGTCATAGTACTTCTGTCTTACGATAATTTTATATATGTGAAAAAAAAAAGAAGTAAATGTTTTTCTGTTCAAAGCTGCAAAAAAATGTGTCGCTATAAACTGTAGCGCCAAAACGGCTTTACCGATTTTAACGAAACTTGGCTTAAGTCTTCCCCTTAAAACCCTTTTAATTTATGTGTGTAACATACTTTCCCGAAAACAAGCTGAAAAATGTTACGATGAATTCAATATTCTATTTGCTGATAACTAAAAAAGTACACAATTTTTCATAGATAATACTCATATTTATATGAAAGATTTCTGAATTGCTGACAAAATAAAAAAAAGTCATCGAAACCGGACTGTTCGTTACAGAATTATAGAGTTTTAAACATTTACTGCTTTCTCTTCAGAAAAGGCCATTTCCTTTTGCTTTCTCACTACCAAAGGTCGGCAAGCATTTTTTTTTATTAATTAATCGAAAATTTTGTAATTACTACAGTAATTGAAATTATCATTTGAAGAAGTTATATGACTCTCCTTATGTAGGTCGATACTATTATTATACTTTTTTTTATTAATTTTTTAATTAAGTTTTATAAGTTCAACTCAGACTGTTTCTAATGATTATGAATGACAGCGTATTCACTCAGATGATTATGAATGTTCAATTTGAATCATGAGAAAAAAAAAATCATTAGAATTAGTTTAAATTGAAGCCATTTTACAGACAAATTTGTTTCCCAACTTTTTAAAAATGACAGATGTCCTTTGCTACTAATCTACTCATATGTGCTTTCTATTTTCTTTCTTTTTCATTTTGACAGACTAAGCCACTGCAGCGCGTGGCCGGGTAAAGCTAGTAACAAATAATAGTACAGTATTTTTAATTCAATTCATATTTAAACGAAATCAGAACAATATATATACATAGACATAACTTTTTTTTATCCTATTGGCCCAGTTTTCCCGTCAATTTGGAGAGAATATACTTATCTATATTCTATATATTGATGTATAGAAGCATATTTGATTAGTTTAATAACATTAAATAAAAATAATAGAAGGCCTTGATGCAAGGAACCAGGTAATTCATTCCACCAATAGGCTTCAAATAAATCCAAGACTTGATCTTGTTTTTACCATAAACGGTAAGTTAACATTGGTGTCAAGAACAAGATAAGCCTGAACATACCAACTTTTAGCGCAGATGGAATACAGTTTCTATTAGCCGATGATATAACCTTTCAGACATGAGAGGATTGATGTTACGTTTGAGCCTAATTCTTTCAACAATAGAAACAGAAGGATTGTTCACAGACAAAATGCATTTAAAATAAAAAATAATTGGACTCACCTGATTTTTGCATCAAGGCTCTCAATTATTAAATAAAAATAAAAATGATATATCTTACCTCGGCATGGTCCCGTAGGACCCCAATCGCATCATCGAATCTCTGTTGCTCAGGGGCTGCCTAACATTTTCACACACAACACAATGCATAAAAAAAAACATAAAGGAATAAAAACAAAACAAAAATAAAGCAAACTGGATATTATCAATACCAATGAATTCTAAAATGTTAAATTTGTATTAATGGAACAGTATTTAAACGCGTACATATACAGACAGATTCAGTTTTGAATGGAAAATCATATCGAAATCCTAATTTTACCTTTTTTGATTGAGCTCCTCAAGGGTTGATTATTTATATAGTTGGCACCGATCCAGAAGAGATGGAGATAATGATTAAGAAGGATGGAAGATAATTAGTTTAAAATATGATTAATGAGAAACTTGTAATAAAGTCAGTCAAGGCAAAAATTTCGAGCAGAAAATTTTAATTGTTATAATAATTCGTACTAAGGGGTCCGGAAAGTAATGCCATTTCTGAGCATGTCATTAGGAAGCTCATTGTGCACATCTAAGTCACGGAAAAGACAATCTAAGGTTATAGTGACTTGTTTATTTGCAAATAATTAAATTAATTTTTTTAAATTTTAAATAAAATGGCCAGCCAAATACTAGAAGAGGTACATATTCAGTATTTCATGCTTATGCTTTTTGAATTTTACAAGAGTAGTAACGCAACAGTTCCTTCAAAAATATTTGTGATGTTTATCCGAATGCATTAGAAATTCGTAAATAGCAAAGCTGGTATTTAGAACCCAGTAATCTTGGTCTTTCCGACTCGTATCGATCAGGAAGACAAACAACATTAAACAATGACGTGTGTAAGGGCAGAAGTGGAAGCAAATCCATGTAGGTCAATCGAGGAATTGTCAAACAGTCTTTCTTAATGAATCTTGGCCGACCATCCGAGTACATTTGCTGCAGATTAGAAAACCATCGTGTGCAACTTATTGCTTAAACGGCAAAATACAGAAATGCTTTTTGATCACGGGAGATGAAAAATGGGTGGGTCTTGTATGATAATCAAAAACGCAAAAGGCAGTGGTTCTCTCCAAAAGAATCGCCAAGAAGCACTGCTAAACCAGGTTTAACACTCCAAAAACACACTTTTGTGTGTTCAGTGAAGTATTTGTGGTGTTCATTTTGAAACCTGGACAAACTGTGAACAATTGAATCTATAGATAAGTTTTTAATTGAAAAGTGACTAGTGATTGTCAATAAACGCATTATTCTGCAACACAAAAATGCAGGACCACGTGCCAGACGAACCCTGGAAAAAATTAATGAATTGGGATGAAACGTAATGCCTTACACACCATACTCGCCCAATGTTGCACCATCGAATTTTTATTTGTTCCGATCGTTTCAACACTTTCTAAGTGGCTAAAGATTTCCAAATTTGAATGATGTCTAAAATAAAATGTCATCTCTATATATATAGATGTCAAAAGGTTGTTGATAATGGAGGTGATTTCATCAATGATTAAAAATAAAAACTCGTGTGAATTTATGTGTTTGAATTTAATGTGAGAAAACAACATTACTTTCTGGTCCCGCTAATATTTTAGAGTTTTTGGGGTGCGAAAAACGAATATCAACTTTGTTTCTCCCTAAAGAAATATTTACTCCAGATACTAAACCGGTTTTGAATAAATATTTCATAACAAAAGTTTTCGGCCTACATTATAGCTAATTTAATACAATGGGCAATATTTTTTTCTTATTCTACACAAAAAAGAAAAGAAATTAGTAGATAAATAATAGCAAAAGACAAAAATAAATACCATAAGTTTTATTTAAAATTACAAAAAAATTTTTTTATCTTTGCTCCTAGGGCTCATTGAAACGAATGTTGGGACAAGTGTCCATTATTTTTCGATGTAGTATCACAGAAAAAAATTTATTAAAATCAGTAACCGATAGACTGTAGTCTCTCCTTGTCAGTATCGTCAAAATTGGTCAACTCTTTCAAAACAAATAGCGAGTGGTCCCTCGAATTGAACCATATTAACATGTTACTGAATCACACTGTATCTGTAGGCTCATAAATATATATATAAATATATTCCAAAAAATACACAAACAAATTAAAAATTTAGTAAATTATAATAATATCCAGCAAAAGCATAAACAAAATTAAAATAAAAGATAAAAGCAAAAAAAAAAAAAAAAATTATATACAATGTGAACAAATAAAATAACAATGCAACAAAACAAGCACTATTTTACCCTATATAATTAAAAATATATTTAAGTGCACGTTTGGTGAGATTTAATAAAAGCATTTCCCTTTATTAAAAAATAAAAACAATAGAACCTAGATCATTCATTCACAAATACTCACAAATGTATATATCTAGGCTACTGTCACAGTCATTGAAGCATATCTCGATACTATGACAGTTGCTTGATGATGTCCGCCTGTGGTACCATAGTGTAACGAGATCTAATCTAGGAGGTTGGACAACTACTGAGCAACGTTACTGAGCAGAATTATTATACTCTGACCATCTTACATAAGTTTCATTCATCAAGTTACCACCAATTTTTGAAAGACTAGGAATAAATATAGTCTCGGTGACAGTTAATGTAACATAATAAGATAATGCACAATATTGTATTTACAAATAAAGAGCCTAATCGTTTAAACAAAGGTGATTGTTAAAGAGTTTACTCAATATTTCATATAAATAGCAACACAATTTATATGAATTGTGTTTATATTACAATTTTATACTTTTTTAATTTTTACTGATTTCATGTTCTTTTAATAACATTATTAACAATATTTTTTATTGGACATTGGTATTACTTATTTTTTTTTTTAAGTGTAAAATTAAGAATCTCTATGATGGAAAAAATCAATTAAATGTAAATAATGTTGGGTGCATCATATAAATAATTAGTGACATTCAATCACGAACAGTGTAAATTAAAAAAAAATTACAAAAATGCATTAATAAAAATGTTACCAATGAAAATAAGCCAAATAAGAATAAAAACAACAACAACAAAATACCATCCAAAACAAAAATAAAACATAAAAAAGCTCTTATTAAATACTAAGACATACCTTTCCTTAAAAAAATAAGTAGAGAGAGTATTTCTTAATTCAAACGATACAAACCTGGGGCTGTATAGAGTTTATTTGGATTTATTAATATCAATCGCTTTTTACCATTTTAAGATAATTGAAACAGTTACGTTACTTCAGTGATATTTTTCACGATTTAAAAAACATAACTATTTTATACTTAAATTTTAAGAGGTAAGAAATATCGATGGAGAAGAAGCTATAAAACCTTGTAAGTCCATAACAGAAATTTTGCAGAAGAAAACAAAAAATATATTTCTATTAGAGAAAAGTATATTTTTTTTTGTTATATACTAAAAAATCCCTTACATTGTTAAATACATAATTTAACACATTAAAAATATTAAAGTAAATGAGTGAATATTAAAAACTTACAAAAGGTTAGTAAATTTTAGTGAATTGAGCTTACATAGATTTTAAATGGTTTGAAACAATCAATATCAATATGTACTTTATTTACAATGAGGGATTTTTTTTGTAGTTTAAAAATGAGTCTATGACTTATTATATACCCAGAAAAATTTAACTCAAAACTAATAATTTTTTATTTTAATCACTAAACAGCTCAGTTAACTTACGGTATATATTTTTGATTAGTATTTGGTCAACTTTGATTGAACCACATTAATCAAAACTGGACTAAATAACAAAACTAACATTAATTCAATACACAGATTGTTTGGGACGTATTAGCAACAAGTATGACATTTACTATCGTTTATAACTTTATTTGAAAAAAAAAAAAAAATGCTAGCTAAAATATATTCGAGTTACATTTAATAGGTAGACTGTGTAATTATACTTAAAGTAAGAAAAAACAACACCCATCTTTTTACAGTCTCATTTATTTATGTTTTAGAGGTTTCGGTGCTCTGCACAATATTTATTTGAACCAAAACCGAAGCTCAAACATAAATAAATGAGACTGTATAAAAGAAAGGTGTTTTTTTCTTGTATTGGAGTTTTATTAAGAAACCAAGCAATAATACCACCATAAAAGTAAAAATAATTGTTAAAACATATAATTTTAAAATTCATTCAAATAAAAAAAAATTGACAAACACACAATATTGTAGAATATAGTGCGCATGTGAATGTGTTTAATAGTATAAAAAATATCACTTAAATTAACAATATAAATATATTTTCAAATGCCATATTAATGTTAAATTCATACCATATGAATCGGAGGTTGGGATGGCGTTGGCCTGTCCTGTGGCGGAGGAGGGAAGTGCGGCGATTGCCATCCGCTAACCTGCTGCCCGAGCGGGGGCGGCGAACTGACCGGTGTAGATGGATTACTACTGTAACTGCTTGCGCTCTGTTCAGTAGGATATATCTTTAAAAAAAAAAAAACAGAAAACAATAATAATAAATAAATGTACAAGAATAACTATACAACAACCAGAAATAATAATTTTAAGAAAAGTTAATCCAACATGGACTGCTTATCAGTCATTGCTAGGAATGAAATTAAAAAAAATAAAAACTGATACAGTATTATCTTAGTAACTAGAACTTCAATTACGCTAACATCCAAATTGGCACAAAAAAATAAAACACAAGGGGAAGAAGGGTAAAAGAAAACTTTCGTTTAGAAAAAAAATTGAACCTGACACAAATTTCTATGCAAGATGTCCGTCTTACATAATGGTAGGGTGAAATAGTGCTAGTCAATTTTACAGTGATTTTCTTATCTAATAAGTAAGCATGCATACTTTTCCACTGGTTATTTTCTAAAAATATCTCTTATACATTAATTTTTTTTATACAAAAATAAAATTATATTAAAGAATAGATAAGCAGTGTCTCGTTTTAATTACAAAGAATGGGCAACAGAGAACAATATGTGATGGCAAGAACTCTTCTTCCTAGAATGTCTAAGAGCGGAAGTTGTGAGAAACATACTCCAAAAACAAAAATTAACGAGTTAAAAAAAACAAACTGTACTATTACAACCCATAGAGGGTCTTGAGTTCAGAACTGTTTCTTGGTCAACAGTTGTGCAAGGAGATGATTCGACTGAGATCACTCTCAACCGCTTAATTAATAATTAATCGAGGGTACCCACCACTTTTTAGAAGTTGGATGCGCCCTGGAGAGTCCCCCGACCGACACCATGATAAATCCATAACCGATAAAACATAATAAATAATTTATATGCCATTAGCCAGATTCAAACATGGGATCATGAGTATAGGAAGTCAGTATCCTACCATTGAGCTATCCTATTGCCAAAAAAAAACTTAAGAAAAAACAAAAAATAATTTTATACATAAAAAAATCAATAGCTTTCTTTTATCTTTAAGTACTGAAATCCTGGAAAATATCTCTATATCTCAAATTAAGGATGTAAAATGCTATGATTCTGATATAAAGTTGCTGTAACTAAACACTCTAAAGTTAGAATCGGTAATAATCTGTCCAAAAAATTTGAGGTTCATTCGGGTTTGAAACAGGGGGATTCCCTTTCGCCTGTCCTGTTCAATTTGGCATTAAAAAATGCCATTAAGGAGGTAATGCGTACCAAAAAAAGGGTTGGATCTGGGTGGGACAACATCCATGCTGGGCTATGCTGATGATCTGGTACTGTTAAGCGAAGACGTGGAAACTATAAAACTAAATATGACAACTTTAATGAAATCCGGTAAAGAACTAGGGCTCGAAATAAACGTGGATAAAAAAAAAATATGGTTAGCTGCAAAAATGGCGATACTAATGGTGATATCGATATATATGGTAATATGTTTGAACAGGTAGAGAAGTTTAGGTATCTAGGTTCTACGATAACTAGAAAAAACAAAATTGAAGAAGAGATTAAGGTTAGACTGAAGGCGGGAAATGCTTGTTATTTTTCTGCAACAAAACTACTTAGCTCGTGCCTCTTGTCCCAGAACTTAAAAATTAGAATCTATAAAACCATTACCTTACCTACAGTTCTTTATGAAAGCGAAACTTGGCCGCTTACATTAAGGGATGAGCAGCGTCTTAAGGTTTTTGAAAATAAAGTATTGCGGAGAATATTTGGACCAAAGAAGGATGAGTTCAGACAGTTACACAATGCCGAATTGTGTGAACTGTATCCGGGTAATATAATTGAGGTAATTTCACCGCTGCGAATCAAATGGGCATGTAAAATTAGTGGACTTAGTAACGACAGAATTCCTAAAAGGTTAATATTTGCTGTACCGAATGGTAAACGTCCGAGGGGTAGACCAAAGCGAAGGTGGGAAGATTGCATTAAAGCCGATCTGAAGGGACTGGGTTTGGACGGCGAACGGTGGAGGGAGGTGTGTAATAAGCGATTGGTGGTGTCGGCATCGAACCTTCGGGTTCACTAAGCCTTTTATTATTATTATTATTATTATTATCTAAACACCGACCAGCACCCTAGATAGAAGTATAGAAAGATCTGAAATCAGAGTACTAATAAATTAAGGGGAAAATCAATAAAGAACTGCTCATAGGAACTAGTCTATTAATATCTCATGATATGAAGGCAAGGTTTGCCCCTCTTTGGAGGGGTGGGTTAGGGGCATAAAGCTCGCAACAATCTATCAAGAACACTACACAATAAACGCCACAAATGTAGGCAAGTGATTATGCAGAAGGGCAAAAACCTGTTGGATGGATTGAATCAATTAAGACCCTGCAAGCAGATACCTGGAAAGCAATGGGCCTAGAAGGTTTGTTAATAGAAAAAAAATATTCAATTGACAAGTGTTCATTCATCTACTTTAAAAATTAGTAAGTGTAGAGATTTTGTCTTTTATCATATGTATTTTTCTTGAAGACCGTGTAAATTCTTAACACCCCCTCTCAAACATAATCTAGTCCGGATGACTTAGATCATACTGTAGAATTAATTAAACAAAAAAATAATTATTTTTAAAAAATAATTTACAGCTAAGAAAATGAGTTAGACATACTCTAATGATAAGATTTATAAATAACAAACAATATTTCATTCGATAGCCATCTAAACAGTAAAGGAAACACTGTTTCCTTATCCATAATTTTCTCTTTGAAAAATCCCACTAAGATTTCATTGATAATTAACAAAATAATACTACTTCTCATAGCTTTTGAGTCAGTTACCTATGCCTGAGGTTATTATATCAAACAACTATTCAAGGACTTAAAAAAATATAATACCAATAAAAAATAATCTTGTATTAATTTATGCTTGTTCTAAAACCAACCAGTTAATTCTGAGATTTTTTAAGTCTAATAGAACTAACTTAACTCCTTAATATAGTTTTTATGTTTTTTCCTTTTTTGTGTAGGAGATACACAGTAAAATATTGTAAACTTACTAAAAAGAAATTATTAAAAAAAAAATAAATAAATAACCACCCTTTGATGAGCTAAACAAGGGAACAGCTGGTCTAGAGCATCGAGTTCTGAACTGGGCGGACGGTAGGTCATGACTACAACAGTGACAACTGGGAAATCCATATATATTTAGTTGCAATATCAAGTTTTCCGAATGAGTAAACTGGTCATGACCAGAAGGGGAGAATAGTTAATGGAGGGGATAAGTTAAATTAGTTTGTCCGCAACAACGCACACCTCTGCCTTCTGTGACATGGCCATTCCACAGCTTTGAACGCAGTCAAATTAGCCACTTCATAATTGAGTAAATTGGCTCAGAATGGAACCTATTACAGTTAGAACTGTAATGGATATCACAATTAATAGCTAAGTCAATTTATTTTTATCATTACATTTATAAAGAGAAAATTTAAAATATCAACAGGATATTATCAGTCAAGAAAGTAGTATTAGTTTTAAAACTGGAGAGTATGTGCCAATTCCAACTACAACATAATTAAAATTATAACTATTTAAATTGTCTTGTGTTTTTTTTTTTTAATTCCCCATTTATTCCTTTTTAGACTATGAATTAATTTTATTACATTGCAAATTGTCTCTATTAAAATAATACATTTTTTTCTCCAGAAAATAAGTAATTCATTAAAAAAAAAAAAATAATAAAAGAGGAACAAAGCATTTATCTTTTTATAGAAGAAAAAAATGTTTATAGAATAGAATTATTATTTACTCTACAAGAATATTCTCATTTTAAAATTTAATAAGTACAGGAATTTTAATGAAAATAAAATTAGAAAAATGAATACATCACCATCGTTACTTCATATTACACACCTTTGTTAAATATAAATGTAATCGGAATTGAGGTTTTTTCAATCTGGAAATCAGCCAACATTGTCTATTTAATTAGGTACTAAAAACTCTTGATTAATCATTTATTTTCCAATTGAATTGTAAGATAATATCACAAAATCGGAAAAAAAAAAAAAAAAAAAGAGGCAAAAATATTGCACTGTTTGGCCTATATAACCTCGCTATTTTAATATTTTGAGGGTGAAGGTTACACCAAGATATTTTTGTAGGGCACCTTTTTTTTTCTTCCTTTTTTAAATATTTTGAGATGATATTTTACAATTCAAATGGAAAGCAGATAGTTTTTAGTACCTAGTTAAATAGACAAAAGTTTGCCCATCTCCAGATTGAAAACATCCCAATTAAGAGAATTTTCGCAAATGAAATATTTGTAGGTTACAATGAAATAAAGCTATATATGAAGTTTCAGATGGATGTTAATAATTTGATACTTTCTTTCACCCCTTTTGGGTGTCTATGCCACGTACTATAAATTATACTTACAATATATATTTCTTTTTTTAAGTCAATTGATTCATTTATCTTATAACAATGACTATTTTAATTTTAGGAGTACTTACTGAGGCTAGGGCTTTTCCAACTAGCGTATCGCCAGGGGGTTGAGCTCCACCTGGAAGAAACACTACAGGAGGAGAATGGGGAGCTCGAAGCGAGGACATCGGTGGTAATGGGTCTCTGGTAGGAGAGACACTCCGCACGTATCCACCCTGAAACAAATATTTTATTAAAAACTAAAATTGGGAAGTGTGATACCAGGAACTTACTCCAATACATATACATGTGAGAAACCTTAAATTTATAATTATTATATTTTAGCTGGAGGATCATTCAGCATATATTCTTAAGACACAAAATGATTGTTTCTATTTCAATTTTTAATATTTCTAAAGCAAAAAGTAAAACTAAAAAAAATGATCAATAATCCAATATATTAACAGCCACATTATTAAATTCTCTCCTCTCAAAACTAAAAAAGAGGGCTTATTTAAAATTAATTTAATGGAGTAGATTTTGTGATAAATTTTTTTCACATACTTAAGACAAAGAAGTGATGTTTAAACAATTTTTTTTTGTGTGTGTTTCTGATAATATTAAATCCTAAGACTGACCAGAAAAGCTCAAAACTAGACTTTCCAATAAAATAGTTTTAACTGACTTGTCTATATATCACTTTATAGTATTCAACTTATGAGTTACATTGCATATATCGGAGTGAGGTAGCTCAAATAGCTCAAATGCTCGCACTGACTTCTAATGATCAAGGTCCCAGGTTCTAGTCTGGCTGATGGCAGATAAATTATTTATTCTGTTTTATCAGCCGTGGATCGACCCTAGGGCACACCCATCCTCTATAAAGTGGACACTCTTAATTAATTAATTAAGGGGGAAAACCTTGCGGTTGAGCGTGATCTCGGTCAAGTCACCTCCTTGAACAGCCATTGACCAACAAACAATACTTATCAACATAATAACATAAACCTAAGATCCTTCATGGGTTGCAGTGGTTCAGGTTTTTTTTTTTTTATGCTTATTCATAATGCTTAGGGTTCAAGCCCCTCCAAAATATATATATTTTTTTCATTTGTCAATATAAGTTTCAGTGAGTGATCTGAGATAAATCTTAAACAATCACGAAATGTCTATTTATCTATATTGGTCCTATAACTCAATAAACTAGTCTTAGCTTCCTAGTTCTAGTCACACCATCTACTCCTCTCCGTTTTGGTCTCCCATTCTTCTAATGCTGCAGAAAAATGACGTAAGAACCATATTAGGGACTGCTTCATCCTCCATCATATGGTCAGTCCATTTCAATCATTCAAGCTTTAGTATAGAGATATTCTTCATTAAAAATTGAGTGAATTTCGATGTTTGTCTGCTTTCTCCAGTTTCCATCAACATATACTCCCCCCAAATATTCTTTATAGAAGTTTCCCCTAAATTACTAGGAATTCTTGTTTATTTTGTATTAGTTGTCCATGTTTCAGATCCATACAACAGGACTGGGTGGATTAATGAAGATGGAACTTGGTCTGCAGAGATAGATGACGAGAGGTGAATTACTTGCAAAGGCAAAAGTAACAATTTGTACTCCTTTTAAATTATAACGTATATACAAATAATAAATAAAAACATGTCAAGAAAAAATATATAAAAAATTATCTCTAAAGCATAATTATTCCTAAAATATATATTCCTATAACATATATATATATATATATATATATATATATATATATATATATATATATATATATATATATATATATATATATATATATAGCTATTAAAAAAATATATATTCTCAAAAGGCCTTTAAGGACCACTTAAACATAATATTATATAGTTTATATATATATATATATATATATATATATATATATAGCTATTAAAAAAATATATATTCTCAAAAGGCCTTTAAGGACCACTTAAACATAATATTATATAGTTTATTTCAGGATAATTACTGTTTAGGGAAGACAGCAAATTTCCCATTTAAATTTAATTTAAATTATATTAAGGAAACAACAGCTGCAATCTCGAGCATATATACCTCAGATGTTATTGTGACGCCGCCATTATTGAAGCGTAGACGCTCACGTAGTGTGAGAGATTCACTAGACTGGCCAGTTTGAAAATTTGTTATTCCACTGATTTGCTGAAAATGGAGTAAAAAACTATATCGGCCGGCAAAGGGCTAAGAAAGGAAGAGAGAAAAGATGAACAAGAAGACTGGCAAATAGAAGAAAAGAGAAAATGCAAGTATTCCAACCCACCTATATTTAACCTCTGTATAAAATTAAATGATATAAAATAAAGCAATCAATTTTACATATTCACCTTTTTTAGTCCATTAACTTCTCTAATTTTACAGTCCACAGCAATAAATTATCAACAGCTCTTAAAGCAGAATTATTATGACAATATCCCTGACAGCCTTGGAAGGGATTGGCATAGTGAATTAAACAATTACTGTTATAAAAAATAAAATAATCGACACTTCCTAAATGAAATCCTGGAACTGCAACTGATTGAAGCTAAAAAGCTAGAAAATCTTAGGTAAAAAATATATAAAATTCTAAATGACTGGCTTTTGAGATGATTAACCAACTTTAATTAAATTAAACTAGAACTAATTTTGGACTAGTGCTTTCTTATCAGTTACGTAAACATATTAATATTGCAATATAAATAAAAAAGGGACACTTACGATCGACTCATGGTGAGGAGTGGGGTATCCAGGGGTCGCACTGGGGGCTGTATAATACGGAGGGCCTCCTGTCCAGGTCTCTCCGCCTCCGTTACTAGCACCGTTTTCTGTAACATCATCATCATTATCATCTACAGAACGATGCTTAGCATTTACAATAAATGAGAAATAAAAAGATCAAAGATAAATACATTAATAAACAAAATAATAATATAGCTTTAAAAACAAAACAAAATCAAATAAAAATTACATACCGAGGTAAAAAGGTGGTTCACCAGGTTGGTAAACTGTTCCCGTTGCCGATTTGGGAGATGTATACCGAGGGGAGTCATCTCCAGGATAATCTTCAGCTCCACTACCCGTGTACTGAAAACATACAAATAAATACATAAATATTTAAATTCAGAAAATGTATAATATTCTAGATAGATCAATTGTAAATAATAAATTCAAAACTATTACAATATTATTTCTTTCTTAAATATGTAGGTCAAAGATTTTAAGAAAAATATAATTAAATTTAAAAGATTATGCCAGTAAAATAACTAAGAAGTAAAATAGAAGCAAAAACTTCTTCTTTGACTAGTCATTTAATTTTATAAACTGTTTGCGGTTTAAATATTATGTACAAAAATATTTTTAAATTCTCTTCAATCGAAAAAACATGACTATAATTTAATTGATTACAATTTAATCGAACTATAATGAGTAAGATAAAGCCATTCACCAAAATTAAAACAAATTAACAAAGAAAAACAGATAACCTTTATCAGTACAATTAGTGATTTTAACTCATTTTTTTTAATAACAAACAAAAGATATATGTTGGATGTTGGAAAAATTGTTATCTTTGAAAAATTATGAATTAATATTTTTGTCTATTAGATTTATTTCGATCAAATTTACGAGGGGGGGGGGGGCTTTTGGGCTGAAGTCCCCCCAAAACGGTAAAATATAACCATTTTTTATAGAAAAAAATATTAAAAACTATCTTTTTAAGTATTATTGTTCGTGTAATTACATTTAATAGGACTTCAAGAATCACTTAAGCACCATTTCATATAAGTAGTTTATTTATTTATTTTTAAAATTAATTATTGTTAAATGTATGGAAAAAAATCTTTCGAGCTGAAGTCTCCCCCCAAATTTAAACCTTGGATCCGCTAGTGATTTCGATAGATCAAAAATATGATTTGAGTATTAATATCAAAAACAATTGATCTTTTTTCACCACCAAAAAAAGAAAATTAATCAATAATTAAAAAAAAATCAAATTAAAATTGTCTACAAGGAAATGGTGAACTGATATCAAAACGAGAGTACTTTTTAACACAGTATTTGAGATTTCTTCTTTTTTTTTTATTTTTTTTTTTTATTTGTTATGCTTAGCAAAGTTAAATAATTTTTCTCTAGTTGTAAGTAATAAGTATTTTTAATATTACATGAGGTTTCAGTAACTAATTTAATATCGATTTTTAATCTTTAAAAAAATATCTTTTAATGACACATCTCGTATTCTATTTTACTCATTTTTGTCATACTAGTTAATTGAACAAAATGTATAACACAAATGAAAAGAAAAACGAAGTACACAAACAAAACCCTTCCAAGAAAATGTGTCATGACTAAGGTCGGTAATATACGCAGTTACGGTACTTAACAGTACTGCGTCGGTAATTACAAATTATTTCTTCATTACTTTTTTTCATTTTCTATGAAATAAATAAAGGATAAAAATATTGTGTGAAGAATCAATTTTACTTCGAATAGATTTGTTTGAGGTTGGGTCAATTGTAAAGAAATACCTTTTTTGTCTACATTTCATTTTATTTAAAATCTATCGAACGGTAACACAACAAAAATTAAATTTATAACCAGTGGTTAAGTGGATTATGGTTAAGGATGTTAATTTTTTTTCTTTTTTTGCCGTTTCCACCGGTTAATCCGGAGATCCGGGGAAGCTAGAGTCTACGGAATATTATTAGAACATAAGGTGCCGTATTAATATAACAAGAAGCTGAAAACGTTTCGATTTTTTTCAACCACTTAACAATCGTTTAATCTGTTTAATATTATATCAGGATTCTATATTATACTTGTGTTGTGCTCAGGAGGGGGTTTCATGGCCTGTTAAGCCATCAAAATTTTTGAGGGGACATATTTCTGAATTTTTGAGAGGAGCAACTTTTGACAGGTTTACAAATTTTCGAAATATGGGACGAACGGAAAAAAAACATGAATGGAAGAGGCCGCAGCAAGTTTAATTGTATACGATGTACGATTTTTCTAATTTCACCTTTGCTTGCTCTGTTTTTAAGAAAATGTGAGGAGTGAAATATCTTGGAAGAAGGGAGGGATAGACACCCCTGGTTATAACCACTTAAGGCAGTTCTTTAAGTATCACACACCATAGCAGAGTACATTGGCAAGATTTCGTAAAATTGCTGACCGTAACACTGAGAACACAACGTAAATAAAAGCACACTAACCAATACACGATTATAGTCATTTTCATTTTTATTGTTAAAAAAAAAAAAAAAAAATATGCCGAAGATAATACGGGCCTGTGAGTACAGTGTTGCCAGCAGCCTAACTTAATGGGGGGCGCCACCTGCTCCGGAAGTTTCCCACGGCCATCTATATAGCTCTTAATATACCTCGCTGCAACTCATCTACTGACTCAAACTGTCCGTTTCAAAACGAATTCAAAGATAATTATCTCAACTGATGAATGATAAAACCGAAATACAATCCACTACTACGTGATAGAAAAAAGAAATAATGAGTTAGTTATGTTAGAGGTGACATTATAAATAATGCAATAACGGTGTCATTAATTAATTCAGCACAAAGGAGAGGGGACAAAAGAATACACATCTAGTTACTCATAATTCAATGATACATTAAAACTACAATCGAAACGGCAAAGAAATGTCCATGAAGTAATAGAAGGTTATAGACACTTTTAGAGAAATTTGCAAAATAAATACGAGCCACTTCACTTTACTTCTGATAGATACCCAAGTTTAGGGAGCTACATTTTTTTTTTTTAACATACAACAAAACCCAAAATAAATTTTCCAGTTTTAAACTAAGAAATAGCAAACCAAAGATCAAAATGTCAAACTTAATAAAACTGATAAAGAAACCTCCCTGAAACCAACACTCAGCCTTGGTGCATTAAAAAATCAACTACCAATCAGCTGTTGTGGGATATCACTTGAGATTCAGGCATCCCTCTCCTAAGATTATAACATCAAATCTCTAATAATATTTGCACTCTCTTTTTGGTTTATAAAGTTTATTATTTGTTAATGAAAACTCTATTATTGGTACAGTGTTTATTTCAGGTACAAATTTGAGAACTCCATAAGATAAAACTTACGAGGTTGAAGAACTGATCCCTGAAAATCTCTTCAACATGGTCGGTCGTTTATATTACAGAAGAAGGGTATCTTAAGATTGGCTGTTATAATGTTAAGGCGTAAAATCTGTTGGTTATTCACGCCATTAATTGTATGTGTATATATAAATTGTATCTGGTGGTAGGGCATAATAAAAATAAAATAATATATACACATGGATAACAAAAAAAAAAAAGATAAATAGCTTTCAGAAATTAAAAAAAAATCATTCAGATTTAAGAATACCTAAAAGTTTCTGGATTTGAATATTGTTTACAAAGATTCTTGGGGAAAATTAGTCTAATAAACGTAGTTACCCCAAAATGTGTGTATATATATATATATATATATATATATATATATATATATATATATATATATATATACGTCCTGAAATGGAAGGAATTTAGACATATAAGGTATATACGAGTATAAGTATATAAGGAACATAGACGCGGCAGACCGGTCCCAGGCAGTAGGTCAACAATCAACAGGAACACACACACACACACACACACACACACACACACACACACTAAGGATCGCCTGCTAGGAATGTCCTGTGGGAACCCGTGCATTAATTCATCTTCCATCTATTTCTTGGTAGTGCTAAACTTGGCAGGGGAGAGGAATGAACAAAATGTTTACACTATTATCCTATTTCTAGAAATATAAGTTCACAGAAGAAACAAAACAAAAAAAAAAAAATTAAAATATGTCGTGAAACCTCTTAAAAGAATAGAAAAAGCCTTAAGGGACATCATCCAACAAAAACGACAAGTTCCTAAACTCAGCCGCTAATTCCATCAAACGATTCTATCCAGTACCGATGCACAGCGATTTATGCTGAGCTTAAGAAAGACTTGCTGGATTGAAGCGGGAAGTATTCATTCCTGGAAGGTTACAAAACGTTTGAAGAATAAAAATATAAAAGGAAGAGATATTTACCTATTGAGTTGTACAATTTCAAAACAAAAATAAATATCGATAGAAATTAAACAATATGGATATGTAAAATAAACTGAGAAATAACAATACTAAGCTTGCAATGTAGTTATAACCAACGGATTATAGACTTCAAAATCCGGTGGAACCGCTGATTCATCGATTGAATAATGGCACGCGCTGAATTGCATACATGGAACTATCGATGCTTTTAAGAATGCAAAATCGATTTGTTCAAATTGCGATTGGAAGTAAACTTGCCGAATCCTTAAGTGTGCTTTCTGACATTTAGGGTAGACACATAGTCAATAACACATATCTGCAACATGTAGCTAAAAATGGTACAATTGTTAATAAAATATGGCAAATGATTTGGTGATTGGTCTTTAAATGAAAAAGAACCAAAAGTGATGTTTCGGTATCACTGAAATATCTTTTTCCTATAGTTTTTCGGTTATTTTAAAACTAGAACATTTTCTCTTGCGACATTTTGAGTTCCGATAAAATTAACCAGGTCTTGATGTCCGCGTCGAAATGTTTAAAACGCTGTTTGTCTTATCTCGATCCATCGATTTAATAAAGTAAGAATGAAAGGATCGAAATCGGGATTCATTACTCCTCTATGTAATTTCTTTTCGTTCTATTCTTATTTCGTGAAAATTCATAGCTAGCGAGAGCCGGAAATAGAGATTTATACTACTCTCTATATATATAATGTAGATTTTTTATACAACAATGAATGAAGTAACGCTAATCAGTTTATTTTTGTAAGAAACGAATAATCTATAAACTAATCATTATTTAAAAGATAACACATTATTATTTATTTTTTCATATTTAAGGCAATAATACTTCCAATTTTCTTTAAATTTTTTTAATTACATTTGTTGTCTCTTAAGTTTCGGGACAATTTTCCCATCATAAACGTAAAAGACAGCAAATGTAATTTAAAAAAATTGGAAGTAGTATTGCCTTAAATATGAAAACATTATAAACGTAGGCTTCCTAATAAAAAAA